ACTACATTCTTGAAAATGTAGCCTCGAAAGCCAGAATTTTTAAAAAAAAATTAAATCAGAAATCCAAGGAAAATAATCTCTTAAAAATAAATTTATTTCCCGAGTGAAACTCTGTGGGCGTTGAGCAAAAAAATTAAACTAATCTGAATTTAAATTATGTCAAAATTTCGGACCTATTCAAAATTTGGAGGAAAAATGACCCGAGATTTGCTTTGATTTTTCATAACTTTGGAACGGTTTCAGTTCCAATGATCTTAACGATTCCTATAGAGTAACTTTTTACGTTGATCAACTTAACTGTTGACGTAAAAGTCTTTGGCTTAAAGGAAATGTCACTTGTTGGCAATTTATTTATTGCCCTGCTCGATTGTTTTGGTGGTATTGGAAAAAATGTAGCCCGTGAAATTGTACGTCGGCCATGTAATTTTCAGACTGTTCATTTTCACCCTTTTTGAGATAATACAAACTAAATTTTAATGAAAAACGTGCTTTCGGATGCATATTTTTGGGGTAAAAATCAGAAGAATAAAAAATTATGAAGTAATTATGTTTCTTAAAGTCCCAAAAACTTGATCATGGCTTGATTTTTCAGATCATTTCAAAATTATTCACAACTTTTGAAAATTATGAGGTGCAATTTTTCGGCCTGACTGTTCAATTGCACAAAAAGAAAACAAAATATAAATATATTTTCATAGGCTACATTTATTGATAATGTTTAAATTTTTGATCTTACAATTAGACATATAAAATCAATACAAGTTATTAATTGAAAGATCTATTGGTGTAGCTAAAAATTTAGTAATATTAAAAAATCCCCCCCCCCAGCCCAGCCCAGTGGGTCGCAAGGTCACCGTGTTATCGGCCCCGAAAGGGGAGAATCCGAGTTATCGGCCCTTGCGATTTAGCAGCCTGTCTGCTACCGCTGGTGCCTTTCCCAAGAGGGATAAACAATTAAAAAAAAAAAAAAAATAAATAAATGTTGTTTGATTTCAATTTTATTTATAGAACCAAACATAAATTTTTTTTAACCTCTCAATAATGCAAAATCAGTGTGGTTATTAAACTTGTCTTCGCATAATGTTTGAAATTCTCAGTACAGACACTCATAAATTGTGTTTAACGTACAAAATAGAGCAGAGGCTGCGGCAAGTCGCACCTTCAGCTCGAGCGAAATGTGTTTTGCATACGTAATGAGAAAGAGACGCGCGCGCACTTTTTGATTTATTTGCATTCTTATTAACATGATAGCCAATAAATAACGATTGGAATTAAAAGTCGGACGAGTGGAGAGATTCAATTAAAATCGGTGCCGGCTCATCAATCATGGCCGGACAGCATTTTCGCAATCGCGAATTAGGCCCTGGGAAAAAAATTAAATAAAAGGGCCCACTCGCGGTGTAATTAAATTGGCCCCGCTGCTTTTACTGCACACGTAATTTATCATTCAGTCGAATTAAGTAATGTTTATTGCGCGGGGTAAATTTATTATTTATATCTCGTAAAAAGTGAATAACTTTTTGCTGCTGCCACCACCTCACATTGTAGAGAAACGATACATTGTACACTTGAGCTCATAAATATTAATATTCAATCGCTTATTACATACACTGTGCGTAGTGAGCGCGACGCGACCGGTCATTATAGGCGAACCCGCGCAAAACTGGATTTTTATACTGCGGAGGAAATTTTCTTGCACCGCGGCGCGTCTCAAATTAATGGTTGTAAAAGTTAACAGCGCGCAGGTAATTAACTTGCAAGCTTTTTGCATTTTTATGTTTATGTCCAGGCGGACTCACAGTTTTTCCAGACGACAGGTCAAGATCTCCTTAAATCAAAGTCAACGGTTAAAATTTTGAACATAAAAATAATTGCAAAATAAAAAAAAAATGCTGTAAGAAATTTCAAGGAAAGACTTCAAAATGTAAAGAAAATCTGTAAATCCATTTTGTAAAAGTTTCTAATGCCAAAATTAAATTTACAAATTTTATTTGTTAAAATGTGTTATTTGCTGGGAAAATTTCTGTTTTCGAGTCAATTTTCATAACAAATTAAATTTCCAAGAATAAAATTGATAAAAATCAATTTCCGTGACAAAAATAAACAGTTGACGCCATTTTATTCAGTAATTAATAAAGAAGTTCCAAATTTAAAATTTGAAATGAGCAAAGGAAACGCGTGGTCGCGCAGCCTCGGTCGTGAGCGGCCCTGCTTTTTTTATTATTGATTCAGAGTCGGGATCGAGTGCAGCCTTGGCGCGGCCTAGGCCAACGCTATCGCCAACACTTTCGCCACATCAAGGCGTAATTGGTTGACCTAGGCGCGGAGTTATGACGAGAGCGCCTTAGACCAATTTCATTCGAATCATTCGCGGCGGCCGCGCGCGCTCGTTCCGCGGCGCCGACCGAATTTTCATTCCTCAAACCTGATCTTTCTGCGTCCGAAATTTGAGCAGCATTTTTATTGAGAGACCTACTTTTTGAATTTACATTTATTTCCGCCAAAGACACGCACAACTTTCGACGTGTTGCGCACCTTTGATTATTTTTTGCCTACAGAAGACATTTTGTGTCTCTTCAAAGATAATTTCGTTTTAAATCATTGATGGAAATCAGAAGTTATTTTTAAATGCTGATTACTTAAATTGTTTAAATTATGTACAAAAGGCAAAAACAAATCACTTGATAGGGAATTCACTTAAGTAAAATAGACAATTACAAACAAATTTGTTTGTATCGTACTAAATATTTAATTAATTAGAACAAAGTCTATTATTATTTCAGCTTATTTAACTTATTGTTGAAATCAGGTAGAAATTATTAAACATATTGAGGGCGATCCAAAAGGCTAACTTGGCCCAGGCTAATTTGACTTGGCCTGGGCTAATTTAACCCGCCATTCGATTTTGCTGGTGGGCTAAGTTAGCCCGGAGCTAACTTAACTTTACCTGGGCCAGGTTAGGCTTTTGGATCGCCCTCATTATAGAGAAATTATGGATTTTTTTCCATCACCTTAAAATGTAAATAAATTAGCTTAATTTTCTGGAGATTTTCGTTTTCAATTAAAATTGGTAGTTCAATTTTATATGACTCTATGAATTTTAGTTCAAAATTTAAATTAATCAACGAGTTTTACCAAGAAGAACTCCCGGAAAGGAATTTTTTGCCCAGATGGTATATAAATTAATGCATCAGTTTGCAATCGCTTTTAATTACACGCTCGCTCAGAGACTGTCGGCCGATTCATTTACTTAAGTTCCCTGACCTTAACTTAATTACAGACACGACCGCGATGAATAATGCATGCAAAAAAGCTCTGTATTTTAACAGGAAAACGCGTGCGACGTGTAGGAGGAGAGGAAGAGAAAATGTTTTGGTTTTTTGTTGCTGTACAAATCGATTATTAGAATGTTGAGATTTTATCGGCAGCAATTTAAATTTTCTCTCGGCGAGAATTGCATCAAGATGCTCTACCATTTTTTGCATGTAATTCCTCCAACACTTTCTTATTCAACTCAAACCTTTACTTTCCTCGTGAAATTTCCATCAATATATTTTTTAACTTTCATTTTTATAGTTTTGGTTTTTTTTGTTGAAAATTTTATCGCAAATTGTCCCATTGTAATTTTGTTTTTCTTGAATTAAGAATCGGGAATGATTTCGATAATTTTTTTTTAACTCTTTACTGATCATACAAAATTAAACATTTCACGAGTCACTTGAAATGTAAATTTCGGGCTGCTTGAATTCAAATGCGTCTGGAATTTTGGCGTCAGCGAAAGAAAGGTGAGGTCATCGCGGCCGGCACGGATTTTCGTTCTCCTAATTTGAAGCAGTTCACAAGACACGTAATTGGTCATTAGCACCAGCATTTAAAACCTCATCAGCGGACACGCCACCAAAAATTTGCGCGTGCCCAATTCGTGGAAGCTCAAAAAAAAATAATAAACGAATTCCGCGAATGTAAATTTCCCTCTGACGTCAAATTCAAATTACTTTCTGGGCCACGCAATTCGAGACTAAACCTTAAAGTTGCATCAGATCTTGCCCTCGCAGCGACTTCACTAACAGATATGCCGCTCAAGATTATTAAATTTATCTTCAAACATTCAATTGACTTCGCATTAAAAGAAGCTTTCAAGAAACAAAAGCTAAAATTCCTCTCAAAAAATTGATAACATTAAAGTTATGGAATAAAAAGCTAGAAATTTTCTGATTACATTGATTGAAATTTTCCATTGTGAAATAAATAATTTAATTAATTTGATTTTCTTGAAGGCATATAATTTGTTTCAAATGTTTCTTTGTGCTTTTTTTTAGGTCCTTCAAATCTCTCTTTGTGCATTTTTTTGCTGCTCTTTAATTAAAAAACTTTTCCTTTCCAATATTGACATTTTAGATCATATTTATTTGACGAACAAACTTTCTCGCGGTGAATTCGTCCAAAAGGGCCACAGGAATGTTTCACGCAGCAATTGAATGACGCAACGCGCATCCTCATTTTCATGTTATATTCATAAAATTTGACTCGGCGCAGTGACAGTTACTTTTGTTTTATGGTCAGTGTATCTCGACACGGATTTTCTTCCTTTCGCGCGCATCTTGTTGCTTTTGCATAATAAACTTATCGTCTGCGAGTTAAAATTTCGGATGCAAATTGAGTTTACGGTGCAGATAAATGTCCGAGGCGCGTCTAAATTATTGCGTTCGAGCGCTGAGGCCGAGCAACGGACGAAGAAGTTTTCAGCACCGGCGTTTTTACACTCAACAAGTGTTAAGTGGCGCGAGAGAGACTCGCATATTTATACCTCGTCCCGCCATTTCACAAAAGCGGAGAGCCTTTTATTGTTTCCATCGCAATAAACATGTAAAAGCTCTTTCAAATTATTATTGCATCTCAATTACTCCGCCTGTCATTATTTATTTTGCAAACGCGTCGTTTATAAATTTATAAATAAACAAATATTGATTTTGGAAAATTCTCGGTTCGTTCGATTTCAGGAGGCTCGTGCTGGACGATGGTGAATCACTCGGGCAGGTGCATGGAGAGGTTATCGGACAGGGTGACCGTCGAGGAGTGCTGCAGCTCTCCAGGGATGAGTCACCTGGTTGCCTACATCAACGAGGAGATGGACGCAGGGACCATTTTCTTCTGGCGCGCCCTCGGCGGCGGCGTGCCCTGCGCAGCCTGCAAAGGTACAAATAAATTATTAAACCACGCATTTATTAAATTTTGCCTAAAAATTATATAAATTTCCTTTAATTTTAACACTTTAATCATTTCTCCTACAAAATTAATAGATGGAAAAAATTAATTTCACCTAAGAATCTTGAGAGTCCGAGTTGCTGAGTTTCCGATCTAATTAAATTCATTAAATTAAAAAAAGAAACAATCAAATTAGCACAAATTTTTAACAACATTCTCGCTATTTTTGGAAATAATGCAACCTACAAGAATTTATTTGATTAATAAAAATCTGAGGTGCAAAACAGCGCAGAGTAAAAAAATGAATTTCAGGGAAATGGTTTTAGGAACAAAAAGGGACTCCCATTTCATTCTTTAAAGACCTACTCTGATCATTTTTACTGCTCTTTATTCTGAAAGATTGCTAGATTTCGAGCATATCTCGTGAAAACACTATGTGAAAATTCCAAACCGTTGCGTCGCAATCAAAAGAAAACCTAATACGAGTGATTCATGCGAAAAACGTCAGTTTGGAAAAAAACTGCGAGTTGTTGTGACTTGTGGCGCTGCGATCGCTGATTTTGCCAAGCGTTCTGCACAGCACCGTGGAGCATTAGTGGCAAAATCGGCGAATTTATTTATCAAAATGATAATTGCATTGAAATTTGATTTGAAAATTGGTTGAAATTGCATAGACAGCTGCGTGGACGTGGAGTGCGGGCCGGAGATGAAGTGCGCGATGCGGAACGGGCGGCCCAAGTGCGTGTGCGAGCCCGAGTGCCGCGCCGTGGGCCGGCACCAACGCGGCCCGGTGTGCGGCTCGGACGGCCGCTCGTACCGCAACGTGTGCCGCCTGCGGAAAAGGGCGTGTCGCCAGAAGAGCGCCGTGCAGCTGGCCGTCGCCTACCAAGGACAATGCCAAGGTGAATTTAAAATTTAAAATAAAAAATTGAAAATTTTCAACTTTTTCCCCCTTCAGATTCGTGCGAGAAAGTGCGGTGCGCGGAGAACAAGCAGTGCGTGGTGGACCAGAACCGGATCCCGCACTGCGTCCGGTGCACCCGCAAGTGTCCCAAGGTGGCCGGCATGCGCAAACACGTGTGCGGCGTCGACGGCCACACGTACCAGAGCGCGTGCCACATACGTGAGGCTGCGTGCCGCAAGGGCAAGGCCGTCCCCATCGCCTACCGAGGACGCTGCAAACGTAAGTCACACCGCATCAAAACGAGAACACAATTTTTATTTCTATTATTTATTTCTTTGATTATTTTAGAGGCAAAAATCCTGATTTTTCAGTTCATATGACATAATGAGATTTAAATGATTTTTATTTTTATTAAAAAAAAAAACATTCTGATCAATTTTTATCATAATTTTCTGTACATGTGTAAAAAAATCTCCATATCTACCATCCGAGTAACACAAAAAACTTAATTTTTTAATCTTTTGATTTAACTTTTAATTTAACTATCACAATTTAAACGGATAACAGGGAATTGAATGGCGATAGCGTGAAGCACATACATACTTAAATTTGATTTTGATATTTTGATTTTGAAATTAATTTACGTTTCTAGATAATGATAGGATAAATTGAACCATTCGCGGAAGAACAGAATTTTGAAAATTAACAGGAATTTTCCTCTAAACCGTTGAGCTAACTTTTCTCAGTGCAGACATTCTAAGCTCCTTTAACTCAGAATTTGAACCAATTGGAATCATTTTTTCATAGAAAAAATGTTAAACAAATTTGCTTGAAGTTTCTAATGAAATTTGTTCTATTGAAAACCAGTAAAAATGATGGATAATTTAAAATTTTGCAAAATAATTATCATAGTCAATTTTTTTCAAGTCTCAAAACTCCAAAATATTTTTAATCAGAATGAAATCATTTGACTTTACACTTTGTGAGAATGTAATTTTTATAAAATTTGAAGCACTATTAACACATTCTAATCAATTGTTTTGAAAATTTCGTATCTAATTACCAAGAAAAATTTATAGAATTTATAATACTTTATTTTAGTCATTTTAACTAAATTTAATTCCTGTTTCAGTTTGAATTTTATTATTTAACACGGGAAATAAATTCTAAAAATAATCTTAATTCATCTTGTAGTTCCAAATTAAAACAACGACCGTTGATAAAATTGTACGTGGAACAAAAAAATGGCACCCGCGAGTGTGTTCTCTCGTCTCAAGCCTGTTCTCCCACCAAAGTAGCGATCGAGTGCATGAACAATGCTCGTAATCAAGCAGTCGGCGCAAGGTGAGTGGCAGAAAAATGATACAATTGTGATTAAAGTCTGCTCTCTCGCTCGAAATGAAATGCATAGCTGGGCAGAAAATGTGTAATCGTGACTGGTGAAACGAGGCCGCGCGCGTTTTATAATTCCTGGGATTTTGCATCCACACACACATTTTTTCCTCCACTTTTATTGACGGCGGCGGCGGCGGCGGCGGATCGCACAATGCGCGGCTGCAAAAGCTGCCGCATAAGCGTCTGCGGATTCATCGCAATTAATTGACACACAGACAATGGAAATCGAGTTGCGCGCGCGCGCCAGTTGATCTGCCCAGGCTAATCACGGAACAATGCAGATTTTATGCCCCACATTATAATATGAAGTCGTGCTTTTCAAAACAATATTTCGGATCGTAAAAAAAATTTGCACGCCGAGAAGGAAAAAAAAGAAGTATGAATTTCAAGACCTTCATTAAAGTGAACAACTTTTCCTCCAGACAAATTGATTATTAAATAAAAAGAAAAATTTCGACTTGCAAATCAGTTTTTCCTCATCAAAATTTTAAGATTAACCGCGAGTTTGATTTTTATTTAAACTCTCTTTGGTCAGCATAGCCCGTCAGTTTGCAATTTAAATTTCGAAATACACATTATATAATACTTTTGGTTTAATTATCTTTGGGTAAAACGTGCCGCCCGGCACGTCATACACGCGCTGCAGCCTGCGGAGCTCAATCGCAGAACCCCATTATTTGACACGTCAGTCTCGTCGGTACCTGCCCGAGAGCAGTCCTTACGCGCGAGTACGCTCTTGGTGTGTGTGTGTGTGTGTGTACAATACATACACACCGTCTGCGAGCTGTCTACCGCCAGACGCAAGGTCAAAATCGCAAGCACTCGCTTTTCGCCGCATCTCATTACTCGCTGTCATTGTTTTTAATTGCAGTCAAAATTATAAGTGCGAGAAAATATTATAGAACAAGAGAAAAATCATTCATAGTGAGCAAAATTCTACTTTGAATTTTGAAAATTATTTTAAATAACAATCGTGATCAACTTTTAATTTAAAAAAAAAATACAACATTGAAAATCAATAATTAAACATTCTTAAATTAGGCTGGAATAATTATTTTTATCTACAATTTAATCGCGCATTATTAATTTAAATAAATAGTAACGCAATTGCAGGTCCAGATCTTTTATTCCAATTAGCCAAAATGCAATGGATTCATAGATTAATTAACATTCAATCTTCCATTCACTGCCATCAACGCTGATTGAATTAGTCAGCTCTACAATCCTGTAGTTGGGAGCAATGGTTTTCGTACCCAGAGAAAGATATTTTTTAGCTGCAAAGAATATTATTAATTACTTTTTTGAGAATTTTTAATTAAAAATTTATACTTTTGTCCTTGTTTTCGGCAGCAATATGGAAGAAACCCTTTGCAGACCTTTCTAAATTCCACTGGAAAGTTCCGTCTTCTGACCCCGATGATTTGCTGCCAATCGGTCTCGCTGCATCCTTTTTGAAAAACAGATACGAGCCGTCGTTGTAGTTGTTTTCAAAGTAGACGTCGCCGTCCTTGTCAATCGTCACGTTCCACTTGGTGCCGTAGCCCTCGGACGTCAAGGTGTAGATTTCTTCGGTGCCAGCCTGGTCTGAATTGTTGATCGTGGCGTTTGTGGCGACCAAAGGTTCTCCGTTCTTGGCGTTGATCACTCTGCATTTAGATGTGTCCTTCCAAAGCAGGCTTCGAACCCAATCAGGAGAGGCAGCCTTGGCCTTCAGACATTTTTTATGAAAGACTTCACCTAAATCATTGGCCTCACCAACTGTGATCGTGTCCCTCAAAAGTGCAAACAATTTCAGAGAATTGTAGTCGGCGGGAAGTTTCTCAACCAGTGGTTCGAAAACGATACAGTTTTCCTCCAGGAACGGCAGAATTTCAATAAACTCGAGAATCAAGTCAGGGTCGTCAATTTTTTGAACCACGTCGCGCAGAATCCAGCGGATAGTCTCGTTGTAAGCCGTGTGCCAATACGTCAGGGTGCGCCACTCCTTGTGCTGAACAAGCTGAGTGTACCTCTCGAGATGCTTCTTAGAGCTGCTCGTCAATGCGTCCTTGACGTACGTGCATTTGAGCCTGTTTTCCTCGTCAACGTTGGCGAAATTCTCGGCGTTATCATCAACTACATGTTTCAAGTACAGCCACAGGTTGAAAGCTTCAAAGGATTCGTGGTTGTTCGTTCTGCTGAGTTGGTGGTACAGGGCGTCGGCAGCAACGCAGTCGTTGTCCAGTGACGGCAGCTGGCCGATCAGCTGAAAGACGTCGGCGGCCTTCTTCAGAACGTCCGGGTGCAGCATTTGTTCCACAACTTCGGGGAGGATGAAGTTGACCACGGTATAAAGCAGATTTTCAGTTACGAGTTTCAGAGTGGCGAATTGGTTGGAGGAAATCTCTGTTGTAAGAAGTTTCACAAAATTGTTATTGTTGGGGAGAATTTTCTTTGCCAGAGATTTGTACTGCTCTTTGATATCGTCATCCACCGAACTAAATGCATCGCTTTTTATGTCTTCGTCGATGTATTTGGCAAGGAGAACAATTTCGTTAGATTTTTCCAGATTTTGTTCTTTCATTTTGTTGAAAATCAGAGTGTACGCTTTGACTGAGGTGGAAACATTTCTCATCTCGTACGCATAATCGATCAGATACTTCAGATATGTCGTGTTCTGCGGATCGAAGCCACGAGAAATGACATCGTCAACGTGCGCCCACGGATCTTGTAGTGACTCTGTCTCGTTGACAGCTTCTGAAGTTTCGCCCTTGAAGATTTTCCTCAACGTAGGGTACGCTTTTCCTTGCTTTATTTTGAGATATTGAGTTTTTGTATTTTTAAAATCGTTCTTTTTCTCGTAATCATTTAAAAGCTTCAGTGTCTCGGCATCTACGTTGCTTTTCAGCGTTTCGAAGGATTTCAGGAAGGCGGTGACTCTGCTGTCCAGAATTGCTTCGTCCACTGCTTCGTCAGGATCGACAATTCTCGCGCAGGCTGACAGCTTGACGAAGTTGTTGAGTGCTGGTTTCACATAGGTCAAGCAATCGGGCTTCACCTGCTTTGCAGATTCAATATATGACTTCCAATTTGATGGGGTTGAGGAAGGGAAAATTGAATCAAATTCCTCTCCAGTTAAGTGGCATTTTTCAGACTTCACCGAGGTTTGCAGGAAGAGGAAAATAACCGCAGTCCATATTCCGGCTGAAAATTTTAAAAACGCGTTATTAAACATTGTAAAAGTTTTTTTAAATCCCCTTTTGGCATTGGTCAACCGATTTGGATAAAATTTGGCAGGCTGATTGGGTGCATAGAGATAAATTTCCGAAGGATTTTGAATAAAATTAAATTTTGCCTAATTTACAGGGCTCAAATTTGGGAGAAAATTTTAAAGACGATTTTGAAAATAAAAAAATATCTCGGTTTTTGATAGCGATACGCTAAAAGTATAATTACCAAAGTTATTCTTATTACAAATTGGTTATTCAGGGTTGAAGGGTAAAAAAAACGTTTTTTTTAGCTATTTTGTAAAAATTTACTTTCAACCTCAGTACATATTTTTCTGTTATAATTATGACATAATTTATATCGACAAGAAATGACCTCCTCGACAAGGTCTTGCAAATCATGTATCAAATATCATGACCAAGCCACAAAAGTTCCTTGATCCCGGTGACCTCTGTGACCTTTGACTAATTTTTTTTTAAGTATGACACGATATTTGAAAGAGGACATCAGCAGGAACATTTTGATATAACTGGAATTTTGTTATACATCTGACACGATGGAAGTAATCGTGGATGGAAAGTCATTTGTTAAAAAAAAAAAAGTTCAAAAGACCACGTTTTTTACTCTTTGGCCTTAAATAACTTGAGAACTAGAAAGAAAACTGCCACCAATTGTTAATATGTTTTTTTTCTGCTAATATACGCAACTTTGGGCAATTTTGAAACTTCATTAAAACAGCAATTTCAGAAATTAATTTTGATAAAAGTGACTTAAACCTGTGACCTTGGGCCTTAAAGCTGTAGGTCATTTCATTTCCGACAACTTTCGTTATTATACTTTTTAGCGTATCTCTAAGAGAAACCATGAAATTTTTTGTATTAAAATTTTCCTTTTAATAAAATGTCCAAATTTGAGCCGCTTTACAATTTTGAGTATTTTTTTAAATCTGTCTGAACTTGATCTCTATAGAACTAAAGGAATCGGTCTGACAAATTTTATTCAAATCGTTTGACCCATACCAAAAGGGGTTAATTCAAAAGGAATTAAGCTGTGCAATCAATTTTTCTCAAAAGCATATTCAATCGCATTCATTCAATGCTTCACAATATATTGATAAAACTCAATGTTAATAATACTCACACCAGGCCATCTTGAATGACTGTTTTGTCCGGTTTCTGGGAGATAAGTGATGTGCACAATAAATAGCGCAATCTTTTATAGACCTCGTTATTTTCGGCATTGACCTCTGCCTCTGTTATTTTATCAGCCTGGCCAGTTATTCAATCCGTTGCTACCCAAATCTTGCCAATTTTTTGCACAAAAGTTTCAATCAAAATCTATTAACAAAAAAAAAATATTGGAATTTTTAATTGGCAAAAATATCTTTCGGCCGGATCAATGTTCAATTTTGCCTCATTTGGAACGTTCGGTCAGCAGTTTTGAGGTATAATTTAATTTTTCGGAACACATTCTCTCTCTAGTGAAAATGTGTAAGGCTAATTTTAAATCGTGGTGGTAAAAGCTGTGCGGCGGCGGCGGCGGCGTCCACCGTTTTTACAGCAGTCATAAAAATTTCGCTCATAACCGTCGTGCATGTGCAGGTTGATTGCAAAAAGCACAAAAGGTGCTTGATCCCGCGACGAGACGCCGGCCGGCCTTAATTTTTGCAAATTGCGCACGACCAGAGCTAGAGAGTGGAAGAAGAAGAAGAAGGAGCTAACTGTGCTGCGCGCCACCGAAACGACGCTATCAGATCGAATTGATCCGAAAATAATTGACGGCATCATTTTACCGCCGCGAAGCTCAAACGGTTTTTAATTGCGCCAGATAATTCAAATTCTCTTAAATAACAAAAAGTATAATCAAATTTCTATAAAAATTATTCATTGCTATTTGATGCAGAATGCGAAAATAATCTGGTGCGTGCGTCCACGTAGTGCAGCACCTGTTGCGTGGAGACTCGGCAAAGTGGCAATTAGAGAAAGTGTTGTTTGGTCTCGGTGCTGCTGACGCCGCTCCAGTCAATTAACCTTAGCCACATTTTCTTTCGAAAGCTTTTTCGGCGGCCAGACCGACACTGCGCGCTTATCTCGCGAGCAATAAATCCGCGCTGCGAATTTTCTGCTCGCGGCCATTCCAACGGATGGGCTCGGTTCGACCGAAATTTATTCTTCAAAACGTGAAGAAATGCCTGCGATTAATTATGCAAGGAATTATTATTGATTAAAATTAGCAAATGAACGATTTTTGAACAACTAAAATTGGCGACAAAGTTAATTGTGAAAATGCTAGTTTTGCTATTCGCGGACGATTTTTGAAGTAAAACTGTTTAGGAAATTACTGAATTTTATCAGCGGAAATAATTAAACAAAGATTTTAATAAGGCTTTGTTTGGAATGAGAGTCGGTGGAAGGAGGGATTAGAATGGCCCAGACCTAGGGCATCAAATGCCAAATTGCGTCTCGTGCAACTTTGCCCTAGCCACGAAGGTCGTTAGCTCTCGGTGCTGCGCTTATCAAGCGCGATCGATAGCCAAAAGGTAACGCCTGCCTTTGTTACATTCATCTCCGTCTCGCTAATGCACAGCCCAACATGACGGACGCTTTTTAACCATTACTTTTTATTACACGCGCGGCGGGCAGTGCGCGCAGTGGCATTCCCAGACCCGCTCGAGCGGAAAGAATGCAGCGCCCGCAAATAATGTAAACTTGTAAATCACTTCGCAATATAATATTATTCTGCCGAATGGATGGATTTTGCTTTGGAAATCAATTTTTCTCATCAACAGAACAATAAGAAATCAATTAAATTAATTCAAACTTTTCGTGAATGGAAAAAGGATAAACAACAATTAAATTGGCAAAGTTCCCATTTTAATCTAATAAATTAAATTCATTGTAAGTCCAGGAGTGAAAAAAATCATCGCTTCTGTATTAAGCAAAACAGTATTAAATTTTTTACTCTATGTCTACAACAAAGCAAGTAATCTCTAATTTCCAAAACATTTCACGCAAAATACTGCATTTAATTAGGAAAAATTATAATTATTCGATTTGTAGTAGACGTAAAGTAAAAAATTTGGTGTCTAAAATTATCCTCTTGACAAGACCTTTCTAAGTACGTATCACACATTTAGGTCGCGTGACCCCAGGTCACCGACCTGAGTGACCTTTGACCTCAATGTCACCAAAGGTCATTGACATAAACACCAATCGATTGGTCTTGACGTGGAAATTAACATTGGTTATTACCGTTTTGTACGTAAAATCATCAGAACAAAAGTTACAGACGATTATATTGTTGACACTGCCTGCCGAGGCGCGAAAAACCACATTTTTTAATATTCTTATTTTTATTTAAATTAAACTAAAAATATCAACATCGCAATTTTGACATATATTATGTGAAATTTCATGATGAATTGAATGGCAATCTCAAAAATGATTTTCATCATGCAGCACATTTCCAAATTTGAGTTTGAAAATTTCGGGTCACCAAAAATGACCTTGACCTTTGACATAAAAATTTACGCTCAACATCAAAGTTGTAAATCTTGCTGAGACGAGTTCATCCGTACCCGGAAAATTGTTCTACGACCACTAGAAGCTGAGATAATCACGTTTTTTTGTTTTTCCAAAATGTCCCGCAAAACCCGCAATTTTGAAAATTTTTAGTCAAAAAGTCGCTTCCAAATTAAGATGGTGAAGTGGTGAAAATCTCATATTGATATCTTCAACTTTGGGCGGGGTATGTGAAAACAGAAATAATCAGACTGCTCATTTTTTTTTTTATAAAATCTCAAATTAATTATCAAAGTTGATTAGGATTGCATTCTGATGCGTTTCGCACTGCCCCGCTGATTTTGTAATGATTATTACTATTATTATGCATGTGTGCGGCGTCAAAGAGAGCGTTTCAGAGATTGGCTCTGAGGGCGATGATGACGGATGGTTTTTGCCCCGTCGGCGGCGCGCAAAAGAAGCGAGGCTTAACTTTTACAATCGAGTCTGACTGAGTTATTACTGCATTAAAATGCCGATTCATTACATTATGATTGAATCGGGGGCAGTTCATGTCTGGGTCACTCCGTCTGCGGGCAAATTTCTCGCCTGCCGTCGCAGCAACTTTTTTCCGTTTCATCGAAGCGAGCAGAAAAAATGAGGAAAAGCTAAAAGTAAAAATAATTATAAGAGACGATAAATATTATTTTAAAATTTATAACTATTTTCAGTCCTTTAAAATTTATATTTTAGTAATATTTCATTAGAAACTTCTTTTTAGAACCAATTGATATTGAGGGCGATCCAAAAGGCTGACTTGACCCAGGCTAAATTAACCTGGCCCGGGCTAATTTAACCCGCCATTCAATTTTGCTGGAGGGCTAAGTTAGCCCGGGGCTAAGTCAAGTTAGCCTAACCTGGCCCAGGCTAACTTGACTTAGCCCCGGGCTAACTTATCTCACAAGTAAAATTGAATGGCGGGTTAAATTAGCCTGGGCCAGGTTAATTTAGCCTGGGCCAAGTTAGCCTTTTGGATCGCCCTCATTGTCTTAATTTAATTTTAATTCTGCACAAGTTGAAAAATGATTTCTGTAGAAAAGAGTTTTTGCCGAAAATTGATTTGGTCTGAGAGTTTTTCCACAAAAATGAAGGGCTTGAAATGGTCTTGTTAATAATTTTTTCCCTTTTTAAAACCAGTCTTGAAAGTAGATTAAATTTTTAAAGATTTATTTTTTCGGATTTAAGAAAATTGAATTATTTAGTCGAACTGTGGCTTCAAATCTTGGTACGAAAAGCAGCACATTATTTCGTCCTATTAGAAAAGAAAACGGAATCGTCCGTCTCAAGGTTCAGGTCAAGAGTCAGGCCAAAGAGATTCGCAATAAAATTGTTCTTCTTTTGCGCGCGTGCTGCGTCGCAAAATAAAATGTGTTCGTAACACAAGAACAAGATCACAGCGCCGCGGTTTTACTCTCGCCTTTTCCCCGAACGCAATCACATATTAGAGTTGAGAGTAACAAAACTACTTGCGCGTGTGTTGTTAACAAGAAGCAAACCCAACAATTTTAATCAACTCGTCGCATTTATTTTTATCTTCACATAAAATGAATTGTAATTTAAGTTTTGAATTAAAAAAAAAAAAAACATAAATTGAAATAATAACATTGTGGGCGTTTCCCTGACTTCAAATGGGAATATTTTATCGTCATTATAATTGATTCAATAATTATAAATTAATTAAATAAAAAATAAAAAGATCTCAATAAAATAATTTTAAAATCCTGAAATGTGTAATAAATTTGAATTAAATTAAAGTTGGTTTCTTCCGCAAGATGGAGTATTGAAGTTGATTAAAAAGTGTGTGCTGGTCGCGGTGCGTGCAAAGTTGCTTCTCGTCACCAACTTGTGAGTGTACTTGACGTGTACATAAATTACATGGGAAAAATACTCGGGCGCTCGTTTGCGCGCACCGAGAGAGAGATACATTAGCAACGCACACACTGAAGGTTTGGAGACAGGTTATTGCCCTGTTTGACTCGTGGCCAGAGGGTTTTGTGTGCCGCGGCGGTCCTAAGCCGGCACTTGGGTCAGTCGCTTGGCGCCAGCTCACACCTGCTCAACATAACTGCGCCGGCCTTTCTTCCGAACACGTCATTGCGAAAAAAAACACGCTTAATTCATTTTTGCTTCAAAATCTCCAATCAAAGTGGGTCTGGCCCGGAAAAAATTTCATGAAAAGTGAATTTTTTACTGATAAATGTAACAAGAAGCTGAATTTATATCAATTAGATTTTTTTTTTAATTTTAATTTAAGAATGAACTTTGGTTTCTTTGTGGTTCTGGAAAATAAAATAATAGTTTTATCAGATAGGAACAGTAAGAAATCGTTCAGACCCTGTTTTGATACAAAATATATCAGTAATTTGGAAAATATTTGTTCACAAGTTTTACTGAAATGGGTTTTCCGGAAAGAGTAATTGTTTTACAGGAAAATGTTTCAAACAAAAGTTGTGGAAATTTTAATTTTGCACATTTAGTATAATAACCAATTTTTTCTAAATCCAGTAGGAAAAGCTCTAAAAAAGCTAGAATGTTCAAAAATGTGGTTTTCTTGAAATTTTTGCTCAATTCTAAACGGATGAATATTAAATTCAATCCTAGACCTAGAATGATCAAAATGCGGTTGAATTTTAACCTTTTCATGCTAATTTAGAATACACCAGGCTAGAATTTAATTTTCACCCATATGGTTAGAATTGAGCAAGAATTTGATGAAAACCACCTTTTGGATCATTCTAGCTTTTCTTTTGCTCTTCCTATTGGATTTAGAAGAAAAAAGTAATTGCAAAAAATGTGCAAAATTAAATTTCCAATAACATTTGTATGAAATATTTTCTTCGAAAACAATTACCCTGGACCGAAAGATATAATTTAGTTGTTCGTATAGGAGGGAAGTTGTCTTTTATGGGGCATAATTATATAATTGAAGTTGCATCAAATTGATTGAGTTTGTTGTTTACTTTTCTAAGACGAGACCGGACGTGTTCATCGAGTCGGATGCAACCCATCGAGTTGATATATCTTTTATTAATGCATCTCGCGCTTCATAATTTGAAAAGTTGCACCGGCTTCGAGAGGAAGTAAACAAATTTTATTGCTCTCGCAAGGTCGCGTCTCTAGCAGGGTTGCGTTGGCCTATCCCGAGGACAATTTTATTTTATTAAAGTCAATCTCGCAGCGCTTTGAACAGACCCAACTTTTAATTCAATCAATCCACTCAAACGTCTGAATCTGTTATTATTATTTATATCAGCACGTCAGAGAAGCCTTTTTGTAAATGAAAATTGAGCCTGCAAACCATCTTTGCGGTTTGGGTTATAAATAAACTGCTGCGATTGCGAAAGGAGAGACTTTTGCCCTATTGATTAAAATTTTTCTCTACATTTTAGCATTCGTTTGCTAAACAGGAGAAATTTAAATAATTTGGACAACTGAATTTTTAAAAATTAACAATTTTTCTTGCGGAAATTTTTTTCATAATTGGCCTGACCAGAATTGATAAAAATTTCAACAATTCTCGTTTATTAAGATTAAAAAATAAAATCAAGGTCAGTCCAGGTCAGTCAACATCAAAAATTTAAATAGATCGCACGAGAAAACGATTGAGAGACTGATTAATTTATTTTGCACTTTTTAAATAGACGTTTGTTAAAATTACATTTCTTTTAGTTCTTCTGACAGATTTTTTAATAACAAAAATAAGTTATTTCAAGAATTCTATATTCTCATCCTAATATCAGCGATAATTTGAATGATTCATTCTTAAATGCAACTGAAGAACAATCAAGTTTTTCTTTTCTCACAAAGCCGGATCGACAAAAGATTTTGGTCTGCAGAGCGAAACTTGAAAAATGTGCGTCGTGGAAAATGTCTAACGCAGAATTCCATCGGCCTCCCTCCCTGTGCGTCTCGCTGTTTATTTATTCGGCGCCCAATATCCCCAAGTTCGGGGGCCGGTTTGAGATGCGCGCAATTTAAAAGCGATAAATCTTGCTTGCTTCCCTCGCAAAATCCACTTCTTCTCCTTCTTTATTTGACTCTTAGAATTTATTCTATCGCCGAATAAAAAACAAGTTTCGCACGCCTTATATACAAAGTTGCGCTCGGCATTGTCGCGGCGAGGAAAAAAAAATCATAATAAAATAAATGTTGGCAAAAGAGAGCTGAGCGTAATTCTTGCTGGTCGCAGGTAAATCGCGGCGAATAACACGCATAAAATACACAGGAAGGCCGCGATTACAAGAGATTTATTGTGCGACTCGGAAGAGAGTGCGAGTAACAAGATATTCGCATTCCCATTTACTACCACAAGGCGCCATTCACTTACTTTGTTTTCATTCTTTACAACCAAAAATAACAAATTTCTGCATCAATTCAATGTTTCTTATTAATAGAAAAATACATGAATTTAATTCACTAAATAATCAAGAAAAGTGAATTTAAGAATTAAATTAAAATTTTGACGCAGTGTCTCCGTTTTTATTTCCTAAAAATAAATTCCCGCTTTGTTTTTGTTTTAAATTGTAATCAACAACAACAAATAATGTGAATATTTGCCGATTTCGGTGGTCGGAACCGCTCTTCGGGTCCAATTACGACGACGGCAGAATTCTTGGCAACCAGTTTTGTGCGCCGCGACTTGTTTCGCGCATTTTTCCCATTCCCCGCAATAGTTAAAAAGCAACACTTGTCGCGCGGTGAATGGGAAATTAAGCAGGGCTGAATAAGAGATCTCGTGCTTATAAATCGGCCCTTTGTCTGCTAATTGAATTTATGCGCGGCATCAACAAGTTTAATTTCAGCCTAAAGTGGCGGGAATGAGAATTCTCTCATAAGTTGCGACGCTCGTGCCATCAAGATAACTTTTAACGACACATTTCAAGGCAAATCAAATAAAAAATAGCGACCTTTTGTCTGCAAAATGTGGACTTTGATTGGCTCCAAGAAACCATTAGTTTGTTTGTGCTTCGGCAAAGCGTCCACGCAGAGTTTTCTTATTGAGGCGCAAAGGAAAAGTTAGATCTCTTAGAAATGTAATTTCTGAAATTTCTTTACTTAAAATTGATTGATTGTATCAAAACCAAGAATTAAATTACTGTGTTAAAAACAGCTTCGTTACAAATTTCAGAATTCCCTCTATTTTTGATTTAATTTGACACTAAAATTTCCATGATTTTTTTTGTAAATGAAATTATTTTTTAAAAGGAAGAGAAGCAAAAATGTGTTCCCAACGGTTCAAATTATTAGAAAAATTATTAGACATTTAATACCATTCTGGTTATTTCCATGTAAAAATAGAAGATTATGAAAGAAAAAACACGGTGATTAATAGGATGCAAGAAATTTATCTGGAAATATGGATATTTAAAATCCTTGATTCACAAATTTAAAACCATTAACATTATGCAGAAAATTATTCTCTCTATTCTTTCTCAGGCACTTTTAATTTTCAATGAAATCCTACACAACCACAATCTGTTATTTAAAATAAATTGACAAATCAAATTACGGCAATATCTAGATTATTTATTTTCAATTGTTTTTGAAAAGCTTTTAGAGTTTTGTGCGCTAAAAATTAGAGTCTCTCAGCAGCGTAAATGAAACGAGACGCAAAATAAGCTGCGATTGACAAACTGGTCGAGTTTGTTTGGGCAAAAGGCGTGGCGTGTTTGCAAAACAAAATCCTCCTTAATATTAGCTCTCGGCAGCAAAACTCTGCACTTTACCAAAGCCTAAGAAATTTTATTAAACGCCGAGAGAAGAACAAAAAATTTAAAAATGAAGATATTTTGTGTTAAATGCTGTATTTAAAATTTGGGAGGCGAGTTTGCAGCCAATTAATTTGCATTTAGAGAGATTGTTACGTACAAAGCGCGCCAATTTTATTGCCCGAGATCCAATACAGGTAGCGCGCGGCCGTAACTTAAATTGCTAATTAATTTAAAAACATTTTGTGCCCATATTTATTTATTTTGCACCGGCGCTTTTTACGGCCGCGAAAACTAGTCGAGCATGAATAAAATATTAGCCTGATTGTCCGCGCGCCAAACAAGTGCGAGCCTAAATTAATGCCCCCTCGAATTTCCGCAGTAAAATCGCTCGGCGCGCCGTGGAATTTCACTTTGGGCGGCTTTTTTAATTAATTGATCAGCCTGGCCGTTTCGCAACAAACACGCTTCAAATGCAAAATACCAATTCCAAGTTTTCAACGGAAATTTAAAATAAATTTAATTGCAATGTAAAAGTTATTCCAAATTCAAACTGAATTTTGTGAATAGTAAAATCAAGATGTTAATATCACATTTTAATTGATTCATCAGGTTGTATCAATTTATTTCATATTATCAAACAAATTTTTAGAGAATATCTTATTTTTTTTTATTAAAATATATTTGTTGTTGAAAATATTTAAATAATTAAAAAAAAAAAACAAGACATTTGGTTTACTTTGGAATGAATTTTTCTGATTTAATAGAAATATTTGGTGAAATTGGAGCGCTTTTAAGGAAACATTGTGTGGTGTTTCAGCCGCAGCGACTTGCAAGAACATTAAGTGCCGCGAGCGTCAGGCGTGCCTGGTGGAGCCGGCCTCGGGGCAGCCGCGGTGCGTGACCTGCGGGCTGCGGTGCAAGGCGGACAACAGCGCGCCCGGCGTCGTCAACCTGGTCACCGGCGCCGGAGGACTCGCGGGGCCCATTTGCGGCTCCAACAACCACACCTACAAGACCTGGTGCCACATGATGCAGGACGCGTGCGCCACCGGCTACGTCATCGACACCAAGCACCCTGGAAACTGCACCGCACCTCCCCTCTACTCAGGTACGACAAATTTTGCCCATTTTCATAAATTAAAAAGAAAATTTATCAAAAAATTAATGAGTTTTTTGCAGAAAATAATAGGAAAAATTTAAGTTTATTAACGTTAAATTTTTTCAAATCTTATTTTAAAGGGTTGACCAGTATTTTTTTTATTCCTGAATCAAATTTGAAATATCAGATGAAAAATTTGCGTAAATCAGGTTTCTTAACTATTTGAACGCATATTTAATTTTAAATCGGGACTTACTTCCCCTTGAGTTTCAAATTCTTTTGGCGCGAAAAGGTAGTTTGAAGTTTAAGGGGTGCGATTTTTTTTTTAATTTGCCTTTTTTTCACATTCAGGAATAAAATATATAAAAATACTTATGTCCCTCTTTAAAAATGCATTCTATCTTTTTAGTATTTTTAAGTAATTTTCTCAAATTTTAAAAAAATTTAAATTTTATTTCTTCAGCCAAGAACTCGTCGATTTCCAACTCACTGCTCATTTCGCGAGACAGGCACGCTGCTCCATCGTAGTTTGACGCTAGCAAAAGGAATCGAGTCCAATCGGACGATTTTTCTCAGTTTTGATTAAATTTAAATTCGGTTTTGTTTGGGATTGAAATTTGATTTTGAGGACGATTGAACACTAACCGAGATTCGCAGCAAACTGCCCGAGTATTTTAACGTGTAATCAATCAATTGTTATTCATATTATGAATTTGTTATCATTTTTGACCTAAAAAGGCTGATGTTGAATGGTTTTAACTGTATAGAGACGCACATTATATGGAAAGCGTGACGCGCCGTCAATTATTTTTTAATGTTAGTCTTTTGCAAACCAAATGGCCGTAGTAATCAGCATTCACCCCCTTCCGTTTTAAAAGTAAGATTAGTATTTTTCCTAAAAACGCGGCACGAAATTTTTTGATATAATTATACACTCGTCTAGATGCGTTTTTTAATTGACAATTAATTTTTATAACTCGAGCTATATTTTCACAAATCGAGAAGAGATCGAACATGTTCAAATTAACAATTTAATTATTAAGTTTTTAATTAAATGATAAATATAATATACAAACATTGATTATTATTTACGGGTCCAGAAAGTGTGAATAAACTTAATTATTAATTGTGTCATTGATTGTAAGGTTCGACGCATATGGCTCATTTTCACTGCTTTTCTGTTATTTAAAATTTCGACTCACCATAAAAAAATTCAGTCGTTTTTTAATTATGTTTTGTGCCATAACAAAATCTTTGAAGAGTTGCAAAAATTTTCTTTAAAGACCCACTCCGGTCATTCATATCGCTTTTTGTTCTGAAAGATTGCTAAATTTTCAGTATAACTTTTGAAAACACTGTGAAAATTCCAAACCGTCTCAATCAAAAGAAAACAGGCGAAAAACATGCGAGAATTGAGTTGCCAATCATATGCATTAGTTATGTCCAAAAACTGCAGGATTTGGTCACATTGGCGCTGCGATCGCTGATTTTGCCAAGTTTTCTGCACAGCGCCGTGGGGCTCGAGTGGCAAAATCAGCGATCGCAGCGCCACAAGTGACAAAAACTTGCAGTTCTTTGACAAAACTGACGTTTTTCGCGCGAATCACTCGTATTAGGTTTTCTTTTGAGATTGCGAAGCAACGGTTTGGAATTTTCAGTGTTTTCACAAGATATACTCGAAATTTAGCAATCTTTCAGAATAAAGAGCAGTAAAAATGATCAGAGTAGGTCTTTAAGGGTAAATTTTAATTAACCTCTGTTTCAAGTGTAAATAAAAATAGAGAACAAAACAAGAGAATAAATATTATATACTTAACTAGTGCAAATTGTGATAGCTTTGTAGCGTATAACACAAAATTAAGGAGAATCATCACAATTTTTTTTTGTTCCAAAAGCTGAAACTCTGTCTCTCTTTCAAAGTATTAATTAAAAACATCGATCGATCGTTGTAGTCTTTGTTAGTGCATTTATGATGTATGATGTAAATGAGCTTCGTTACAAAATAGTTAAGCTTAATCTATATATAACTGTATCCTACGAATTTCATTTTAAAGATCAAGCCCAATTACGAACTAACATTGTTGATTTATATGGATGTACCTATCGACGTAATTATTTATTGCATAGTTTGCTCTATTTAATGAAATTGCTGCTAGGCTCGACCAGCAATAAAACTGCAAGTGAGATGAGAAATTAAACTATATAAAATGGGGTGCGATAGACTATCAGTATTATCAACACACCTTCAAGAATGTAGCACTCGATGTAAATAGTTAAGTCGAAATTAATTGCATCAAAATTTTATGTATCGTTTTAGTCTAGAACAACCTAAAAATACCAAAACACAGACCAGACGATTCATGAATTTGTGTAGCCAAGTGAAAATAAATCAATGTTTTCAAACAAAAGAGATTTGATTGTGTTATTTATTTGATATTTTTCCATCTACATTTGCTAAAAAGAGGAACATTCATTTAACATATATTTTTCATTAAAATATATTTCCCGTTTAATTAAAACTTGTCTATATCTATAGGGGACAGACGTTGTGCAAAGTCAATGATTAATCTTTGATAAAAGCATGTTTTCCCCCTGCAAATTTGGCTGAATATGTTGGTTGTGGAAACAGTACTTTGATAAGGGACAGTCTGTTTATATTAATTGATTTTCGTCGATGGCATCGTGATTATTTAGTTTTATACGAGCACAAATTTGTGTATTCTGTTGGGACCGATTTCGGACACGTAGATTTCGCCGGCGTCGGGCGAAACTGCCACCGCGTGTGGTGCTTTGAAGCCCTGGAAAGAAACAATGTTGAATTTCGAAGAGCGGCAACGAATAATTCACAATTGCAAAAGGTATGCAACCCGCCACACTTGATTGCTGCGCAGGTTGCCTACCTTGGAAATTGCATCGCCGGAACTTACTCTCTTCGGGGCCCATTCGTCCAGAATTTTTCCAGCAACGGGGTCAATGGTCAGTCCCATGTTTTCCGTGTCGTCCGTCTGACCAGCAACAACAAATAAAAGTCCACCTGGAAGTTTTAAAAATTAATTAATTAAACTTTTTTTTAATTCGGATGGAAATTTGAAGGCCAATTACTGAAAATGAAAGTGACTTCAGTTGTGGGAAATAAGAGGTCACAGGTCACTTCTGACAGCACGAATGTTAAAATTTGCTATTAAATTATATTTGAAAACAGTGAATATTTTAAAGTAGAAATAAAAACATACAAAATATTTGGGTGGTTTCACGATAGATTTAACTCCAATTGGCAAAATTTTTTCATGAAAGGACCCCATCCCGATTTTCACATATGTTGTTGGGGTAGATAAGACGCTGTGCTCCCTAAAATTTCACTTAAAAATTTTGGGTGCTTTTCCGGGAAATCAAATTTCCAAAAAAACAGAAAATGTTGAATATCTTTGCTTCTATTTAAAAATTAAGTATGCTCTTTTCAGTTCTAGACGTAACTTTTCATGCCCGACAACTTTTCTGTTGACAACTTTTGTGTAGGTCAAAGGTCAAGGTCACTAAATTGCAAATTTCACTTTCTAACGCAATTTTCGCAAAGATGCACCCCTCAAATATTTTTTGGGGTATAGGAAAAAATGTAGCCCCAGGTGTCTAGAACAAAAACCTTGATTTTCAAAATGGGGTTATTTTTTGTTTTTGAGATATTTATAAATGAATTTAAAAAAGTACTGTTTTTTGATGCAAAAAAGCTATTTTTGACTGCTTTTTAAAATTCATTTTAAAATATCTCAAAAACAAAAAATAACCCCATTTTGAAAATCAAGGATTTTGTTCTATACACTTGGGCCTACATTTTTTCCTATACCTTGGAAAACATTTGAAGGGTGCATCTTTGCGAAAATTGCGTCAAAAAGTAAAATTTGCAATTTAGTGACCTTGACCTTTGACCTACACAAAAGTTGTCAACAAAAAAGTTGTCGGGCATGAAAAGTTACGTCTAGAACTGAAAAGAGCATACTTAATTTCTAAATAGAAGCAAAGATATTCAACATTTTCTGTTTCTTATCGCATTTTTTCGGAAATGTGATTTCCCGGAAAAGTACTCAAAATTTTCAAGTGAAATTTTACGGAGAGTATTTTCTCACCTAGCCCAACAACATATGTGAAAATCAAGATCGGTCATTTTTTGGCCAATTTGAGTAAAATCTATCGTGAAACCACCCATTTGCAAAATTTACTTTTTTTTCTACTTCAAGATCAAAAAATTTTTTTTTTTTTTCTGTTTTTCACGTGATAATTAGTCTCAAAACTGCCACAAATTTTTTCCTGTTTGATTTAAGACCCATTAAAAAAGTAACATTTAAAGAAGAAAAAACTTCAAGTCCACTGACCGTAGCTGGCGATTCCGAAGGTGCGTCCCATGGCCGGGTCTTGGAATTCGCCCAAGACGTCGCCACCCTGGTCGTGCGCGTCCTGGCTGAGGCCGGCCTTGAGGCAGACGAGTCGCCTGGTCTCCCTGTCGGCGACGCAGACGGCGTCGCGCTCCTCGAGCAGGGTGATGCCGTGGGGCAGGGTGAGGCGCAGTTCGCCCATCCCGGAGCCCATTTCGTTGACAAACACGCCGTCCGAGGTGAAGCGCATGATCCTCGAGTTGCAGTAGCCGTCGGCGACGAACACGTCCCCGGTCGAGGCGACGGCCACCGACGTCGGCTGGCACAAGTGGCCGTCGTCCGAGCCAGGCTCGAACGCCACGCCCAGCACAAAACTCGGCTCTTCTTGCCCACTTTCGTACTGAACAAATAATTACAAAAATGATCAATTTTGTTTGTTTTTTAATAAAATAAACAACAAAAATTCAAGAAAATCGTATTATTTAAAGACAAATTATAATTTCATCAAAATATTTTTGAAATTTTGTGCTATTTTATTTGAAATTAACCAATTATTTAAAATAAGTACTTATTTTTAAGCAATTTATTACCTTAAAAACTTGATGCAGTGCAACGTCGGTGAGCCAAATGTCGCCAGTGTGCGTGCAAATGGTGATTCCGTGCGGCATGTAAAAAATGTTGCGGCCCCAACTGCTCTCGATCATCCCCGACTGCGGGTCGAGGGTGAGAACGGTGTCCACCGGAATGGGTCCTTGCGATTGTTCTTGGAAGATGAAGCTCTCGTTGAACGAACTGTTATGAAAAAAACGTCAAACCTTTTGTCAGAAAAAAAACTATTAATTCCTGCTTACCGCGAGAGCCACTTGGTCGGTCCTCTGTGGAAAATGACGGGTCGGCCCTGTTCGTCGACGGACACGCCCGAGATTTGGCCCAGCCTGGGAAGCGTGTGGCCCCATCCTTCGATTTCCACAGCCTGGATTTGACTCTCATAAGTCTATAAATAATAAAATTATTTGTTTAAAAGGGGGATGATTTCGTCTGAACTGTCTTTTACGTAAGCAAGAGTATATCCCTCTAAAAGGTTCAAAAAGTATCTCCCCTTAATCATTTCCCCTGAAACCTTATTCCCCTTAAATAGTCTAGGAATCAAAAGAACTTTTCCTTATTTTATAACCCTGAAATTTTCATGTCACTTTGAAATTTTCACCATCTATTGAGACAAATTTTCTAAGATTTCCCCTGCCGCTCTTCTTTCTAGGTAAAAAAGTACTTTCGTTCGGTGGCTTATTTTTTTTTGTATTAATTTTTCTATTTCTCGTAAGCACCTGAAAGTAACGGCTATCGATAGGAAATTTAATTAGCTTTCAAAACATTACCTATTTTAATTAAACGAGGCAATTTTTGGTGTCAAAACTTTAAGTTGCTCGAATAAAGGTAAATTTTTTGTTACTTTTTATTGGTTTTTTTAGCTCTAGCTTTAATCTATAACATTTTACAGAAAAATAATAGATACAAAACTTTTAGATAATTTAATTTTGCACACTTTTTGTATTAAACATTTTCTTCTAAATCCAACGTGACGAAAGTTATAAATGCGGAAAGGTTGAAAAATGAGGTCTTCTGCTCAATGTTTGATTCATGTATTTTGAAGTTGGCAATTATTTCTTTCATTCATTAATTGGACTTCTGAATTTAGAATTAATGAAGAACGTGGTTTTAGGGAAAATAACTGTGACTCAGTTTATCAGAGCGTGTCTCACGACTTTTCTTGAATCGAAAGACGCGCATGCTTTCTAGACCTGTTGAGCTTGGAAAAAATACGATTGGCGCGTGGGTGGATAAATGTCAGGGGGCATATTCCGTGTGTGACGCATCACAGTCGTCATCAATTATACAAATGCGTACTTTTGTTTTAAACAGCTTGTGTAAAATTTGAAGAATATAAACCCTTTTTAACAATGAAAACTGAAGAATTATCACCAAATTTAGTGATTTACAAAATTATTGAGTTGGTAAAATCAATTTCGATTCAAGAAGTAAAGTGGAAGAGAGTTGAATCACATTATTTTTCGAATTACATGAAAATCGTCGCCTGGAATTGGCGCAGTAGGCAACGGGGCGAGCGTGGGTGTCGCGACGGTTGCCTACCCAGCCAGCGAACCACGCACCTGCTTTCCCCGGCCGTGCTCCAAGACTTCGTTGATCAGGTCCTTGATTTCGCTGCTCAGCCGGGGCGTCAGGTCAGGGTATGACACGGTCCTCGAGAGCACCCCGGACACCAGCACGGAGCCCAGCACGAACGCTGCCACCGCCATTCTGCAGGTGCTGAATACACTTTGACGTCAAAGCAGAAACGAGACTTTTCCGAAATCAATAACGGCCGCGGCTGCTCCAGGGCATGCGCCCTAACCTACAAATTTCATTGAGTGCTTAAAACCTGAATGGATTAGCAAATATATAGCAAAATTTGCTTCCGAAAAACTTTTCATTGGAACTTTAAAATTTTCTGGGTTAAATAAAGAAATAAATTACGAAAATACCCAATTTTCATTGATTTTGAACCATTTTATTAAATACATCTAAACGTTTTTACGCTTGAAGAAATCAAAATTTATAAAATAAATATTAGTTCTACTTCAGATTTACTTGAAATTATGGCAATAAATTTAATTGGAGCCTGCTCGCAATAAAATTTGGCTAAAGTACGGAACAAAAATCCTGTATGAAAGGGAAATGCGCATTATTAACAATAATTTGTTTATATCAACCTCGAAAATGCGCAAACTCGATAATTTTGATTCGTTTTGTGACAAAAACAAAAAATTAATTTGTTTGCATCCAAATGTAGCCAGTTCCAGTCATGGTGCAGTAGGCGTTGTAATAGCGTCCTGGGCCACGGCAAAACGACCACTGCGGGCATCTGCAGCGAAACTGCGTCTGGAACTCCTCTTTGCAGATTTCGTTTCCCCAACACGACCGCTTCACGACGAATCAAGAAAACAAATTTAGCGGATTTAAATCATCTAATCTTCAAAAGGAGAAAAATGAGGCTTAATTATAATAATTTATTAAATTATATTGCTTTTAAAATTTGTTTTCCAGATTTAATTGAAGATTATTTTAAAAAAATCAGTAATTAAATTACTAAAATCTCGAAAAGATCTCTTTTGAAAACAATCATTGCAAGTGAAAGTGAATTTTTCGGAATTTTTTTTATTAAATTGATGTGATTTAAGTGAGTGTTGGTTTGTTGTGTTCGTACCTCGGCTAGGTATCCCTTGACAGAGTTGTCTTTGTACGCGGCTGGTCGCGGCAAACTGGCAACGCGGTGCAGCTGCGAGCTCGCGATCGCGACCAGCACCACCCACCAGCACCACAAATTGTGATTCTGAAAGAGAGCAAAACATATGATCGCGCATTGTTGGGCACTAATTCGCTCTGAGCTCACCTTGAAAGTGGCCATGGTTTTCGGCTGAAAAAACTACAGCGAGCGACCGACGTGCGCCACAATTATTATCAAGCACAAAGATTTATTTTTTCCGATTTCCCCGACGCCAGCTCGATCTGCCGAGGAAAGTTGGCGAAGTCGCGAGTGCAAACGCCGGTTCTCTTAATTGTTTTCCGTTCGCGATTCACTCTCGATTTTGGCGAGCATCAAGAAGAAGAATTCAGTCCGATAAACATGGTGAGTTTTGGAAAAGTTCATATTTTCCGTTTCACGATTGAAACAATTTTTGAAGTTGCGAATATTCAGAGACGCACACTTTACATGCGCGAACTCAAAATAATGCCACATAGTTGGTGTGGCAGTTTATTGATCACTCGACTTCTTGAACCAGTTTTGCGCTTTTCAATTGAGATCGAAAGTTTTACACTAATTTTATTTTCAAGTCTCAATATTTCCAGAGTCAAACAGGCTCGAAATTACTTGGCAGCGCCTTTGAAAGTAGATAATTGTGACAGTTAATTTTCCAAAAGCTGCAGTTTGAGTTTATTTCAGATGTAAACAAACCCGCGTCACTTTTGTTGTGGTCGACAAATCGAAGCGTAATTTGATTAATTTTCTTCGTTTAAAATGCACTTTTTTTACCTAAACACACAGGATTTATTATAATGTTTTATTAATTTATTTTAAATTTGCACATAGTAATTTTTGGCTTTAATTAGTTTGGTAATGATCAAACACATCACTCTTTTCATATACAGAATTAAGTAAAATGCACCCAGCCAATAATTCTCAGCAGATTGTAAACTGAAAAGTAAAAAATTCAATTTCAACTTTATTACAAACATTTAACATTCCCAAAGGCGTAATTTATTTGAATTAGTTATAAATTATTAAATATATTTAAAACTTTATAATTATTACAAATATTTAGATATTTTAAAAGATAAAAACATCAATTTAAAATAATTGTAAAATATAAAGGCTGTTTAAATTTATTTAAATAATAAAGTAACATAATACAGTATTATTGACTTCTAATAAGTTTCAACCTTCTTATAGTTCTTATTTGAAAACAAGAATTTCAACTACAATTATTTAATTGAAAGCTAACTGAGCTGTTTGAACAAGAAATTAAAATTGAAATTCACACTAAAATGTGATATTTTTGTAAAAAAGTATATATTTGCAAAACGTTGAATAATTCTGAAAATAATAACAAATACCATTTATTTATTATAAAATTGCAATATTAATTTTAAAGTAAGAAAACGAGTGAGAAAATTGAATTAAAATTAAAAAATTTAAAACAAATGAAGGCTGAAATTGGTTCAAATTCATCCCTCTCCTAAAAAGATAATTTCACAAAAAAAATGGTCACTTCCTTAATTTTGAAATATCAAATTAACTGTTAAATCGAAACGTTTTAAATATTGTTTTCATTTTCTCTTAAAATAACAAAAAATCCAAAAGCAAAATGGAATGAAAAAGTTTTGAATTTGCAGCAACTGCGCGCGCGCTCGTACGTCGAGTACTTCCCGTCAGAGGTCTCTGGCGAGGCGAAGCAGGTGGTGACGTCACGCAACCCCCCACCAGCGCAAGCCGAGGAAGAAATGGCGGATGTGCCCGACCTGAAGGTACGTCTGCCGCCGCTCCCGTTTTCGCTGACCTCGGCACTTTGCCTCGCCGTGAAAATCGCCTTTCGCCCGCCCACGCCACCCTCGCCTAATCGGCCACGCGGCCGAATCCGTTTCGTCGGCCGATTCGGCTCGTTTCGCGCCCAATCGCCGCCCAAACGCGTTGGCGCTTTTTCCGCGCACACGGCGTGTTTTTGTTTTGATCTCGTAAACTCTATTACAATTTTTAATTTCAAATTGAAAAAGTATTGCAACCTTTTTTTACAACAATTATTGAATTCGTTTATTTTTTCCCGTTAAAGGAAAAATTCGAATCGTTCTGGCATTTTCTCGGGCGATGCAAAGACTGCGAGGAATTTGAAATGCGAGCCTGATTGTGTGTGTTCGCAGTCGATGATTTTGTCCTTCAGAGTGTCAGAGCTGCAGACCTTGTTGCAACACGCCGGTAAGAACAGGAGCGGCCGCAAGTGCGACCTGCAGCACCGGGCCCTCGACCTGCTCAAGAGCCGCAACGTCAGCCACTACCAGAAGAAGATCAAGGAACTCTACCGCTCCATCCAGTATGAGAACTAGGATGAAATTTTTACATTTTTCGCCGACAATATATTCTTACAATTATTTACACTAACATCCTTTTCCTTGCAGAAACTCAAACTTGACCCTCTCCGGTGCCGAGGCGAATCCTCCGGAGCCAAACATGAGGCACAACCAGTACGGACAGCCCTCGGGCTATGCCCCCCAGCAAATGGTTTGTTTCATAGACAACGTTGTTTTGTGTTTCAGTAATTTTATTTGCATTGTCATTCCTCAAATTTGAACAAATTTGTATATTTATGTTTAGAATGGCTTTAAAGGGTTGGATAATTTTTGGTTTGGCGAGGTGAAATTTTGATGCGGATGGATCAGGTTTTTCACGCCCTTCAAGATGATACCTTATTTATCATTTGTATTTCAATCCATCTGCATGCAAAAGCCGAAAAGGAATAACTAATTGTTGGCCATCTTGGATTTGTGGGATTTCCAGTTTTATTTTTTAAAGAAAATCAATAGTCCCTATGGTTTTATGAAAATTATATCATTAAAAAAATGAAAGAGGCCATTTTTAAGGACACGTGGGTGGGCACATAGACCTGTTTGGACAGAAATAAGGGGTTTGATGGGGTTTTTTTTATCTGTCCAAGAATTAAAAACAGGCTAAAATTGAATGAAATGAACTTAACAAAGCATTTTTTTTTAATTTCCAATTTTTTTATCTTTATTTGGCAAGCGTGTAAAATATGTATTTGGTTGCCCCCTTTAAGTATGTAATCAATTATTTTCACTGAAATTTCTTTTATACATGTGACCTTTCCTGAAAATTTCAAATTATTATTTTTAAACCGTTCATTTTCAAATAATTCTCAAAAGTAGTTCTGAACTTTAAACTAAGAATCATTGCTTTTGTCTCTACCTATTTGTATTCAATTTAACTCTGCGCATTTCTGTTCAGATTAGCAAAGTCTCAGTGATATAATTAGCATCGTCGCTCTATTTTGAATCTATTGAAACAAGATTTATAAAAAACTGATCTTTTTTTAATAAGAATTAAGTTCAAATTCTTGGCAAAACTTCAGAATTTTCAAATGAAATTCAAAATGGATTTCTTTTTATTAACTAGAAAGAATTTTTATTATTATTTTTTTTTATAACAATGATTTGAGGTGTGTGTGTGTGTGTGTTAGTTAGATTGGTGTGGAAATGACGAAAGTAATGTTGTCTGGTGTGTGTGGTCTGATTCAGTCGTCGAGTGCTCGGAGACTTCCCGCTAGCGACGACGAGCAACTCTTTCAAGCCACCAGTCCCACCACCTCTTATTCCTCCCTGAACGCCATGTTGCAGTCTCGGACGCATCCCCCGCCGCCGCCGCCGACCAACCCCATGGCCTCCCACATGGGCCACTACCCTGCCTACCCGTCCAGGAGCACCATGATGCCCGCCGGCTCGGGACGCTTCCCCGTCCACCCCGACGTCAAACTCAAAAAGCTGCCCTTCTACGACCTCATCTGTGAGCTCGTCAAACCTTCCACTCTCAGTAAGATAATTCTAATTTTATTCAAAAATTCTCTCAAAATTTAGTTCGAAATTAGTTTTTGAAATTTTCAAAATGCTTTTATCTCGGCTTCCCATGGTCATAGGACAAAAATCTGGGTGACATATTATGACCTTAAAACAATATATTTCCCAAGTGTGGCACATGGTTGGAAAGAAAACATCGAGTGGAACATTTTGGTACCCAAAATTGTGTAGTAGCTTTCTTGGGAGCAAAGTTAGCTGAAAATTAAATACGAAGAAATATTATCTGTGAAGTAGTTACATTGGTCAAAACTTGCTCAATAATGACAGTTTTCTTAAAATGATTAAAATATAAACGGCCTTTATTTTTTATTTTTAGTGCCATCGAACGCTGCTGCGCGATTGCACGAGTCCAACTTCACATTTCACCTGACTCCTCAACAAGCTACAGAAATAGCCATGTCCTTCAACAACATAGGCAAAGGAGAATACACTATTCAGGTATTTATTTCATCCGAAACAAGATTTTGTGTAAATTGATGATTTCGTTCTCAATCCAGGTTCAACTGAGGTTCAGCCTTTTAGAGACTTCCACAGAACAGGACGATTGTTTCCCACCTGGGATATCAGTCAAAGTCAACAACAAAATTCTCACACTACCAGTAAGCTTTGATTTTTTTCTTTTATTGGAGTAAACACAGAAATTAATTAAAAAAAAATACCAGTTTTATTGTCTTTTGGCGCGAGTTAAAATTTAAAGTAATGAATTAAGTTAAAAAAGGATTTTAAAAGCAATTTGAATTCCCTCTTTTCTTAATTCATTAAATTTAAACTATTGAGTTTATTAAAGTTTCAATTCTTGATTTTTAATTCTTATTTTTTTTTTCAAATTCGCAGAATCCAATTCCCAGCAACAAGCCAGGAGTGGAGCCGAAGAGGCCTCCGAGGCCGAACAACATCACCCCTCTGCTGAAATTGAGCCCGACCGTTGGCAACACAGTCAACGTGTCTTGGGCTCACGACTACACCAGAAACTTTGTAGTTGGAATCTACCTTGTGAAGAAACTCTCGTCCACAGACCTTTTGAACAGACTGAAGAACAAGGGCGTCCGACCCGCCGAGTACTCCAGAGGACTGAGTGCGTTTTGCATTGTTGTCATTCGATCCTGGTTTTTGATTAAACAAGTCCTGTTTTCAGTCAAGGAGAAGCTGCAGGAGGACGCCGACTGCGAAATCGCAACCACCTCCCTTCGAGTGTCCCTGATGTGCCCCCTGGGCAAGATGAGAATGTCGGTGCCGTGCCGGCCTTCAACGTGTGTGCACCTCCAGTGCTTCGACGCCTCCTTGTTCATCCAAATGAACGAGAGGAAGCCGACCTGGAACTGCCCTGTTTGTGATAAACATGCCTTGTACGACACCTTGGTCATTGATGGGTAATTATCAAAAATATTTACCTTCAAGTAGATCCCATTTTTGGAAAATTTGTTTCAAAGTTAAATAAATAAATTAGATGATTATTGGAAAAACCAACTCATTTCAAAACAACTTCGAGTCGGCTGAAGCTATGAGCTTCTTGTTTCACATTCTCATCTTTAAAACTTGTCATCAGATTAAAAATGAGATTTCCAATTGTTTTAATTTATTCCACCTTTCCTTGAATTAATCCATGTTTTGAATTAAAATACTTTTCACTTCCTCAGATACTTCCAAGACGTACTCCTGTCTTCACGCTTGCCTGCCGACTGCAATGAAATCCAGTTGACCAGTGACGGCTCCTGGACCATCATATCAACCAAGAAAGAGTCGAATGCCCAAAGCCTGTCTCCAAAAAGAGAAGCGGCGGCCGCGCCTGCTGCCAAAGTGGAAAACGTTGAAACCCTGTCTGATGAAGCTGGTAATTGTTTATTTCGAAATTAACCAGTAAAGAACCAGATGTTAAATGCTGAAATTTCCAACAGAAGTGCTGGAGGACCAGCCGCCCAAGAAGAAGCCTGCGCCTGTGATGGTCGACCTGACCCTGAGTGACTCTGAAGACGAGTCTCCTCCCAAGAAGATGCACAACAGGATTCAGGCGCCAGGTATGCTCAGGGCTCGCAGTAGCCGCGTAACCGACGTCGAAAACGCCGTCGTCATGCATGTGGCCGACGCCCTCTTTCCTTTCGCACCAATCGCAAACTTCTCTTCTCACTACCAACTCAAACGACTCTCTGCCCTGACAAAGAAGAAAACCAAGCGATTGGAGCAATCAGGCTCGACAAGAATCGCTCGCGTTGCTCCATTTTCGGCTGCACCGACAAATTCCCAAAGGCGGCCTTTCACAGACCGAAATCAGTAGAGTTTGTTACAATGCCAGATTTAATGACTATTATTATTATGTGAACAAATATTCCGATCAAGTGGACTGATATTTTCAAAGTATTTCACTCAACTTAAGAAACGATGTGCTACAATCAAAGCTATTAAATTATTTTCCATACCTACCCTGCATGCTTTTCTCTGCACTTCTAATGCTTGATCTCACCTTCCTGAATACGAGTGTTTGACTCGACCAAATTAATCTTTTTCAAAAGGGAATTAAAACTTGAGCATTTCAGTTTTATCAGAGATTTCAAACCTTGGAATGAAGATTGGCCTCGTCAAACACTTTTTTTTTCAAAATGCATTTCATGTCTGCTTGTTTTAGTTAAGAAACAAATTTCTTGGTTTAGGACTCTACAAATTTGAATCTATTTCCTAATTTAAGTCATTTCCTGTTGGTATATATTCTTGATATTTAAAATTGAATCAATTTATAAGTAATTAAATTCTTCTTTTGCATATTTTGTTGAACTGCATTCCTAAAACTTCTGCACCAATTAATTGATTAACTGGACTTGATTTTGAATGTCATTTTTTGAACTGATTTGTTTGTAGAGTCGAGCTCGAGTTCAAGCAACAGCAGCTTCGACTCCAACACGAGGCCGACTTCGCCGAGTTCGGTCGGGCGCCAGAGCCCCAGCGTGATCACCCTGGACAGTCCTTCGCCGCCGCCGTCGAACCCTTTCACGCAGCCTTCCAGCACGACGGGCCACTTGGACCCCCCGCCCGCCCATTCCAACAACTTCATGCAAATGTACTACAACTCGATGAGCACCGCCCCCTCCCTGCCCATACTCGACCTGGACTCGGACTCCTCAGGCAGCCACACTTCCAGAAACCAGAATTACAATTGAGCAGGAACAAGAGCGTATTTTCACTTTCACTGTAAGTTAAGTTCATTTTGTAAATTATTCCAAGAGCGTATTTTCACTTTCACTGTAAGTTAAGTTCATTTTGTAAATTATTCCATGCAAAGGATCATCCTGAAACAACGTTGTCTTTTTTTGTAAATAAAAAAAGCCAAAGAAATAATTATTCCATTGTTTCTTCATTTTCTATAGCATTTAATATTAGAACCAAATTAAATTTTTTAAATTCATTAAGCATGCACTTTTTTTTATAAATAGTAACATTGAAATCAAACAATATTGGTGTTCAATGAAAGTATTTATTTTTATATAAAAATAAAAAAAAATTAATAATCAAAGCTCAATATTGCTGTTGCATGAAGGCATGAGAATTGCTCAAACCTTTCTGGCAAATTTCTGCGTTTTCCTTGACGTAATAACCTTCGCCGATCAATTCCATGTCAAGGAGCCCAGCCATCGTGAGCAGTTCCTCTCTTACGGCCTGCTCGTCGTCGAAGGCAATGTGTTCGAGTTTGAAGCGCCAGACGGTGAAGGGGCTGAGGGGCACGTCGCCGTTTTTCAGTTTGGACAGCGCCTCGTTGATTTCAATCGGGTTTCCGAATTCGTCTCTCTCGTAGGTGACCGAGAAGTGGAGCGGATCGCCGCCGATCACGTAGTTGTTCTTGCCGCAGCGGTAATGGCTCGGCCCCACGTGCGTCGTCTCCAGTCTGAAACTGAGCAGCAGGTCCTGCACTCTGGCGTTGACCTTTGGGTCGGTCGAGGTGAAGTTGAGGGAGACCACCTTGAACTTGATGGCGTTCCTCGCGTCCCTCTCGCTTGTGGACGCCACCAGGCTGACATCCTTTCCGCTGAACAGGTCCTCGACCTGAGCCAGGTGCTCGTTGCCCGCGGGCCACGTGTAGAAGGCCCTGCCTGTCCTGAACTTTGGGTTGAAAATGGCGTAGATGATGTCTTTGTCCTGGTCGGTGATGCTGGTGCTCATGTCGTCCAGTTCCGTCTTGATTGAATCCAAACTCGCTTGGACCTCTCGGATCGCGCCGTCCGATCCCAGGCCGGTGCTTCTCAATTTCTCCACCAACCTGGCCAAGAACTTGGCCTTGTCGGCGACGAACGGAAAGATGACCTGGCGGTAGGCGGCGAAGATTTCGATGAAGGCCACCAGCAAGTGGCTCTTTTCATCCTCGGCTCGGGCTGCGAGGTAGGCGTTGCAGGTCTCGATGTTCGTCGCTTGGTTGCAGTCGCCTCCAGAGATCGTGCCTATGAACTGCTTCATCTCCAGTCGGTAGCTGATTTCCTCGATCTTGTCATAGCCCTCGGCCAGAACGTTCACGACGTCCTGCAGCTCTGCTGAAAGCGAAGCAAATCCGTCCTCGTCCAGCAACTCGCCAGTGAATCTGGTGGCAAAGTCGGCGAATTCTCGGATTTTCTTTTTCATTTCGAACGCTTTGATTCCTGTGAGAACCGAGTTCGCCTCTTCTAATTCCGTCTGCATGTTGTTCAATCTCTTGCCCATATCTTGGAGCATCGGAATGAAAATGGCATCGATCATTTTTCTATACACGTCCAATTGTTTAATGGCCAATCTGTTTGCATCAATTGCAGCGTCAATCTGCTCTAGTTTTGCATTCGCTGACTTGATCTCTGATACCAAGCCGAACACATCTTTGGCGAACAGGAACCCTTCTTTGGCACCTTTGAACACCGTTCCATAAACTGATAGTTTGACCTCGTCATCCTCGTTCGCAGCGTGTCCTTTCGCCGCTAATATTTTCTCTTCCACGCCTTCAAACGTCTCATAAAATTCATTCCAAAATTCGTCATCCACGTCTTGTAAATTTGATGCCTCATCAAAGACCACTTTTGCATTTTCATATTCCTGCTGACTCAAAACCTGCGTTTGCAAGTCTTTGTCGTCCAGGAACAGCCGAATTGCCTCGAGTTGAGCTTGTTGCTTCGTGCGCGCGTCCCTCTCTCGATCCTTCAAGTACTCGAGTACCACCGAAGCCGCGTTGTCCGCAGCATTACTTATTTCAGGTAGAAGATGTTCTATGTCTCCTCCGCCACCTGAACCTGAGTTGCCCAGAGCGAGCATGGCACTCCCAGCCAGTCCAGCAACTGGAAAAAATGCTCCAGCAATCTTGAACGACCATCCGAAGATCTTGCCAGCGGCTTTGCGCCTCATCGCCCTTTGGTACGCCCTTTTATTTCGCTGCAACTCAGCAATATTCTCTCCGTACTCATTCTGTTCCTGATAAACATTAGCAATGAGTTCCTCCAACAAGGAATCGATTTCTTCCCCTATCTCGGTCATTTCCTCGTCGTAGAACGTCTGCAGCGCCTTCTCGGCTTCCGCGATTTCCTTCGCCGCCTTTTCTCCCTCTTTTTTCACAGTCTCGTAGACGAACAAATCTTGTTTGATGTCCTTAACCTCGTTCAACCTGCGTATTTCGCTTGTGATTTTATCGCCCAGCTTGACGACTTGCCGGCCTGTGGTCAAGGAATCGCACTTGGCAAGCGTGTCAACAAACATGAGCTCGATCAGATCCAGGTACGAGGAGTCGGATTCTTTACCGAGTTGTTTGAAGATGGTGAACGACTCGTAGAACGACCTGACCACAATCTTCAGGTTGGTCGTGTGCGTGCTGTTGACAAAGGCGTCCTGCACAGCCCCCAAAAACTGGAAAAAATTTTGCGTCGTGAATTTTTTGACGATATCTTCATTCGAGGCGAACTGAAGGAATTCTTCGTCTGCACTGAAAGGCGACGGCGAAAAGATAGCCAAGAGATTAAGACGTAAAAAGGCATCAAAGAAGACTTTTTGTTTCGTGTGTTTGTAATTTGTAACTGGCGAAACTAAGGAATTACCGAGCTGTCCGTCTTCTCCTTTATTGTAATACTGAGTGTAATAATCCTTCCAGCAACTTTCTTTATTGTTCCATGCGTTGGAATCGCAGTAGTAGTAACGTTTTAGAACAAGTATATTGCCACCTTTTCCTCCGAGGCCAGGCTTGCCGTTAGTTCCGTTTCTTCTCGTGAACAAAATCCTCTCGTTAATTAGGATCTCGCCTGGCAAAGCACCTGCTCCGGCGTCTCCGCCTCGTTGACCTGGTTTACACTCTATGTTGAGATTTTTTGTCACTATTACGTCGTATTCGCAATAGGTGGTGAAAATGCCAGTAGAATGGCAACCATATTCATAATAGCTTGATATATATTCGGGTTTCATGGTGTCAGTTATCCAATCCGATTTTTGTTTCACCTTAACTTTTTTATCTCCATCAAAATCTGCATCTGATCTGAAGTCTCCGCTTAAATCACCGTCAGCACCTTTTCTTCCGCCAACGCCGTCTGAGCCATTTCCGCCGAGGCTCTCTACGAACAGCATCTCGGAGTTGACAATTTCCCTGACGACCAGGTGGAATTTTCCAGAGCTGAAACCTTTAGCTCCGCTCGTTCCTGTTGGTGCTGAGTTAGGAATCGGTGGAGCGTCGGACCCTTTGAGTGAAAACTTCGTCCATCTCTTATCAACTTCCAAAACCGGAGCCCAAATTGTCAAGTGCGTGTCGGTCAGATTCAAGTCGCAGTCAACGAAGAGTTTTCTCATCGCCACGATTTCCACTTCGTGCGTCGTGTTCTCCGAAAGGATTTCGCTGACCTGGCTCAAGAAGACGTAATGGCCAGAGTAGAGGAGAACACCTTGAGTGGCGTTGTTGATTTCGTTTGCGGGCACCGATTGGGCCAGGGACTCGATTTCCTGGACCATCACGTCGTTTCCTTTGGTGACGACTTGAATGGTGTCCTGCGAAAATCCCAGATTGGCGAGATTCTTCTGCCAAGTCTGGAAGTTTTCCACGCTCAGGCCGGAGGTCAAGATATTTTGGTCTTTGATTAAATTCTGCTGCACCTGGCGCGTGTCGTGATCCCTCCGCAGGCTTGCCAAAAATTTATGGTTGTTTGTAACTTCTGAGAAAATTCTCCGAAACTCTGATTTGCATCCTAAGATTTCGCGCTCCTCGTACTCTTCGAATGATTTTCCAAGAATTTCGTAGTAGAATTGAATGCGATACGCCACCGATCCTACGTCTTCTCCGCGTTTGCTCGGAACCTCGAGCAACTTGATCAGCGCCTCCAGGTGAGCGAATGTGCTCAATCGGTCAAAGGCGGCCGGGAAGAAGTTGACTGAGAAAGTGTCAAACTGGTTGAACAGTTTTCCGTAGAGCGCCTCCCCCAGAAACGTGGCGAACCCAACGAGAGTTTCGCTCATCTTACTTTCAGCGCCGGGCACGTAAGTGTTTTTTATTGCTTTGCGCGTGGCGGCCGTGACGACGATCTCGGCGGCGCTTCCGATTCTTGAGCTGAAGTCCAAAGTCTGGAAAATCAATTTGCGCAACTGATTGTAGTTTTTCTTGAGCGGCGGCAAATCCCAGGGACTCTTCTTGGCGTTCGGAGTGCGCAGAATGCCGAAACGCTTCTTTTTGAGAAGAAAATCGCCGACGGCGATTTGGCCTTCCAAGTCTGCGACCAGTTCCCAGTCATTATTCAAAAGCGCCTCGTCTTTTTGTTTCTGCGCAAACTTCACAAACTCTTTGATTTTGTACTCGACTTCGCCGTTGAGCTCTGCATCATTTTGCTCGGGTCTGTCGACTTTGGTCGCGACGAGGCTCAAAGAGTCTCCGTACCACTCCACCTTGTCGCCCAATACATCAATCACGTTTTTAATCGCCTTTGTGAGAGTTTCAAAATAAAAGTCACCCAATAGATTAGAAAAGCTTTCGACGATGGTGATTTTCAATCCACCGGCCGTCTCGAAGATGCGTTTGTTGAAGAGTTGCGCTGGCAGATCAGGCTCATCATCAGTCAACGTGAACAATCTACTTCTGCTTTCCAAATTGACGCTCACCGAAGGCACAAACGTCTTTTCCTCGTTTGCGTTCAACTTGAACTTGCCGTTCGCCTTTTCAACAGTCAAAGTCTCGTCGTGGCGCAGGAATTTCTTCAGCTCGTTGATACCTGCGGAGGTCTCGCCGACGAACACCACGCACGAGGCGTTTTTCAAGTTCAGTGAAGTTATCGCCTCCTGAAATATTAAAATATATAACAATTTTTTTGCTATTTAACACACATATATTAATTTGAATTGTTGTTTTTCTCTGAAATGCATATTATGATATTTCTCATCATATATTAAGATGAATTAAAATTTTCATTTTACAATTTAGAGAGGAATTAATTTTTTTTCTAAATTCATAAAAATTAGCAAATTTTACGAAATTAATACAAATTTGCGAATTTGGCATGCTCTCAATATTCATCTAATGTCATTACTTGAAGCAAAAATAATCAGAATTTTTCCTTGTTGATTTTATTATTAATCAAATTTACATTTTTCTACTTTGGCACACTTCAATGAAAAATAATTTACCTTGACGAGTGCATCGTCATCAGGCCTGTCGGCGGACGACACTGGGCAAGTGAAATGAAACATCAAGAGGAGAGTCACCGCCATCTGGAAAATTTACCAAATTATTTTTTTTTTATGAAATGAAAAAATTCAAGCCGACTGAAGAAAACTTGCCATTTTAGTTTGAAATAGAGTGCGTCTTAAGCCCTCTTTCTTTCGCCGGGGCGGCATCCTGGGAGATATTCGAGTGCCTTAAAATCTGGATTTGGTTTATTTATCTCGCCTTTTTCTGAAATGCGTTGAATAATTTGCATGTCTTTCCAATCACAAAATAGAAAATTTAACTAAGGCATTAATTTGTCGTTTATTGAGACCGAATATGGATCAACACATTAAATTTAATGCTATTTGCTAATACCAGAAAAGTTTGTTTCACGATGACCATTTATAATTTATTTTTTAATATTTATTTTGATCAAGTTTGGAAAACATTAATCATAGCTGATTAGTAAATAAACAACAAATCACAAATAAAAAATTGACATTATTTCTTACAATTGTCCATAATACTTTGTCCAATAAAAGTGGCAACAAAAACCAGGTGGAAATTCGTTAATTATGTTTAAAATATACAATTCCTGAAGTGAATCAGTTTACTCTACTCTTAATTTCTTCAAAACTTGTTCTCAATCAAACGGTTTCTACGTTTGTTGTATTAAATTATTTACATATTATAGTAAATGTTTACCTGAGAAAAGTGCTGCTCTCGTCGCAATGTTCAAATGGTAGCTCAGGATTGTCAGAGCAGTGCTTTCTATATTAATAATAACGTATCACTTGAAAATGTTATCCGCGCATTTAGGCAGAATTGAGTACGACAAGACAAGCCTGATAAAAAAGAGTCAGTCTTTGAGTTGGAATTTAATCTGAAGCCTTTTGCTGCTTTTTCCTTTAGAATCGTTTTTTTTTCTTCAGAAAAATTAGACAATCAGAGCTTAAACTCTTCACAATCAAAGATGAATTTAACTCTGCCCAATGCGTATGTCGAATCTATACAATGTATATAATATTAATCATAAGTTTTAATCTCGCCAATAACAATTCATGAAATCATTGCTAGTGCCACTCAGTGCCACTCTTATTATAATATTTGTAATCCGTGGAAAAATTGAATCCGCACAAATGTTTTAAATGTATAAAAAATTATCAAAGATTCTTTTGAATTATTTCAAATCTCCTATATATAATTTATGTTTTTTACAATTAAAAGACAGTTCAGCCAATAAGATTATATTTATGCTTTCAAAAGTTTATTTTGTTCACTTCCATCATTAGGCTGCATTAAAATTAAAACCATCTTGCATCAATCTTGATTCGCTGGACTGCAAACAGGGAAGTTGCAAACTTCTGGACATTGCTGGTTTTGGGTGCAAGATTCGCCTTCAGAAGCCTCTGAAATCAAGTTTCAAAGCAAAGTAAATCAGCTTCTTTATTGTAAAATGAATTAATCTGCTTTCTCTTGTAAAATATTGTTAGACATACTTTTCAGGCAAGACGTCTTGTCCTTTGACTCTACGAAATTGTCGGAACATTTGCACTTTTTGGAATTGGGGCCGCAGGACACAGATTGGGGCGAGCCAAGGTTTGCAGTGCACTGGTCGTCAAACTGGCACGCGTCGCCCACCACATTGGCAACTGCAAACGAATAAATTAGAAATAAGAGGCACCATAAATTATAGAAATGTAATTAGTATTAAAATTAATAAAACCATCTTTTATATGAATTCCATTACATCTAAGGTTGCGTAAAATAAAAGGAAACGGATTTATTTAAAAACTCATGCTTGTACCTGGAAGACAAGACTTTTGTTCACCCAAGACTGAAATTTCAATGTAGTGTTTGCTCGCGCACTGACAGGTTTTCTTGAGGCACTCGGCGTTCTCCGGACACTGGTCATTTTCCACGCACGCCTCACCGAGAGCGATCACTATAAACAATTAATTGAGAATAAATCAAATATACGTAAATAAATAAAATATAAAAATTTAATTTTATAAAAACAAACAGCACAAAGAATATTTTCTGAATGGGCATTAATTGTTAATTCATGGGCTAAGTTTTTACTACAAATAGCCACTAGAGATAAATATGGGTTTACTAAAACTACTGTCAAATTAATTTGGATAAAGATTTTCGTATTTTCTCGGCGGGAGGTTGAAGCTTATGAGCCAAGGCATCTTTTCCCTCTGGAGACCAAGTTTCCAGGGGTCAAAAGGTCGAAATTTAAAGTTTTGTGCACCTTGAAAATAGGCAACCTGACCAAAAAACTGAGTTAGCCAAAAGATGCGCCTTGTCATTTAGCATCTGAATACAAATTTTCAATAATTTTGAACCAGCAGTTTAACAAAATTTTAATATCATTAAATTTAAAACAAGTGTTCTGTTTTTGGAAGAGTTAAAAATTAGAAACATCAGAAAAATGGGGCGTTTTTTTTTTCATATTTCATTAGAGGTCAATTTAATTTCATTCAAAATTGAAGAATTCAAAAAATTGATGGAAGGTTTGATCAACTTAAAAGCTTACTGGGAAGGCATTGGTCGGTTTGTTTGTTCTGGACGGTGTTTTCGGGGCAAACGCATCGTTCGGCGACGCACGTGGCCTTCGCGTGGAATCGGCGGCACTGAGGGTGCTCAAGACATCGGTCCATCATGCTGGGCACTTGGCACACCGTCTTGTCCTCCGAGTCGACGTAGTTGAAGTGGCATTTGCACGTGTAGTCGCCGTCCAGGCCGTCGCACACCGCGTACGGAATCGACTGACACGATTTGCCGACGCACTTTCGTCCGAGAGCTACGCATCAATTTAATAAAAGAAAAATAATTTATCTAATTCAAATTTACCTCCTACGCAGGACGTCAGAGTCTCGTCCGGCGTGTACTTTGGCAGACAAACGCATTTGCAAGAATTTTCCACTGGCGCACAAACGCTGTGTTTGAAGTCGCACGTTTCGGCAACATTCGGGTCGCATTCATCGTTCAGAGCTGAAAGCAGACATTTTTTGGAATTGATTTTTGTTGTTTTTTCTTTAAATCACCAGCGAGAGCAACAGAGGCGAGGCACAGGAGGACGAGAAAGCTTTGCATATTGAGTCGATGCGGCTGCCGCAAAGTCTTCTTTGAATCTTATCTATTGATTGAGATTGCTTTAATATATTTCAAATCTTCTATGACGTGTATAATTCTGTGAAGTTTTTTATCGCGTCCTTGCCTTGAACAAATGTACATTAGCGAATTTCTAACAGCAAAATAATCTTAAATAAATGGAGTTCAAATAATAAAACAAATTAATGGTCAAGCAAAGTTGGTCATATGATCTGAGAATTAAGTGTCTGTCAACAATGCAACAATATAAAGCAAAATAGAAATTAGACATTAATTTAAAATATTAAAACGGCCGGATGATTTGGCTCTAGAATTATCTCAAGATACTTCATTATTATAAACTCGCTTTAAATTTATAATCGCCGGTCTTTTTCATCAATAAAAATGCGTTATTTTGTCAAGAGTTGTGTTTCTTGTTTTTAATTTTGTATACATTGTTGCTGATTTAAAGTCTGACTAATGAAAAAGAGTGGGGGAATGATAAGGTGAGATTGAGATTGCCAAGTCGTGCAAGCCAGTTTAAAAAATCACAAGATTCAATAGTTATAATAATATTTTTTCTATAAAATGAAAGGCGCGACAATATTTGCAAGAATTTGGCTGACCATATTTGCATTTAACTCGTTTGGCAGAGCAGGTACGCAATTAATTTGAACTATTGATTGCACTATTTGAATGTAGTAATTTTTAAATTTGCTAGCCAACCTGGGTGAATCGTGCGATTCCACTGATCTGTGCGAACCGGAGAGCAGCGTCATTTGCGAAGAGAACGTTTGCAAATGCAGGCAGAGATTCCACGAGGAGAGCGGCCAATGCGTCGCAGGTATAATTTTAATTAAACAAAATTTCTTAATTATATCAGAAATCCTCATTTTTTAGCCTTTCAGGATTCATAACTTTTTTCGCTTTGGATTTATAAGGAAAAGTTTTAAACAAAATGTGTGCAAAATTAAATTTCCCACAAGTTTTGTTACAAAAATTTTTCTCTAGAATGTTTTACAAAGGAGCTAGAGCTAAAAAAAGCCATAAAAATCGTCAAAAAATTGACCTTTGTTCAATTGATAGAAACTTTTGGCGCCAAAAATTGTCTATTTTAAACAAACTTGGCAAGTTTCTGAAAGATAATTCAATTTCCTATCGATCGGCGTTAGTCTCGTGTTTGTACACGAAATAGAAAAATTACTACAAAAAATAAAAGAGCGCCACCTTTGAAAGGTACTTTTTTTTACCTACAAAGGGTATCGGAAGGGCAAATGGTGAAAATTTCTTTCCTGGACTAACTCAATTTGAAATTATTTTTTCAGTCGGAAAAAAACTTTCATCTAAAATTGGAATATTTTCAGCTCTCGGCAAGGCTTGCTCCATTGTTGGCGACGAGTGCTCGGCGATTCCGTACGCCATGTGCGACGCCGACGACGGTCTCTGCAAATGCATCCGAGGGTACAACCCGGTCCGCGGAGACTTTCCCTCGGCCTCGTCCGCAGACAAAATCCACTGCGCCGCTAGTATGCAAAATTCTAGGCTAAGAAAGCTGGGCTGAAGTGAAAATTTCAGCGCTGATCGGCGACCACTGCTTGGAGCCGCAGCAGTGCCGACTGCCCTACAGCCAGTTCGACGGCGACAGGTGCGTCTGCAAACCAGGGTACGTCCCTGACAACAAGGCCCAGGGATGCCTGCTAAGTACGTTCATTTATTTTCACCGTTAAAATCTAAAAATTTGAAAATATTAAATCAAGTAAAACGTGGATTTTGAGCAAGTAAAAGTTTCAAAACAAGAAAAATTGAAGAAAAAACTTTTTCTTTAAAAAATTATAGATTTTTAATCTTTCTACGGCTTTTACCATTTTAAGAACCATTCTCATGAATTTAAATCAATCTGCGAATTGAGAAAAGACTAAATTATTTTCCGACTTTTACGGAATTCAAGTGTTTTATGCAAATTCAGGTGCGTCACACCTCGGTGACATTTGCGTCAACGGTGCTGTGTCATGCTCTGGACCCAAACACAACTTGCAAAGGCCCGAAGGATCCGAAAACGTGCACTTGCAAGAAAAATTATTTCATCGGCGATGCTTTCGACGAAAAGTGTCTTCCAGGTATGTATGAGAATTGTCCATTAAAATATTGCCAAAGTTTATTATTTTGGTTTTGAAATTTTGAAAGCTGCCAGAAAGTACGGAGAGCTTTGCCAATCGCTTGCCGAGTGCACCCTGCGTCTTGGGGTCGACGCGAAATGTTCGACAACGGAAAAAGTTTGCGTTTGCATCGATGGTCTCGTTCCTTCCGTCGACAAAAGCATTTGTTTGCCAAGTAATTTTATAAGTGTCTATTTAATTAATTATAAAAATAAATTTAGTTTTGAATGAAATTAATATCAGAGCAAGAGTAAAAAATCAAGCTTTTTTGATTATTCATTACTGTCTAATTATTTTTAATTAATTGTTATGAATGAAATATTTTTTTAATAAAACTATTATTAGAAAATATATAAATAGATTCCTGCATTGATTTTCAGGTGAAATGTAATTTTACAGGGCGAGATTTGAATGACTTTTGCGTGCAAGACCAGCAGTGCAGCAAAAACGCGCCGAACTCTGAATGTGGCGCCGATTTCAAGTGCATTTGTGTCGAAGGTTTCGAAGAAGTCCGGGCCAAGTGCTACAAAAGTGGGAAATTGAAGTATTTTCTTGAAATTTTATTTAATTGGAGAGAAAAGTCCCACAGCAAGTCGGCGATTCGTGCGCCGATTCGAGCCAATGCACCTCGCACGTCACCTCGGAAAACATTGAGTGCAGGGACGGACTGTGCCAGTGCACGCCTGGACACACGCCCAACGCTGATTTCAACGAATGCTTGCCAGGTAGTTTCTTTAATCAAATTTATTTCAAATTCTTAAATTTGAATGAAATGCAGTAAAACCTATTCAATATTTTAGTCAAATGTGCCAAAAAAGCCTAATTATCTCATTTTTTCAACTCAATATTTTCAGTCATTCCAACGCTTCTTAAAAAAATCAATATTAATTTCAAATCAGCTTTTTCAAAAAAAATGTAAAATTTTTAACTCTGATGCAAATTAACATGGCGTATCTTGGATTTTTGAGTCAGGTTACATATTTTGAAGGGGGGCACAAAACTATTTTGATCTTTTGCTAGGGTACTTTAAGAACCATGATATGATTGCAGGGGCGTTCGGCATCGGCTCGCCGTGCTTGGTGAACGCGCAGTGCACTGAAAACATGGAGCACACCCTCTGCGACATCTTCACGCAGCGTTGCGTTTGCAAAAAGGACTTCGTGCCGTCCGCCGACAATTCACGGTGTTTGCCAAGTGAGAGAAAGAAAAAGATTTCAGAGGGTGACAATTACTTTCCTGAGAAGCGAAACAATGATCGTCTTCTGAAGTACTGGAATTTTTTTGGATTTTTTGTAGTAATTTTTCTATTTATTGGACAAACATGAGACCAACGCCTTCTGATTGGAAATTAAATTAGCTTTGAAAAACTTACAAAGTTGACTTCAATGAGACAATTATTAGTGTTAAATGTTTCCACTGTTTTGAGAGAAAAGTTCAATTTTTGTGTCATTTTTTGATGTTTTTTTATTTTTAGCTCAAGCTCTTGTGGAATACATTTTAGAGAAAAATTTTCCAAACAAAACTTGTAGGAAATTTAATTTTGCACATTTTATGTATTTAACATTTTCATCTAAATCCAAAGTGACAAAAGTTATAAATGCGGAAATGTTAAAAAATTAGTATTTTCAATGTTGAAACTATGTATGCAGGAAAATCAACCGAAAACCTCATTTTTCAACCTTTCCACTTCTTTAACTCTTTTCGTCTTGGTTTTACAAGAAAATGTTTAAAGCATAAATTACGCCAAATTAAATTTTCCACAACTTTTGTTTCAAATATTTTTCTGTAAAATGTTTTCCACGAGAGCTAGAGCTAACAAAACCAATAAAAATGACAAAAATTGATCTTTGTTCAAACAATCCGAATTTTGGGCGCAAAAAACTATCTCATTTAAGAAAACTTGGTAAGGTTTTTAGAGCCAATTAAATTTCCTGTCGGTTGCCGTTGGTCCCATAGAAAAATTACTACAAGATATCTTTAACATCCTTTTGATTGCTGGACTATTTATTTTCGGCGCCACTTTCTGTCTTATTCATTGATACTTGATATATTTCTACGCATTTAATGAATTCAATCCTGACGCAATGAAAACTTTTTCTTGATTATTTGGTTCAAAGGAACAGGGGGTCTGTACGACCAGTGCGTCGACGCAGGGCAGTGCCTGGCCGAAATCGGCGGAGAGGTCGACTGCATCAACGGAGTTTGCAATTGCAAGGCGAATTGCCACTTTTTGGACAGCACGTGTTGGCAGAGCAAGCGTAAATAAATTTAAAATGTTGATCTCTAAAGCGATTTTAATCGAGAATATCTTTAAAGGTTTGCAAGACGCGTGCACGGACAGTCGCGAGTGTCGTTTGGCCGATTACAATTCGCAAAGGGCCGAGTGCGACGCGAGCGGCTTCTGCGCCTGCAGAGCCGGCTTCACCACAGATCTCTTTGCAAACAAGTGCAATTCTGGTACAATGAAATGTATTTTAATAAAAATAAGATAATAGTTTCCTCTCTCAGGTGCACAAATTGTGGCGAGTTTTGCAATTCCTGCTCTGGTGCTCGCCTTTCTTCGAAGCCTCACATGATTGCAAGAGAAAAATAAATGCATGTATCAATTTTTCCAAACAGTGTTTAACTTGATTCCACAAGCAACAGTGAAACATTTCTCTCTCATTGTACTAAACATTTTTAAATTATTTAATTTTACGCACAATGTTTTATTTATGGAAAAAATATTCCCAATTTTGGGTGTTATGAATCCACATTTCTCTTGTGTATTATTCTTTTTCCTTTTCTGCGTCAACCACCTTAATTTAAATTTAATTTTGGCTGCATTTTTAAGAAAATCAAAAGATATATTTAATTCAACAATAATAAAATATTTCAATTCAATTAATTTATCCTCTTGCAACAAGTCATACAGAAATGGAAAAATCACATTGGGAGAGAATTGGAATATTTGAAAATTATCAATATTAAACTTAAAATGATTGATGAGTTTTATCACAAGATTTGATTAACAAATATTCACTTTTCGTATATATTTTAATCGTTACGGAAACTTAAATAAATAATAATTTTCAAGTGTAAAAATACTTGTCAAAAAAGGTGGCTCAATATGAAAACAATTTTTTAGACTTTGAAATGGTCACCAGAATTTCTTTTTTAATTAAAATAATTTTTAAAGCAACTTTAGACAAAAAAAAATTAGAATTTATGTAATTCCTGGTATAATCGAACTTTAGAAAAATAATCGAATATAAAATTGATTTGTTAAATTCGCAAAGAAGAATTTCAGTTTTCCCCAAAATGAAGATTTGAAGAAAAAATACCTGTGCTTGGGGGAGGCGCAGGGCATGAGGCGCAGGTGGTTGTGCAGGGCGGCCACCCTGGGGGCCACGCCCCCTAGCCGGCCCTCGGACGAGAACCGCAGCGAGGCCAACTCGTCGCTCAGGGTCAGGAAGGTCAACACGACCTGGCCCTGGTCGTGCCACTCGTCGGGGAGCCCCCTTTTGTCCCTAAATTTATTTCCCCTAATGATTTTTTTCTGTATTTCCCCTAAATTATTTCCCCTAAATTATTATCCCTAAAATCTTTTTTTTATTTCCCCTAAACTCCATTTCCCCTAAATTTCATTGCCCCTAAACCATAACAGAAGGCAGGATTCAGGGCTGTTTCCGTATGCAAAAATTGTTGGTTGCCAGCTCCATCATTTAGAGATAATATATTGTAAATTATTAAAATTAAAAACACAATTCAAAACTTACATGAAGTTTTATAAAGTCCATACTAAAAAAAATTTACATTTCACTAACTCTTATAAACCTGAAGCAAATATAATCTGTGCTCAAGAAGCTTGCAAATCCAGCAAATAAAAACGGAAAAAGGCTATTTTAGCAATATGGGAAAAGATCGAGGTAGTGTACTCAGGATTTGGACTAACAATAAGACTTAACTTGATGGTTATAGAATAACGACAAAATAAATGAAACTAAATATTGATAGAGCATATATTTTGGAAATTATTAAAAATCACATTTTTTCATAATTTGACGATTTAATTCATCTTTTGGTAACAAATTATATATTTTTAAAATATTTTGATCAGAATCAGTCAGAATATTGAAACTTGTATTTTAAGCGTACCTTTCTCTGTGGTATTCCAAGGAAGACTACATTATATTTTGCTCCGTTTTTTTCCACTTTCAGGTAAAATATATATTTACAATTTTTTCAATTTTAAGGACAATAATTTTAGAGGCATTGCTATTTAGGGGAAATGCAAGAAAAAAGTTTAGGGAAAATGGTTTTAGGGGTTTTGATTTTAGGGGAAATGAAGAAATTGGTTTTAGGGGAAAAAAATTTAGGGACAAAAACGGCGACTCACTCATCGATCTCGTGCGAGTGCGCCTGCAACTCCCGCAGCAACTCGCGCACTTCGCGCCACTCGTCTGGTAAAAATGAAAAAAAAAGATCATTTAATTTGATAATAAGAAGATAAAAATTCTTCAACAAAACTCTTAAGTCACGAGAAATGGTATTTAAGTGACTTTCAGCACCAACAATTTTTTTAATTAAAGAAATTTTTTATATTTGTACCATTGATGACGGCGTCCGCAGCCAGGTAGGAAATCACTCGTTCCACTCCTTGACGTACAAATGGTAAAACGCCAGATCGACGTGCCTCTGCGAATTGATAAATCATTTAATTTCACTCCTTTAAAAAGGGTCACTTGTTATTTTTTCCTCCTTAATGTGAAATAAGGCCGAATTTCATGATCAACTTCAAAAGCGAATTTGAAAAATTAAGAATCATTACAGAAGAATTTGAACGTTGGCGGAGAGTCAATTTTACTGTTTTAAAATTTTCAAAATTTCGCAATCGCAGAAATAACTTCTTAGATTTTGTGTCAATTTTCAATAAGGGATCAAATGCAGTTTTCTCAAATATTTACACAAAGATCAAATATTTTCTGTAGGTCACATATGTAAATTTGTATTCAAGGAAACGGGACTTGATATTCTCTGCTTATTTTCAAATCAATTTTTAAGGCCCTTCAGTGGTGGAAAAATGATTTCCGCCAATTGTGTTCTCTTTTTCTTTTAAAATATTCAACCGACAGATGCGCCTTAACAAAGAAAAGAAATTTATTGCATGCTGAAAAGTGCGTCCCTTCTATCTGGAATGAGAGAATTTCGCTCAGGCAAAATTTGAAAAACCCAAACAAGAGCAATTTGAGCTAATCTGAAACCAAATAAATAAGGAAAATAAAAAATGATTGATAGGGCGTTTCGCGCATCGGCAGACCAAACGTTGAAAAGCGCTCAATTTTGATATAATTGATAAAAATCTGACTCTGACAATAAAGTGTCCAAACTGTTGCTAGCGCCAGTGCAAAATTTTAAAATTTAAGGAAAATTGGAGAAATTATTCGCCTAAATTATTCAGTTTCGTGCTTTATTTTTTAAAAAATACTTATATTATTCCTTTTTAGCTTTTTATGTGTCAAGGTTGCCCTGTGAGAACGTAAAAAACATGTAGACTTTGTGAAAAGTCCATCTTAAAACCCAAGACTTTCTCACATAAGAATGACGTGTCGTTTTCACCTTTAATTTCCTCTCAGCCTCACACGAACTCGGCAATTTCAAGCAAAGAGCAACTCGACGGCCGCGGTTTCTACTCAAAGTTGACTTGGTGAGTTTCGTTTGGTCTTTTAATTTTTTTGATTCAACAGTTCTTTTAAAAGAGTTTATCATTTTATCAAGTAAAATTAAAATTGAGGCAAACAAAAAAGAGATTTAAAAAAAGGAGACTTTTTATAGTTTGAAAATCTTAAGCAATCGAGTTGATTTGAAAACAAGTTAAAATTTCCAAGCAAGTGCTCGATCCATTTTCTAAATTTCAATAATTTTTATCATTTGGTCAAATCCAGGGTCGCGGAATTCTAGAATTCTGGCAAAGTCAAGGAAGGATGCCGAGGATGAAATTAACTAAAGTTTGTGTTCTGACTCTGAAAAAATTAAGAGAGCCTTTTCTTCTTCTTCTTCATTTCAGAGCTTAATTTTGCCACATTCCTTCGAATGTTGCAGAAAAAAAGTTTGTTATAAAAATTTTTAGTAATAATTTAATTTTTTCAAGAAGAGTTTTCAAATTTTTTTAATTTTTTGACTCATTTATATAAATAATCTCATCTACGGAACACGAATTCATTAAGCTCAATTTTAAATTTCCATTTCTTGACGATAATAACCGAATATTGCGTAGAACTTGCATGCCAAGCTGCCTTAGACTTTTCTCTTTCTCATCCGCGACTCCAATTTAATCCAGTTTTTTTTTTATCCCCAGGCCAAATGTCTGAGCCCGCGCTTGACCTTCTCTTTCAAGAGAGAACGAGTTTTTCCTTAATAAGAAAAGCGCGAATGCAGAAGATTCATTTCAGAAATAAAAATTGATCAATAAAAATCATAGAATCAATCAAAACCCCATTTTTTTTTCAACCCATATTTCACTTGGGAAAATGGACGCAAAGGCCGAGTGATGAAAAATAGTGAGCAGCGTTTGATTCTCCCAAAAGTGCGCACAGAGCTTAAAATATTCCAAATCGCGAATCAGTGGAATTTCCTGCCGGCTGCGTTAAAAATTGAGCGCGGTTCCTCAGATTAAAATTGCAAGCAAAGAATATTTGACTCTTTTAATTTTGATAAATATTTTCCCGTCACGGCTCCAACTTGGCGAGTAGGTTTAATTTGGAAACAGTTTTGCCTCCAAATTGGGCTAGGCTGGCTGCCATAATTCTCTCCCAAGGCGACTTAGAGAATAGAATAAATAATTTAAAAAAACAGAAATATAATTAATAAAAATTTTGTTAATCTATTTCCAAAACTTAAATTCAATAATTGCATTTTTCATTACAATTCTATTCATTTTAATTAAAATGTTTAATAATATTGTACAAAGAAAAAAATAATTAATATTATCAACTATTGAATAGGTAAAAAAAATCCGTATCGATCAAGGAGGAATTTCATAATACATGGGGACGCGTGAAAACTGCAGGCAGAAATACATTTATTAGGTAGCTTTACCAAAATAATATAACTAAAATACGATAAATCCAATGAATTAAATAGAAATTAAATAATTTATTTCCTCTTTTTAAACTTAAATGATATTGAGTTTCCTTGTTTTAAATTTCACTCTGAAGAAAATTTCAGGAGAAATTTAACGCACTTGACAAAATTTCAATTAATGTAGACCAAACGTATTGATGAGCTTTAAAGGTCACTTATTTAAGCTAAATTATTACCACTCTATTCAAGTAAAAACTATTTTCGAAACGATCTCTTTGATTTATTTTGAACGTGCAGTAAAAATATTGTATTTCCCATCAAAATGAATTGTTAAAAGTGCAATAATTTCCAAATTCGCTTTAATATGAAATTAAAAGTGTAATTGTAGTTTCGAGTATTTTTTTCTCCAAATTTTATTAACAAAAGAAAAAATTATAAAGGAATATTTGAAATTCATATGGTGCTGTTGTGGGTAAAATAATTGTCGGAAGGCAAAAGTGGATAAAAAGAAGACGAGTTTAGTTTGTGGCCGAGGCCGAGCATGAAGGAGGAGCGACGCGGCTCTGTTTTTCTTTTTTTCACTCTCTCCCATATTTGAGCATAGGTGGCGTCGTTGCCACGTTTTTGCTACCTTCCTCAGGTCGCTAAAAATCAAGGTTAAAGGCGGAACCACTTTTTAGCACCACGTAGTCGAAGCAAGACCTATTTTAAGGTGAGACTTTCGCTCTTTAACTTATTTTTGCAAAATTTGAGGTAAAAAGTGGAAAACCATGAAATCAACTTCTGCAAAAATTACGACCTTACTTGTTTCCGCTTCTCGTAGCCTTAATTTCTTTTCCAAATACAATCATTTACGCGGGACCGACTAAATTTTTACCCACAGAATTTACATTCACTTTTTTGCGACGCAGAAAATGAAATCAGTGACGGGCGAAACGCGTGATCTTTTAATTGCGCCGCTCTCCAGTTTTCTCTTTGCATCGTCTCTGTATTAAAAAAATTGTTGCAGATATTAATTTTCTTCAGAGTTTGTTCACAAATCAAGTTTTCAAAAATATCAATCTCATCAGGCAAACGAATTTTTCTTTTAAATCCGAGACAAACACATCGGAATCTTCCATCTTAAAAATTTTGATTCTTGAACTTTTTCCAGAAATCTACTTTTCACAAATTCTAGCCTCACAAAATCTTCTCTCTTTGAATAATATGAAAATCATCGCCGCCGTTGGGGAAAATTTCAAGTCAAATAATTTTAAAGCCGTTCGAAAACATTTTCAGATACATTGCGAGCAAAGCGCCGCTCTGACTCTCTTTTCAATTTGAAATTCAATATCCTTCCATTTCCAAACTTCGTAATCTTATTTTTTTCAATATTCAGTTGCAAGCCCTGTTTTTAAGGAACATTTTTGGTTCGGCCGGAATTAATTTCAAATATTCCAAGTAAATGCAATTTCGTCTGCATAGCCTTAACATTTAGACTTTTTTTTAAAAAATCTTCAGTGGAGAAATTGAAAAGAATTGGGGAAGAACAACCCTCATGCCTGACTCCATTCAACTGATCTGAATTAATACTTTGGATTCTGCCACGCCATCAATGATTTTTATATAATTTACGTCCAAGGATTTTGTAAAGACCGACAGCTAAAAACATGTGTAAACTTTTTACATTTTATAAAAATACACATATGAAATTAAAAAAAATATAAAATCCGATTTTAAAATTCAAGAAGAACTGAAAATTTCATATACCCTGTTAATTTCTCTCCATCACGTTGATACGCAGTCTTAATACTACAGGCAATGAACCAATATTTCAGACGAAATCGCAGCTGAAACGACAGATTAAGCTCATAAATTTAAATTTTATTAAATTTTTCCGCGATTGCGCCACCACGGAAAATTCAAATGAAGTAGCATTGCCATTGTAAGTAATGTAAATATTTTTTTTAGCATTGCTTTTATTCTCACGTTAATTTTTATTACAAATTAATTTTTTCCTTCCGTGAGAGGAAAAATACCCTCGAGAATGTTTGGAAAATATTTATCGCAAACGTAAATACAAATTATTTAAGCAAAATTTATAACATGCAAAAAACTGCATTTTTTTTAATTAACTATATTTTGCACAAAATGGCTATGAAAACGGGGAGGGGGTCTGAGAGCCGACTCGGAGAGGTTCCAAAAAGGTATATGACTTTTTCTCCGAGCGAAAGCCGCTCCCTGAGATTTATTTTATGTAGACTTTCGTCAAGTGAGGCTTCTTGCTTGAGCCACAAAAGTACCGAACGCCAATTGTAATTTCAAACGAGTCTCATTCCAAAGCAATTTATTCAATTTTTTTTCGATGCGTTCAATTCTGCTTTTGATGCTGCAAGAATTTTATTAGGTAAGTATAAATGACATTGATTTTGGTCCACGCGCTTCACCAAAATGAATATTTTTAAATTAGATAATTATGTTCAGATTACATTCCAGTGAAAGTTGTAATTTCATTATTTTAATTCGCGTCTTCGTCACTATAAAATATGATCACGTTATTCAGTATTTTTTTTTATTCGCAGGAGCACTTATAATTGAATTATAAATTTTTTTTCTAATAAAAAGCCAATGCGAATTTTGGTCTTTAATATTTTGGGTCTTTCCACATTAGTGAATATCAGGGAAACATTTGAATTCGCATCATTGAAGGAATTGATTTCATCTGTGCTTTCCCGCATGCAGCATTTCATTTAGCCAAATCCCATCAAACAAATTTTGCCACGCATTTTGCTCAAATATTAAATATTCATTCTTTCGTACGTAAACACTTGCACATATTTTTTGAACCAATCAAGTGACAAAATTGTTTTGTTTTTTTACTCGCGTAAAAATAATAATTTTGAAGAAAAAAAAAATCACATTTCGGCATAAGATTATTTCTTGATTTCAAATGCTTTAGAAAAAATTTAGTTACTTTCTATTTGTTTTAAAATAGATTATCAATACCAAACAAATTCTTTTTTGATTTTTTTTTATTGCTTTATTTGCGATTGATATATCAATTTCTATGTAATTGATGGGCGCAAAAATACACACCAATAAAGCAATTAGTAATTAATTCCCTTTGGACGAACAATTTTAATTTTGTGATTAGAAATCAAGAAAAAAACGGCGTTCTCATTGTCTCGGCTTTTCCAATCATGTCTTTATTGAGAACAAAAAGAGTAGCAAAAGTTTACAAAGAGAAAAATTTCATACATTTTAAAAGATTGCATTGCTTGGGGAAAATCCGTGGTAAATAATTTGTCAAGATTTGGAAGAAAATGCAAAAGCTGAACAGAAGCACAGTCAAGGCATGATTATTATTTAAAAAGCTAAAAAAATTAAGGCTACAAAAGCCAGCCTCGCTTTACTTTTTCTAGCTTGAGACAATTTATTAAAATTCATCATTTTTCATCCTGCCTGGAATTGGCATAAGAACCTGAGACCAACTGATGATACAATTAGTTCTCTCTTCTTGAAATTATTGATTTCATCTTTCATTGAATTTAGGCTAAAAATTAATTTATCTGAATTAAACTCTGGTGACGTTAATAACTTCCGTCTGTATTTGCTTGAAATGATGTTCAAAACGGCCGAAGAAAGATGCCATTTATTTATTCGCATCTCCATAGGGCAATAAATTTAATGAATTTCACTCAATATTGCAAAGGTCTTTGCTGTATTATTTTCGCCGCCCAAAATTTTAGCTCGCTTTCATGGACAGAGTTATTGACATCTATCAATACCTGCAAAGCAAATCATAATTAAAATTTATTTTAAAGATTATTTCTTTTATTAAATATCATTTGTTTATTATAAAATCGATTCCTGTATTTTTTTTGCAGTTGAATGATTTGCTGAAATTTGATTCCTCGGCGTTGACGGCCGCCAAACAAAAATGCCAATAAGTGATACATTAAATGAAGCTGTGGAGAATGGTTTGTGCAATTTTATTTTTACGACTCTTATATTTTTCTACAATTCAATTTCAAAAAATCTAGGTTTTCGGCAAGGCTCTCCCGAGGGACCAACAAAGCTGGGGTTTTTTGACAGGCGCAGTAACGCGGAAAAGTAGCATTTTTTTTAAAATTTAATTATCATTAAATTAGTTTTCATTTTCTTCGTGTTTTTCAAGCGTGTTCGTGCTTGTCGCCCACTACAGCTTCGAGGGTGGTGCCGGGACGTGGCCCCGGAAGGGAAACAAGAAGGATGTCAAGAACCTGAGAAAAACATTTGCTGGAAACCGAAAGTGCCGATTCAGAGATTTGCCGTCACCAAAAAAGGAGGACCTTTTGGCTCTGTTGGCCGACGAGCAAAAACTGAAGAGATTCTTTGCTTCTGAAGGTAGAAATTTTATTTATAAATTAAAACTGGTCTAATGGTAAAAACAGATGCAGAGCCGTCAGTGTTCATTTTCATCATTTTGTCGCACGGAGGTTCCGAGGGAAAGATTTACACAGACGAAATCATATCAAATGTTTACGACTCGTTCAACACCAAGCAATTGTTTGCGAAACTGGAAAAAACATTTGCAAATAGCTTGAGGCTCTTATTTCTAGGGGTGTGTTAAAAAGTTTATTTTTCGGTTTATTAGAATAAATATTTTTGGAAATCAACTACTGGATTAATCTGTACTTTCAGCCGTGCAGAGGTGAACTTTCATCGACAGATAACCAAGACACGGCCACAAACTACTCAAGCAAAGTTTCTTTTGAGCCAAAAATGCACAACACGATTATTTTCTACTCAACGGTTGAAAGTAACTTGGAATTTTTAATTGAACTGGCGATCATTTAATCATAATTTTTAGCAACAACCGCAGGCAGAAATAATGATAAAGGGACTTGGCTTGTTCAGTGTTTGTGCGAACAACTCAACCTGATGAGAGAAAACGAGAGCATCGCTCATTTCTCCACCGGAATGCAAAACAGAATTCACGAATGGGCGATAAAAGCACAACCAAGTCTTATAAATGGAAAGCAAACGGAACAAACAATGGAAATTAAAATGTTTCCGCATGACAGAAAGTTCTTCTTTTCTGCATTCGAGAATTGGTCAGAATTTTTTTTATTTAAAATGGAAATTATTGATCAAAATCTTCCATTTTAGTGGCCAAAGCCAATCGACGATGGAATTCGATTGGATGAATCCAAACACAAAGTCTGTTTTCAGAGGGAAACTCGCAGCAATATTTCACCACGGAAACCCAGAAAATGACGTGATTAAAAACTTGGAATTCAGTCTCGTTAAAAATCTTGGATTTGAGACTAAAAAAATCACATTAAACTGTGAAATTGTGAAGAACTGCTTTCAGGAATTACGTACTTGAGAATTTTTTTAATTTTTAATTTAATTTTCTAAAATTTAAAATTTTTTCAGAGAGAAAATTGTGGATCGAGTACGGATGCTTCGCAGCGTTCATTTTTTGCCAAATCACAGACAAAGACGGTGAAGTTTGCGTAAACCTGAGTGGAAATGAGGAAATGCCGATTGGCGAGTTGATTGACTCTTTGCTAGGATCTAAATCAGAACAGTGGCAAGGAAAACCAAAGCTTTTCTTTCTGATTGACACAGGGACAGCGAATCAGGACGCAGAAGGAGTAAATTTGAAATAGTTTGATAATAACTTAGATTGACTTTTTTTAACCTTAAGAAAGCACCAAGTGAAAAAAAAAATGAAATTTCTCAAGGCGACCCCTCACAGCGGCTGGATGCTTTTTATTCTTCGAAGCAAAGGTCTTGCATTTTAATTTACGAAAAACCAATATTTTAATATTAATTTTTTTTTAAACCTTCCAGATCTTTTGCGAAAACTTTTAGAGATTTTTGAAAACAAAGAAATCAAAGGCGAGAGGAGTCTTCAGGAGTGCCTGTGCGACCTGCTCGTTCAATCAAGTCAAGGGAGGGGAACCCCTGAAGCGATGCTCATCTCTACTTTGCCGCACTCGCTGCATTTCCCGCAGAATTTCTTTAAACCAAAATTTGCATTGAAAATCCAAGATGCTGAAGAAAAGAAGAAATTTAATTTTGAAGTATTAATTCAAGAAGCGATGAAAATGGAGAAGCATCGCGTTTGGCTTTTGTCGTCCCTTCCGGGTTCAGGAAAGACGACCGTGATGAGCGAAATCGCTCTTGAACTTCGAAGGAGACTTTCCAGCGTCAAGGTTTTTAAAATCGGCCTTTTGCAAGATGTGTTAAGTTTAAGTCTTCTTCCAGAAAAGAAAGTTGCTCCCTCTTTGGTCACTGTGATTTCTTCAGCGACTAGAGTTGACGAGGAAGAAATTGAAAATTTAATCGAGGAGAAAAAAATCATCTTGCTGTTTGACGGATTTGACGAGATTTGCCCCGTTCGAAGGGACGCGGTGCTGAATTTGCTAGAAAAAGCGGTTGAAAGAGAAATTCCAATTTGGATTTCGACGCGACCGCACGAAGAAGATGCGATTAGGAGGAAACTAGGCGGTGGGCAGAAAATCTGCACAGCAAGAATTTTGCCTCTTGAAGAAGAACAACAAATTGAACTTTTGAAAATGATTTCAAAAAGAGACTTCGGTGAATGCAAAAGTTTGATTGCAAACTTTCAACGTAACGGATCAGACGATATCTTAAGCAATCCTCTTCACTTGAAAATGATCGCTCAATTGGACAAATCACTTTTAGGAAACGATTCTCAAAACTTGTTTGACATTTACGAGAATATTGTGATGCAGAAGGTGCGGCATGTGCTAAAAGAAGATTACATAGAAGGTAAAAGTGAGTACTTGAATCATTTTGAAAAATGTCTGAGTGAACTGCAAAATATTGCACTTTCATATCTAAATAACGAGAGTGTTAAGGAATTAACATACGAACGCAATGGAATCGTGACACTGATTGATGGAAACATCGTTTTCGTGCACCAAACGTTCGCGGAATTTTTCGCTGCTCAAAATTACATCGACTGCTTAAAGGAAGAAAAATGTATAAATAGTAAAATTCCCTTCGATTTATTGGAACAGAAATACAGACAAGTCAGAAAATTTGTGGAAATGAAAATTTCCGAGCAAGATGAAGAAACTCAAAAATTGAGGTCATCTCTGGAATTAGTTTTGAGTGAAAACCTTACGAACAATATTATTTTTGAAATTTTTATCGGCGAAAATCTGCCGACCATGTTTTCGCTTTTCGAAAACCAAATCAGCTTCAGCAAGAATGGCAGCGAGGTCAAATTTCATTTTGAAGATGGTTATCAAATTTTAAATAAGGCTTGTTGCAAGAGCGATGGAATTGCTATGAAACTTTTGGATCTTCGCGCATTTGAAAGCTTGGAATTTTCAAAAATAAATGAAATCACAAAAATCCTTTCCGGTGCAATCAAGAACAATTTCGTGTGTCTCTTTAAAGCGCTCGTAAAAAAGTGTTCCACTCACAGTTTAATCGAAAATTGCCGAGCGAATGATGATGAAATGAGAGATGCTGTTAGTGATGCATCTGAAAATAATTACCACGAGATGCTTAAATTGGTGATTGAAAGTGGACTTATCGACATGCACGGTAAAGTTGCAATTGAAGCACTTGAACGTGCGGTAAATTTCAACAGCGTCGAGTGCGTTGAAATTCTCATTCAGCACGGCGTTCCTACTGAATGTTTAGATTATGGACACTGGGGGGTTGTTTCTGATTATATGGAAATAAGCACGGCGCAGGCACTTCTTAGGACGGAAAGCGAGGCGCCCGAAGAACTCGCAATCAGACTGTTTGGGCGCGCTATTGAAGGAGAAAGTGTTGAAGCGGCCAAGTATTTGCAGCAAAAATACAGGGTGCTTGAGAAGACAGTTTTTAACAGAGGCATGAGTGCCCTTCATGTGGCGACAATAATGGAAGGGGAAGAACACTCGGCCGCGTTGAAAATGTGTCGGTGGCTGGTGGAAGAATGCGACTTGAAAATCGGGGACAAGGATGATAGAGGATGGAACGCTTTGCATCTCGCAGTTGAAATAGGAAATTCTGAATTGGTGAAGTACTTCCTGGAAAAGGATCCTGCGCTCATCAAATTTGTTAATTTTCAAGGCCTCAACCTCCTTCAATTAGAATGCTATTGGGGTGGAGGAAAAACAATTGTCGAATTCATTCACAGTCGAGACGGCGATTTGATTAAGCAAAAAACGGAGGAAGGCAAAACAGCGCTTCATTTTGCGGCAAAGAATGGAAATCATGAACTTTGCGTTTTTCTCGTAGACAATGGGGTTGATTTGAAAGCCGTGGACGACGAGGGGTGGAATGCAGCCCACTGTGTTGCTAAAAATTATAAAGAGGAAGGAGGAAAAATACTTATGTACCTGCACAAGGAAAAACCTGAACTGATCATGCAAAAAACGATTTTAGGAGAAACAATGCTTCATCTCGCGTGCAAAAACAAAGAAATTGACTTGGAAACAATCAAATGGCTGATGACTCAGGGATTGAACCCACGCGACGTGAACAGCAAAGGTTGGAACGCTCTCCACTTTGCTGCGAGTGAGGAAAATATTAAAACGATTAAGTTCATTCACGAGAAATGTCCTGGTCTGATTGAATCTTTGACGAACGACGGCGAGAACGCGATGCACTTGATGGCAAAGAGTGGTTGTTATGAAGATAAATTAAAAGAACTGCATTCGCTTTGTGGAAAACTGGTCAAGCAGAAAACAAAGACAAACAAAACGATGCTCCACTACGCAGCGCAAAGTAATTGTGATTCTAAAAAGAAGTGTGAATGGCTGGTTGAGGAAATTGGCATGCCGATTAAATCTGAGGACAACGACGGCTGGAATGTTGTGCACTTTGCTGCGAGTAAGGGAAATATTGAAGTGATTACGTTTATTCACGAGAAATGTCCAAATCTAATTGAATCTGCGACGAACGACGGCGAGAACGCGATGCACTTGATGGCAAAGAGTGGTTGTTATGAAGATAAATTAAAAGAACTGCATTCGCTTTGTGGAAAACTGGTCAAGCAGAAATCAAAGACAAATAAAACGGTGCTTCACTACGCAGCGCAATGTCATTATTATGCTAAAAGAAAATGTAAATGGTTGGTTGAGGAAATTGGGTTGCAGATTGAAGCTGAGGACGACGACGGCTGGAGTGTTGTGCACTTCACTGCAAATAATGATAAATATTCAATAATAGAACTACTGGATTACATTAAAACTAAAAACTCCGGACTAATTTTGAAAACGACAAAGAGAAAGGAAACCGCACTGCACATCACGGCCATGAAAGGAAATTTTAAAGCATTCATGTGGCTTTTAAAACACAACGTTGATATTCGTGCGAATAATGTGGATGGCAAAACCGCCTTGCAAGTCGCTCATCCGCAATTGGTTGAATATGTTCATCGAATTTTAGAGGAATGCTCACGGCAACCAATTGATCCAATCTGCAATACGTACTGTTAAGTGTGTTAAAATAAAAATCCTGTTGCGCACAATTTAACAAAATTTTAAATTGGAAACAACTGGAAACTTGAATTACATGCGCGATCTGACTGATCTTTGAAAAAATCACGTGTAAGCAGAATTTTTGTAATCCTCAAAAATAATATTTTGTCAAGTTTTAATTTCGCTTTTCTTTAATCATTCCTATCAATAAAGTTATATATTTTGATTATTCATAAAGTAAATAAAGCCGCAATGTGAGAGCAGAATTATTTCCTTAGACCATCTTGCCTTATCAAACATTTAGTTTTCTAAAAATTTTATTTCATAGTCGGCAAACTTAAAAAAGCGCTCTTATTACGATTTCAAAGTCTATTAAAAAAAATCAGTTTACATATATTACATATATTTACATTTACGTATATAAACGTAATATGCTCTGGTTAGAAAAAAATTAGTTTGTGGTCTGTACCTGCAAATTAGGGCGTTGGTCCTCAAGGGTGCTGAAGCGATGAAATTGGATCGAGGGCGTTTGTGGGTGAGAAAAGCTCCAACAACAACCCCACCTCACCTGCCAGTTTTCAATCTTGATCTCTGCAAAATAAAAAATTGAAAAATCAGCAAGAAATTTGTATTAGTTTAAGTGTTTTTTGTTTGAAAACTATTTAAGTTTACCAGGGTTCATCTAGTCATAATGAGATCTTAGACTTTCTGACAAACAAATTTGAAGGAAATTTATGAAAATTTAATACTTTTCAGGTAAAGTTTCACTGTCTTGTTTTTGTTCCCCCCTGATTTGACCAGGTTGCAAAAATTGTGTACTTACTTTGCTTTGCGCCAGACAATGTGGATGAGTTTGACAAGGAAGGCAGTTTGAGATAAATGCAGTAAAGGGTTCGCAGCAGCCACAGGGTCTCGAGCGAGGTTGCACATTTGACCTGCGAGCAGAATTCAGTCACATTCTGACTATGATGGTCAGGTGGGGATAGCACCTGAGGACGTGAGGGCTGCATTCGTTGAGAAGTTTTCACAAATTTCTCGGGACCAAAATTCTAAGGCATAAGTAAAAGTTATTACTTCTAGATTTGAATAAATTTGCAAAAACCATGTCAAAAGAAACTTAAAGGTTTTAGCAGATTTTTAAATTGTGGTAAGAGAAGCACCAAAATGAATTGTAAAAAAAACTCTGTCGCCAAAATATGCTTTCAGAGATTTAGAAACATTTTATTTTAATATGTTGACTTTTTACTTGACTATCTTGCTCAGAAAAAAAAAATAAAAAAGGTCAATCTCAGATGTCAGACAAAGGTTATTTTTTATGAGATGTATTGGCAATTTGTAATTAAAATAGGACTCACTTTGCCCAAAACTCAGGGTCCACGTGGCGTCGGAGACCTTGGGCGTGAAGTCGAAGATGGCCGCATGGACCAACGATGGCCAATTCAAAATTGAGGTGGACGGACGGCTCGTTGAGGCTGAGCTGCTGCTGACAATTAAACATCGACTGCCTCTGAAATTCGGTTTCATATTCAATGAGAACTTCAGGAATTTTACCCCAATTTACAAAAAATAAAGAGTGTGGGGGATAAAAAGAACTTCATTTTTGTCAGTAGGAAAATATTAAAAGAGAAATTATGGAATTAGATGGGACAAAAAATTGTCTACTTTGTAAAACTTTGAAGCAGAAAAATTGAATAAAATACAAGAAGCATACTTGTGGAGTTTTTTTGGTACAGTAGACGAGGACTTTGTAGGTGGCGGCGGCCGCGGCGGCCAACGGCCAAAACGCCTAAATACTCCACACGTGGTCTGCGCGAGACCATCGGATTCAACTGAAATGAACAAAAGGCATTATTTTATAATTATTAGAGCAAGAATTAAGGTTTCTTGAGGAGAATTTGACAGGGGGGTTGGAGACAAAAGCGACCTTCGGAGGTTCGGAGGCTCAAGGGTTGAGGTGAAGGGTGGAAAACGAAAAGGGTCAATTTAAGGGTGGGTTTGACTCACTTTCCTGATTTTCGACTGCGAAAGTCCAAAATGCAACAAGTTGTTTTGTTTACAAATTTACTCGTGCACTCTCTGCAGTTTTGTTGCCAACGTGACGAAAAATCAAATCTAACTCTGTCGGTAGTGAAATATCCTATTGAAAGTTGAAAGCAACAAATCTTGGTACAAATTCACGTTAATATAAATGAGCAATTATCTTTTAAGAAAAATAATGAAATAAAAACTAAATAAATCGCTTTTTTGGTTCTTCCAAGTTAGGTTTGCATCTTGGACAACTCCGATGCATTTCGAAAAAGCGCGGCAACAGAGCGTGGAATGATTCCTTTGCCATGAGCAAGATTTGTTTCCAATCGACAGCATGCAACAAAAATCCGCAAAAATCAATTAGAAACCTTGAGATTTTAGCTTTTAAAACAATTGAACGAAACTTTAAAAAAATTTTAGGTTCTTTGAAAGACCTTTGCTTGGAACAGACGCAGAAAATAAACTAGAAATTGAATTTACACGTGGATTAACTGAAAAAGGGTTGCGTTGCATTAAAATCTCTATAAAATTTCTAATTGAAGAAATTAGCTCTCAAGGAGACAATTACAGAAGAAAATGGGCTGCAAGAAATTCTTCACAATTTGTCTACATTTGAAACTGGGTCAAGAGGCAGTGGATGAGAAAAGCCAAATTCAAAGAGTAATGGATTGTTTTATTTAACTGGAAATTAACCGCAGGTGACACAGACCTCGGCGCACAGAATAATACAAGGAACAAATTTCTTTCTTTCTTACAAAAATACATTTTCAATGGAATCTTTTTATTATTTAAATTTAATATTCGTCTTTTCACTTTTGCCTCCGAAAAACTGTCCCGACTTGGATTCACTTTGAAGGAGAGAGGCGAGTCAGTTTGCGGCTGCGGAGGGAGGGTCGTCGTTGCGGAGCACAAACTGCTTCATCGCCTGGTCCAGGTCGTTGAGCCGGGGCTGGTCCGAGGGAGGGACGAGGGCGCGCAGCAACTCCTGCAGTTTCAACGCCATCTCGGACCGGCACAGCCTGCATTCAAAGTAGGAAAAAATTATCAATATTAAACTTAAAATGATTGGCGAGTTTTATCACAAGATTTTATTAACAAATATTCACTTTACGTATATTTTAATCGTTACGGAAACTTTAATAAATAATAATTTCCAAGTGTAAAAAATACTTGTCAAAAAAGGTAGCTCAATGTGAAAATAATTTTTTAGACTTTTAAATGGTCACCAGAATTTCTTTCTTAATTAAAATAATTTTTAAAGCGACTTTAGAAAAAAAAAAATTAGAATTTATGTAATTCCTGGTATTATCGAACTTTAGAAAAATAATCAAATATAAAATTGATTTGTTAAATTCGCAAAGAAGAATTTCAGTTTTCCTCAAAATGAAGAATTAAAGAAAAAATACCTGTGCTTGGGGGAGGCGCAGGGCATGAGGCGCAGGTGGTTGTGCAGGGCGGCCACCCTGGGGGCCACGCCCCCCACCCGGCCCTCGGACGAGAACCGCAGCGAGGCCAACTCGTCGCTCAGGGTCAGGAAGGTCAACACGACCTGGCCCTGGTCGTGCCACTCGTCGATCTCGTGCGAGTGCGCCTGCAACTCCCGCAGCAACTCGCGCACTTCGCGCCACTCGTCTGGAAGAAAAATAAAAAAAAAAATTCAAAATTGTATCTAAAAAACGGCTTAAAAGTCTTCAAATCAACTCTAAAACGATGAGAGATGAGATATGGCAATTGAGTGACTTTCAACTCCAAACTTCTTATATTGTTAATAAAAAAGTTTTAACAAAATGAAATAAATTTATACCATTGATGACGGCGTCTGCAGCCAGGTGGGAAATCACTGTCTGGTAGCACTCGTTCCACTCCTCAGCGTACAAATGGTAAAACGCCAAATCGACGTGCCTGAGAATTGAAACATCACGAAATTTAATTCCTTAAAGAGGGTCATCAGCTATTTTTTTTTTTTTTTTTTTTTTTATTGACGAATGTTAAAGAAAGCCAAAATTCATGACCAATATGGAAAATTATTTTGAAAAATTTTCACCCTTCAGCTTTAAAATCACGTTTTGAGTTTTGGCGCCAAAACGTTTAAACTTATGAAGGGATTCAACATTAATGTTTGACTGCTTAAACCTTTAGTGATTTTACAATCAGCAATAACTTCCTTTGGCGGGAAAAGTTTAACCTCGAATTAACCCTCCAGGATTTTACATTTTACAGCCTCATTCATGAAACTGTCGTTTTTTTTTACATTGAGGATTAAACAAATTAAATGTTGCCCCCTGGCCTGAAATGTGAGCAATAAATACCTGTTTGAGCCTTTGCAGTGGGTGGCCTTGGCGCTGTAGATGATTTTGGCGGGAATGCCGAGCTTGTCGACGAGGAAGAGCTCGCGCTGGGTCAGGGTCTTCGGGGGGCAGGTCGGGTCAGGCACCACGTGGCGCACGATGACCTTCTCGACGGCGCTTGACCTCCTGCGAGTCGAGTCTCAGGTTGCAAGTTTCGATCGATTAAAAGAATGACTTACGCGGCGGGACTGGCGAGGTGCTGCAGGACGAAGACGGCCCAGTGCCACAGGCCGACGGCCTCGAGCTGCTCGGCAAACAGCAGGTGCAGGTTCTGCGAGCAGTGCGAGCTCACGTGCGTGTAGTGCAGCGACTCCAGCAGCCCCATCAACAACCAGCTGTGGACAAACACAATTTTTTGAATTTTATCACATTAAATCTTAGTCTAGTTTCCAAACAGAGCGACTTGGAGGAAATTTCAAAGGTGGCTTTTAAAATGTATCATAATTTTCTAATTTTATAATCAAAATTGTTTCAGAAAATAATGAATTTTTTAAAGATTGATATAGTGACCTTGGTCATATAAGTCGAAGAACAAGGTCACGTGTCAAAGTAGCCAGTAAATGAAATATTTCCTATTCATCATAGCCTTCAGGTTCTCTGCTTAATTATGAGCAACATTTCACAAATTGTCTTGGTTTAATTAATCCATTTTCCACATAATATTCAGCGTGAAAGGGTAAAAAACGTGGTTTTTGATAAATTTTTCAGAACAATTTAATTTAAGCCAAATAAACTATTCTCAAGTTTGTGTATTATCCGGTATTATCACTAAAAGTTGAATGACTATCAAGTCATATACAACACTCGGTGACCAAGTCTGAAAAAGGTAAAAGGTCACTGACCCTGGTGACTTTATTGTACCTATTTCGATACACATGGATTTGGAAGGGGACACCAGTGTAGGAACATTTTGGTACCTGAAATTTTGTTTAACATTTAACTTTTGTGAATTTTGCACAACACAATAGCTTGGGACGCCTGAACATTTCTTAACCTTTGACCCTGATGAACTAAAAAACAGGAAAAAGAAGACAATTTTAAGAAATTTTGTTTAATACCAACTAAAGAGCAACTTTTTACTAAGGAGAATCAAAATCATTCAGTTGAGAGGGAAAATTAAATATTTCAGGTTTAAAAAAGGTGACCTTCCACTTTAACTAATGACCTTGATCACTATAACGAAGTTTTAGGGTGATTAACTCCCTAGTTGGACTATTCCAACATTTATCTTGTCCAAGAGCTGAAAACTCTTGATTTTAAAAAACTATTATTGAACAAATTAGAGATTACCAAAAATAGGCGACTAATATTTCAGGTATTTGGTCAGAAGTGAACTAAAAATATACTAAAACGCCCTATTATACTCAAGAGAAGTGTCGTTTTTTAAATATTCTCCTAATAAAATCAATAATTTCTTGAATCATTGACTTGTTTAAAACACTGATTTACTAAAATTTAAAGAAAATTCCTTTATTTTCCAGACCCCTAAGCCAAATGTGATCTAAATCAGAGCCGACCGTTGCCAAAATTTCATGCTTAAGGTAAAAACCACCCTTCGGAAAGGTGAAACTTTTATATGAACCTGAGTGAGAAGTCGAGGGGCGCGTCGGGGAAGTGCGTTTCGACGGCGAGAAGGGGCTCCAGGGGGTAGGTGCGTTGCGCGAAGAGCTTGAGCAGGTGGAAGCGAAGGTCGCGGTGGGGGTGGGCGCCGTCAGGGGGGAGGGGGGCGGCGGCCAGGCGGGCGTCGACGGCCGCCTCGTACTTGGCCAGCACGTCGGGCACGCTGGCCGCGGGGCTGCCGAGGAACCACGCGTGCGCAGCCAGGCACGCCCACCACGGCAACCCCTCCAAAGCGTTCAACGCGCCCTCCCCTTCCTCCCGCACCAGCGACGCAGCCCCCGCGCCGCACAGCAGCCAGGCGCGCAGGCGCTCTCCGTTCACCAGGTGCGATGCGCCCACGGACACCCACTCCTCCAGCTGAAACCAACAACAAAGCAACAACAATTACAACAACTTTCAGCTAATTATTTTCAGATTTCAATTAAAATTCAAAAACGCCACATCATTGAAGAGAATTCTTAAAAAAAAAAAACACACACACAATTTTAAAAACACAAGAAAATACAAAGAAATATTCAAATGAATTAAAAAAAAGCATTTTCCGATCATTCCAAAATTGTAGAATGAAACTTTGAACATAGAAAATCAGTCAATTTTATGGATTTCCATTTAAAATCGTTGAGCAAAATTTTATCTGGTAATAATAATTTTCATTTTTGAGGAAAATAAAAGTTACCTGAGTCAGGACCATGTGCCTGGGGTAGGGACTGGCGCCGGAGGAGGCGACGGTGAGGGCCAGGTAGTGGTCGCCGACGCGCTGACAGGCCTGGACGGCCTCGAGCAGCCTGCCCTGGGCCAGGGTGGCGAGCAGGGCGTGCTCGGGGGTGTGCGTCGGGAGGGATGGCTCGGCGGCCTCCTCCTCGCGCACCACCCCCTCCAGCCACTCGCACACGCCCTTGCGCCGCGCGTGCGCCTCCAGGGCCCTCGTCGGGGCCCCCTCGGAGGTCCCCTGGGGGGCCGAGTCGCCCCACAGGGTGTGGCACAGCAGCAGCACCTGCCGCACCATGCGCTCCTTGCGGCCCCCCGCCCCCCTCCGGCCCCTCGCCCACGTGCTGTGCGCCACCAGCAGGTCGCCGCCCTCGCGCGGACTCCACCGAGGCACCTCCCACCCCTTCTCCTCCCCCTCTGCAGCCTCGCAACGCGACAACTGCAGCTGCACCAAAAGCTGCTCCTCCACCAGCGCCTGCAAAGACAAAATCACGAAATTGTTTTGAATTAAAACAAAATTAATTCGCAATAGAGAATTTTTCAATATTTCGTAAAAATAAAAATCTCAAATACAATTAAGTTGCAAAATTTAAAGTTTTACTGAACTCAGGTCCCATTCCTATGAAGAATATTATAGGCAAAATAAAATTTCCAATCAAATTTTTCTATGCTTTGGCTAAAAGCTTTTGTTAAACATTTAAGTGCCCAAAAAAGAATCTAACATAACTAAAATGTTAAAAAAAGGAAACTCCTACAATGCTCTTGAGTGCAAAATCGTAGGCCAGGGGATTACTTTTGAGACTGAAATCCTCAAATTTGAAAACCACGGATCAAAATTTCAAAATACTAATTGAAGATAAATTTGGATTTAGAAATGAGCTTCATTTTATTTCATTCAAAATGTAACAAAAAAAAATGATGGATCGATTCAAATTGTATTTCTGTCTTTGGATGAAAATTCCAAAAATTCTCATGAAAATGGTGAACAATTATCTGATGATGACATCTTTTGTGTTCTCAATTAGAGGATTGACTATTTCAATGCAATTCATTAGCAAATAAATGGTCCATGGTTGAAGGTTCAACAAAAAAGACATTTGACTTCGGCAAACTTTCAATATTGGCTCCAAATAAACAAAGATTTGGAAGGTGGAAAGCTAGTTGCGAACCTTGTTGGTGTTGCTGGCGAGGTAGGGGCAGGTGAGGGAGACGAGTTGGTCGTGGGTGGCGACGAGGGCGCCGCCGGACGTCCAGCTGGTCTGTGCGCACCGGCCATGGAACAGAGCCGAGTCGGCCGCGCAACCCTCCATGTTTGTGGGCAGTTTCGGGGGGAAGGGCATCGCCCTGGGGGTGACGATGGTGGGTCGCTGGTGGGGCCGGCTGGGTCGCGCCTCCCTCTCCGGGAGGGCCACCTCCAACTCCTCCGCCGCGAAACTCGGCGACGCGGGTTTCTCGAAATGAAACTCGTCCTCGACCATCTTCTCGTCGCCTGCGCCATTCGAACGAATCAGAGAATTGCGATTTCAATTGGCAAAGAGAAACATACCGTAAACCGAGTCTTCGTTCTCAAACAGGGACGCCTTCATCAGGCGGATTTTGCTTGTGTCCATTCCGGTCAGGCGCGGCATTTGCTCGTTCGGAGACAAAATCTCAAGATAATCTGTAGATAAATAATATGGAAATTTTGTTATTCAAAAGTTTCAACACAAGATTAAATAAATTGCTTTCAGATTATTTTTTCAATTAATTCATAAATCTGTTTGAAGAAGTTGACACTCGAGGAGATGATCATGGAAATGAAGAGATCGGGCTTTTCCTCGTTGCAGAAAAATTGTTTTTATTCAAAAACAAATGGCTCTACCAGTTTCGGTCACGGTCTGCGACCCTATTTCATGAGCAAGAAAAAATACAAAAAATCAGCAAATTGAAAAAACACCACATTTTAAATTCATCACCCCGATCGAAGCCGCATCCAAAGTGGTGGCCAAGTTTGCCCCTGAAAAAGCCGCCGAGTGGAAACAAAAAATTGCCGCCGAGCTCAAAAAAGAACACAAATTTCGGCCTAATATCACCAAAGCCGAAGCCCAGGGACTCCGTGACCTCAAGAACAACAAAGAGCTCAAGGTCGTCAAGGCCGACAAGGGCGGCGCCGTCGTCCTACTCGACACCGCCGACTACGACTCGAAGATGGAGCAGCTACTCGCAGGTGGCGAGTACGAGGAGTTGGCCGGCGATCCAACAAGAGAGTACGAAAAGAAGCTGCAAGCCATCCTCCAAGGCACCTCTCTGCACCCAAAAGAGAAAGCAGCCATCACACCTGACCCGAGCCACCCCGGCGCGTCGCAGAACGCCTACAAGACGCCGCACATCTACGGCCTTCCGAAGGTACACAAGGAGGATGCACCGCTGAGGCCCATCGTGAGCACCGTGGGGTCCGCTTTCCAGCCGCTCGCCCGCTACCTGGCCGACATTTTGAAACCTTTAACCGATAAGTCAACAATTAGCATTAAGAACGCAGATCAAATTCTCCCAACAATCAAAAATTTCAAACTTTCAAAATTTGACCAATTTTGTAGCTTCGATGTAAAAAGCCTTTTCACTTCAATCCCAACAAATGATCTTTTAATTATTTTGAGAAAAAAACTTGAAAATGACTAAACTCTAATTGATAGAACCTACCTCCCAATTAGCTCACTTTTGGAATTAATTGAATTTAGTATCAACTCCACCTTCTTCCAATTTAAAGATAAATTCTACAAACAAAAATCAGGTTTGGCCATGGGTTCATCTTTGTCCCCAGTACTGTCCGAAATTTTCATGCAAAACTTTGACGAAATTTGTCTCAAAATATTCAAACAATCCCCCCGTTTGTTTTTCCGATACGTAGATGATTATTTCATAATTTATAGAAAAAGAATTTTCCCAATCGAAAATTTTTTAGATTCTTGCAACTCAATCCACCCCTCAATTCAATTAACTTGTGAGTTTGAAAAGGATGACCAAATCCCATTTCTTGACCTACTTTTAAAAAAAGATGGTGAAAAAATTGCAATTTCAGTTTACCGCAAGCCCACCTCGACCAACTCAACCCTCCACTTTGAATCAAATCACTCTTTCTCAACCAAGTTCTCTGTTGCTCTCTCAATGTTTAAAAGAGCATACAGTTATTGCTCAGGGGAAATTTCTTTGAAAGAAGAAATTTCCAACATTTACAAAATTCTTCGTCAAAATTGTTACCCCGTAAATTTTATCAACAAAGCACACAATAAAGCAAAAAATCCTCCAACACCCAAAGCCCCCGAACAATTTTCAACCACAATGGTCATTTCTTATTTTAAAGGAAAATCAGAGAAAATCAGGGCCATCAGCCAAGAAGTTGCCAGAGTGCGAGTTGCTTTCTCAAACTCTTCAAATCTGCGAAAATGTTTAATGCATGTAAAGCCCAAATGTGAACCTGCTCTGCGTAATTGTGTATACCGCGTGCCATGCGCCGATTGCTCTTCAGTTTACATTGGGGAGACAAAAAGACACGTTTATTTCCGATTTGACGAGCATAAAAGGGCAATTTCAAAAACTTTTGATCCGGCCACAATTGGGACGGACAGCAATGGTTTTCAAATAGCTCAACACGCGACTGAATTTGGCCATTCTTTTGCCTGGTCAGATGCAACGGTTATTAAATTCGAACAAAATCAATCAAAAAGAAAAGTGCTGGAAGCAATGGCAATGGCATGCGGTAATAATGTAATAAGCCAACGGAGCCACCAATTCGATCAAAGGTGGATGTCCTTTTTGAGAGAGGAAGCAAACAGCTTTTTCTCGAAAACGCATAATGTGCTCGACGTCATTCGGCGCCCCCGTGGTCGGCCGCGCCGCGCGCTAATCACCCAATAAAGATCACCTCCCCCAATCAATCTGTCTTTAGCTAGCTCATTCTTGTATTAGTCAGCGAGCAGCGCGTTTTGCTCATGAAATAGGTTGGTACCTGAATTTGTTAGTTTTTAAGAATTTAATTTTTTATTTAAAATGTGGTGTTTTTTCAATTTGCTGATTTTTTGTATTTTTTCTTGCTCATGAAATAGGGTCGCAGACCGTAACCGAAACTGGTAGAGCCATTTGTTTTTGAATAAAAACAATTTTTCTGCAACGAGGAAAAGCCCGATCTCTTCATTTCCAATTCATAAATCATTGATTAATAAGCTTTTTAAATGAGAAACAGAAGAAAACTTGGTGTTTGCAATAATTTATAATTTATCATTTTTATTATTTAATAACCGTCAATATCTCACAAAATCAACTTCAAATTTTAGATGTGTTGTTAAAACTTAAGTAACTTTTGGCAATGATGGAACCAAAACTTCTATTATTTATGTTTCAGGTTTCAAAAAATGACTTGAGAATTTCCAGAACAAATTGATAAATGAATTAAACTGTTCAGTCCAAATCTATTGTGATAAAAATTAAACAAATTTGGAAGACTTGCCTTCGTCCATGGTCTCGAGGTTGGTCATGTTGACGGAAGTGTTGAAAAGGACATGTGAATCTGAGAGGGTGTGCTGCTTGGGCGGTGCTGCAGGGGGCTGCTGGGCAGGTTGGACTGCCGGGGGCTTCGGAGGTGCCTGAGCCACAGGTTTGCCAGGCTCGAGCATCTCGTCATCGTCGTCCGACTCGTCTGGCAACCCGTATTTGGAAAAGTGGTCCACCTGCTCGAGAAAAGTTCAGTTTAAAGTTTGGAATTTGCAGGTTTTTTATTCCCATCAGTCAAACTCTATAAATACTGAAATAAAATCTTTAAATGGAACTGAGGAGATTTACATATTTTATTGCTTTTGTCTATTGCTTTTGAGAAAGAAAAATAATGATAATTTTTAGTTTAAACTGTTAATGAATCTAATAAAGGACTTTGTCAAAGTTTGAATAAGTCTTAAAATTCAATATTGAATTATATACAAAAGCAAGTCAAATATTTGAAAATTTCCATAATTAAACAATCATCAAAGAATAAAAAAATTGAATATTCGATTGGTGTATATGTCGATGACCTTTGGTGACCTTCAGGTCAAAGGTCACCCAGGTTGGTGACCTGGGGTCACACGACCTAAATGTGTGATACGTACTTAGAAAGGTCTTGTCAAGAGGATAATTTTAGTCACAAAGTTTTTTAGTTTACGTCTACGAAAAATCGAAAAATTATAATTTTTCCTAATTAAATGCAGTAGTTTGCGTGAAATTTATTGGAAATTAGAGATTACTCGCTTTGTCGTAGACGTAAACTAAAAAACTTTGTGACTAAAATTATTCTCTTGACAAGACCTTTCTAAGTACGTATCACACATTTAGGTCGTGTGACCCCAGGTCACCAACCTGGGTGACCTTTGACCTGAAGGTCACCAAAGGTCATCGAAATATACACCAATCGATTGGTCTTGACGTGGAGATTAATTTTGGTCATAACCACTTTGTACCTAAAATCATCAGAACAAAAGTTACACACGATTATATTGTTGACACTGCCTGCCGAGGTGCGAAAAACCACGTTTTTTAATATTCTTATTTTTATTTAAATTAAACTAAAAATATCACCATCGCAATTTTGACATATATTACGTAAAATTTCATGATAAATCGAATGGCAATCTCAAAAATGATTTTCATCATGCAGCACATTTCCAAATTTGAGTTTGAAAATTTCAGGTCACCAAAAATGACCTTGACCTTTGACCTAAAATTTTACATTCAACAGCAAAGTTGTAGAACTTGCTAAGACGAGTTCAGCCGTACCCGGAAAAATTGTTCTACGACCACTAGAAGCTGAGATAATCACGTTTTTTGTTTTTCCAAAATGTCCCGTAAAACCCGCAATTTTGAAAATTTTTAGTCAAAAATTTAGGAAAGTCGCTTCCAAACTAAGATAGTGAAGTGGTGAAAATCTCATATCGATATCTTCAACTTTGGGCGGGGTATGTGAAAACAGAAAGAATCAGACAATATTATTTGTAAAAAATGAAAAAAAGATGCTCGGCATCTGCATTAAATTGGAAAAAAAGGAGATTGTAAAGTTTTGACCTTGAAGACCCAGGAGCCGTTGTCAGGGCGGTAGTCGACGAAGCGCGCCTTCATGCGGACGCAGGCCCTGCGCAGGGTGGAGTCGTAGTCCATGTTGAGGATGGTCTCGGGGTCGCGGATGGGCGCTCTCGTCTGCTTGTTGACAGGGTAGATGCGGTCCAGGGTGACCTGCGCCCTGCGGTTCAGACCCTGGCCCAGGGCCGGTTTCTCCTCGTCGTTCGGATAAACCACCACCTCGCGGTGCCTGATGTGAACTGCAACAAATGCACCAATTAATTTCATTCAAATCAAATTTGTTTGTACTATTCTTTAATGATGCCTACAAAATCATTAACAATTAAACTTCTATCGTTTCTACAACAAGCATTCGGAAACCAAAATGTTCTTCGCCCTTTAGGTAAAACAATTACATTTTCTTTTACCATTTGATCAACAATAATGACCAAAATGGAAGGAAATTTTAAAAGATATCAGGTGAGTAATGGGAAAGCCAATTCGTTTGTTTGTTTTTTTGTTTTTTTTACAAATAGTGGCCTTTAAGCAGATGTTCATCCATCGAATCTTGTTTTTGGAGGCCTTAGGATATAAAATGGTGGCTCTTATTGATTTTTTTTAAATGACTCCTATTCAATCATGCTGGCAATAGTCACAATTTCCACCATTTTTTAGAACCAGAAAATTTGAACCTAACAGGCCAATCATTTCTTAATATCTTTCTAAATTTATAATTTGTATCAACCTGCCAACTTTTATTCAAACAGGTTATTATGTTAAACTAGAATTCAAGAGAGCAAATGAATTTTGAATGCGAACCAATGTCGTCGAGGTTGAGGCCGGCGACGTCCATGGGCTCGTCGAAGAAGATGTTGCCGTAGTTGGAGCGGCCGACGAGGAAACTGGGCACCTTGCACTCGCCCGTCTCCTCGAACAGCTTGGCCAACTCGTGCAGGGAGGGGATGGTGTAGTAGCCGGCCCTCCTCAGCACGATTCCGGCAGGGTGCGGCTCCTCGCTCGGCGCCTCCTCCTCGCCCACTTCGCTAATGTCTGCGGATTGCAATTTTGTCATTTGTGCAGACGGAAAAAGTGGCTCGGACGTACCTGAGAGGCAGATGGACGCGTCTGTGGCGTTCAGCGGACCCTGACTCTCTTCCAGGGCCAACTTCCGGGCCGGCCTCACGTCTGCCAGCGTTTCGGACAGTTCGTCTGACCTGAAAATTTCAGGGAAATGGGCAAAAATGAGTAAAATTTTCTTTCGTCGTTGCGCAAATTTGCATTCAAAACTTGTCATTTAAATTAACCTGACGAAATAATTTAAATTATAAAAAAAAAAAAAATGTGACAATCTTACAATTCGTTCTCCTTGTTTCCGTTGTCGCTTTTGCCGGCAGAGCCCCTGGGCGTCGAAGAGGGGGGCGTGGCCGCGGGCAGGATGTCCCTGAACTTGCTGCTGGCTGCCCTGAGAGGGGTGGACTGTGAGGGTTGGTTGCCGGGGGTGAGGTTAGAGGGGTCGGGGCGCAGCTTGAGCAGTTTGATGCTGCTCTTGGGCGTGATGGCCGCGGCCAGGCTCTTGTAGGGCGAAAAGGGGCTGCTGCCCTCGAGCCCCTCAAACAGCGACGACTTGGCCGGCGTGGCCGAGGGCGGCTTCACGGCCAGCCGCGGTGACGACTTGGAAGACACGCTGAACGACGGCGACTGCGCGATCGCCGCCTTCTGCGCCGCAGGGTTCGTCGCCTTCAGCCGCAACTCCTCCACCTTGTCCGGCCCCTTGTCAAAAACAAATTCAAGATTCAAGCGGTTAGTTTTGATTTGGAAATTTCCAAAAAAAGAACGTAGAGCTTTGAAATATAATAAAAATCTCAATTGCTACAAAATTTACTTAAAAAATTAATTTTTTATTAATTCTTCAAGTGGATGGTTCCAAAATACTAAATCACTGATAAATCTGTTTCCTTTGAAGCTAAAATAAAATTCCAGAACCGGAAATGTTCATCCGGATTCCGCTTTTTTTTTTTAAATATTACAATTGCAGTTTTTCAATTAAAAAATAATAAAGATTTTTTTATCGGAATAACATTCGAACGTGAATAACTCTGTTCCTAATTGAGCTACAAGAAAATTCCGGGTACTAAAACGATCCTGTTAACGCGTTGTTTCCAAACATATATCGTACTTGCAATAAAAATAATTTTAAGGTCACCGGTCACCAGGGTCAATGACCTTTTGCGACCTGGTCAGTATGTGTGATACATGGTTGGACAGGTTGTGCAAAAATTAACCCTTTTTATCGGTGGAACAATTTACCTATCTCTAACACATAAAAATTTACAGAGTTTCAAAGTTATTTTTCCACGCACAGTTCTCCGAAAGCAACGTTTTTGATTCGTTTTATTTTTTAATTAAAAAAACTAAGAGGTGTCCAACTTTTCTTATTCTCTTGCATTGTTTAAAACTTTGCTTTCTACAAATTTGATTCTCAGAATTTTGAAAAAAAGTGCCGCATCGCTTTCAAATTTGAGGTTGAAGGTCATGAGATCACCAGAAGTGACCTAGACCAGTGACCTACGATTTGGCGTTTCAAAGCAATGCTGTAGAGGGCAACGAGACAAATTCAACCATACCTATATTATGGTTCTACGTCCACAAGAAGCCGAGATAGACGTTTAAAATATTTAAAAATTCTAATTACCCGTGAAACTCGGATATTTTGAGATAAAGGGTAATTTATTCATGACCTTGTTGGACTACCTCAAAGTGGTAAAATTAGCAACTAAATGTAATGTAAAAGAATGTATAATTTTTTGCAATAATAATAATGAAAAGCCATAAAAATGTAATAAGTTAAAATTTCAAAAATTTCAGATAAAAATTTTACCAGGTTGCGGAAGAGGGGTTGGTCTCCGTAGGGGTAGGAGGTGAGGTTCATGATGTTCTGGTGGGCGGCCTGGCTCTGTGGCGCCGCCTGGGCCTGCTGACCCCCGAGGGTGGCGCCGCCGAAGCCCCCGAAGGGCTTGTTGGCGGTGAAGGAGGGGGTCTGGCCGAGGGTGAGGCCCGAGCCGCCCCCGAAGGCGCCGGTGTTGCCGAACAGGTTGCTCGAGGTGGTGGTCGTGTTGCCGAAGAGGCCGCCTCCGGAGGCGGTGTTGCCGAAGAGGTTGGTGGGGGCGGCCGGCTTGGCCCCGAAGGGATTGGCGTTGAGGCCGAAGGCCCCCTGCTGCTGCTGCCCCCCGAAGCCGAAGGTGGGCGCCGCCTGCTTGGTCTGGCCGAAGAGGGTGGAGCCGCCCCCGAGGGAGGTGGCCGGCTGCTGCTGGAAGGAGGTGCCAAAGGCGGGGGCCGTGCTGGTCCCGAGGGGCTTGGCGCCGAAGGGGCTGCTCGTGGCGCCACCGAACCCAGTGGTGAGTCCAGTGCCCAGGGCAGGCTTGTTTCCAAACAGACCGGCTGAAATCAGACAAAATTGTAATAAAAAATTGGTGAATTTCATTTTATAAATTAGTTGAAAAATAAAACTAAATATATGCAAAACTTAAAAAAAATCCAGAAAATTCAAAGGAAGTTAAGGTTTGCATGTGATTACTTTTAGAATAAAAAAAAACTTCTTAAGCCTTACATTAAGATCTGTTTTCATTGATTTTTGACATGATTCAATGCTTTTCTAAGTTAATCAATAAAGAGGCACATTTTGAAAATATGGCCCATGAGTCGAATTGTCCTTTAATCAATTTAAATTTCACCAGATATTTCTTTTAATGTTCAAGCATCATTTTTGTTTATTCTTCACAAAGTCATAAATGAAATGGAAACTTGTAAAATAGAAAAAAGTTTCCTAATAAATAGTTAAAATTGACAAAATTAATAAAAAGTTGCACTTTTTTATCATGGGATTAACTTTATGGTTTATTTCTTCTGTTGAAATAATTAAATTCAAAAGGTTGAAATAACGTTCTTCTGTAATTCAAAGTGTGAGCTTTGAGAAGAAGATAAAATTGTGCCTTGATTTAATCAAAATTATTGCTATTAAAACAAAAATGAAGCCTTTTACAGGCGCTTCAAAGTACATAAATTAGGCATAAACAAGAATTGAAGGTAAATGGGAAGTGAAAAATTTCTTTTTGCGACGAGAGAATAACAAAATTCAAAGGCAATCATTGATATTAGAAAGTTTATAAACACATTAATTTATAACCAAATTTAAGAAACAATTCTGAAAAAATTACTAAGCACATTAGGGGAAAAGAAAAAAATAATGTTTAAGAAACTGATTTCAAGTTCATTCAATTGTGCAATGTTAAATTAACTTCAACAGTCCTCAATATCAGGTGGATTTTTTATGCCATAAATTACTACTTTACAATAGATAGATCTAGATCACCTTTTAATTCTTGCATATTGTAAAAAAAAAAATATAAAATAAAATGAAGGTTTATGTTTTTTCCTGTGTACAATTTCACTCAATGAGAAGAAAATTGTTCATAATCTTGCGAAATATAAAAATATCCGAAAAAATCCTAAAATTAAATTTCCTCAACATCTAGTCTTAGGATGGCTTTTTCTATCAAGGCTAAACCTCAAGAAAAACCTGAAAAAGTAACATTTGTATTAGAGAACTTTGAAAAAATAAACAAAAATGTGAAAACCACATCTTTAGCAATGCAAAGACTTATTGACTTTTCATGAACAAACCCTTGGCAACTTCAATCAATTTGACTCACTGGTGGTGTTTGTAGCCGTGTTTTGTCCAAAGCCGAAGGACGTCTGTGAGGTGGGCTGGGGGGCGGCCATGCCGAAGGGCGTGGCCGCCGGCTTGGCCTGGCCGAAGAGGCCGATCTGCTGCTGGGGTTGTTGCTGGGGCTGGACGCCGAAAGAGCTGAAGCCCGTGTTGGTGGTGGGGGTGGCGCCGAACAGGGAGGTCGGCTGCGCGCCGAACATGGTGTTGGTGGCGGGGGCGCCGAAGGGCTTCTGGGCGGCGGCGCCTCCGAACGGATTGTTGGCGGCGGCGTTGTTGTTGCTGCCGGAGAAGGAGAAGCCGGTGGCGGCCGAAGAGGCCGGCGCCCCAAAGGCCGACGGCTTCCCGAACAGGCCAGAACCGGTTTGGCCGGTCGCTCCGAAGGCAGGGGCGGCGTTGCCAAAGTTGCCTGAAGGACGAAATTTAGTCAGTTTGCATTTTGGAAAATGGAGGAAGTTTACTAAGGCCGGTGTTGGCCGTTGACGTGGCTCCGAAGAGAGACTTGTTTTCACCAAATGAGGTAGAAGGCTGGCCGAGGGGAGATGCCCCGAATAGGGATGACTGCTGGGGTTGGGCTGTGCCTCCGAACATGACAGCTGAAACAAAATAAATTATAAAATTGGACTTATTTCAACGGAAGACATTTTCTTAATATCTTTAAATTTTGAAAAATAAAAAGTTCAAAAACACAAATAATTATTTTTTCAAATCTATTATTGCAGTATTTTTGAATCAAATGGTGAAAAGATTGGAAAGTACAAATTAAGGAAATCACTTTTAAAAAATGAACCGTTTCAACCAGAAATTTTTACTCAGTTTTAAATAATAATAGCTTAAAGTCAATGTTTATTATTTCCCACCAACTTTAGCTAATTCAGGATATTTTTTAAAAATTGAAGTGTTAATTAAATTTTTAATTATTTAAATTATAATTAATAATTTTTTTTCTATTTCAAAAATTTAATATAACTTCATACAATTATTAAATTAATTAATTAAAATTAATTGTTAAGTTTTGTTAAGGATTTTATGTAATTCAATTCTATATTTTTTTTTATCTAATTTAATTATCGAAATTTCATGAACTTGATGGAAAATGCAGGAAACTCATTTCCATTCCAACGACTGCAGTCAAAACCATGTCGTGAGAAAATGAAAGGAGACATTCTTGCAATTATTCTTAATCTCCAATACTCGATTAATAAAATAATTATTCTTGAGGCCAAAGTCGAGGTTTTTTTTAAAATTAAAGAGGAAACTGACCTCCCTGCTGGGGTCCCTTGCGGCCCGCCTGCAGGTCCTCTATGCGCAGCTCCTCCAGCGACTTGTTCTCGTACTCCTTCATGCACGTGATGCACTGGTGCCGAGTGCTGATCGTGGTGGTTTGGTTATTCTTGACCATCGTGTCCGTCCCCGCCAGGGGATTGAACTTGATCGGCGTCCCCACCACATTGCTGTTTGTCGTCCCAAATCCTGGATACAAAGGCAAAGTCATTCCAATTCTTATCTGATTATTTTACAATCCAAATGGAAAAATGTTTCAATCTGACCTTGAGACTTTCAAATTTGAATTATGGTCAATTACAAAATTCTCTGCATTTTTACCTGAGCTCCCGAAGAGGCCGGCCGAGGTCTGGCCGCTGAACATGGCGGAGCCCGAGGTGGCCGTGGACACCGCCGGTTGGCTGCCGAAGAGCCCTGAGGACTGGGTCGGCGCCCCGAAGCCCCCGAAGGTCGGTTTGGGCTGCGCGAAGCTGGTGCTGGCGGTGCTGCCGAAGAGGGACGAGCCGCCGCCTGAGTTGAACCCTGAATAAAACGTCAAAGGTCAAATACTCCCTTGGGGGAGAAAGGGAAGGTCGAACCTGAGAAGGCCGACTGTTGCTGGGACTGCTGCTGGCCAAAGGCGGGCTGCTGGGGCTGCGAGGCCCCGAAGAGGCCGGTGCTGGTGGCGGCGGGGGTGGTCCCGAAAAGAGAGCCGCCGCCGGGGGCGAACCCCGTCGACTGGAATCCCGGCGCCCCCGTGGCCGGTTTGTTGAACGACTGGCCGAAGGGCGTCGTCGCCGTCGTCGCCGTCCCGAATCCACCTGCGAATTCCAATTTCAATTCTCGCGACGAAACCTGTGAATTTTGTTCGTACCGAAGGTGGAGGTCGAGGGCGTCGAGCCGAACGCTTGTTTGTTGAACATCTCGAGCTTAAACTCAAATAATCGAAAGTTGGTTCGCCGAGCCAACAATGGCAAAAACACGTGAGTGCCGAAAGCGACGCTTGGTTGTCGGCGTCGGGCGGCTCACTTTTCGGCAGCCGAATGCCGCGAACGCCTCACCACGATCTCGGCCGACGATCCAAAGTCCGTTTGTCGTTCGTCGCCGAGAAAATTGGCATCAATTTGGCCGAATTCCGCAGATTCGTCGTTGCGCAAAACAACAAGGGCGCGCACAACACAGATTTTTTTTCTAGTTTCTGATTGCCACCGCTGCCGAGTGCCGACAGAGAGCAGCACCGGCGGAAAAGCAGAGAATTTTTTGGTGATAATCAACGTGATAATGGTGATGTGTGATGTAACCAATTTTGGCGGCAAAAATGTGATTTAGCTGATTTAGCTCTTTTTATAAACACATATTTTAAAATTTTTTAAATTTTCATGATGACATATGTAAGCTGTACAATTTTGTGATTAGCTGCAATCAATCAATTTCAAGTGCCAATGCATGCTTGTGTTTTTCACCGCCAGGTGGTGTAATGATACCTTCTAGTGCTGCCCCTAGCAGTGCATGTTGTAAGTAAGCTCCCTCTTCGTAGTTCGTTCGTCTCTGACAGACTGACAGCTTCGTACGCCGTGTTTCTGAATATTTTCTTGATTCCCATCGTCGAATTGTATATTCCGGTAAGACGAGCAAATAATTAAACACCCCGAATTACTAATGAAGTATTTTTCTTCTCATTTTAGTTGAATTTACGTGTTGCCACGAGTTTTTGGTGCGATCGTCAAACCTCCGGCGCCGTCCGTGCCGCTTTGTTTTGCCTCATGAGGCAGTTTGTAAGTTAATTTTCTGTAACTTGGCATGTTCTATTGAAAAACGCTGTTTTCACAGAATACAGTGATACTTGACCAATCCTACCAATTACAAAACTCCACCCAAAAATATTTTTCTTACATGCAAAATCAATTATGGCCGAAGATATCACTTAAATGGCCCAAATTTTCGCACTAATATTTGGCAGGCGCTACTCAACTTTTTTTTTTACATACCGACTCTTTTATACCTAGAGTGCGCATATTTTCAATATTTCCACGCAGAAACGTGAAATATTTCATAAGGATTACACTTTTGTCATCCTCAAAGTCATCTCAAGCTAGGCATATGACCCAAATCAAATTTTTGGCCAAGTTTATTGAGGGCGATCCAAAAGGCTAACTTGACCCAGGCTAATTTGACTTGGCCTGGGCTAATTTAACCCGCCATTCGATTTTGCTGGTGGGCTAAGTTAGCCTGGGGCTAAGTAAGCCTGGGCCAGGTTAGGCTTTTGGATCGCCCTCAATGTTTTTATAAAAACACAAGATTAAATTGTGCCCGAAAATGATTGTTAAAATCATTTAAAAAATGATAGTAAATGCTTAGCAACCTTAATTTTTTGCAATTAAAATTCATGTTCAATTGTTACAGGATTCGAGAAAAACAAGTGTTACCACAAATCAGAATAAAAAGAAACTGTTGAAGTCTCTCGTTAAACAGCAAGCACAGGAGCGTGAAAATTTTGCTTTTGCACCATCGATTAAATTGTGGACCACATAAAGAGTAAAAACTTCTGCCGTCGTCATTGTTGAAATCTCGCGTAATTAATCAATTCTTCATAAGTTTCTTGATACACTTAAAGCAATTTCCAAATATTTTAATTATTAGAAACAAAAATCAATGAAAAATTTAAGTTCTTGATTGGGAGGGGGCTGCCTGCAGAAATTGGCTTCATTTTCCAGTAAAAATTAATAACAGCACTTAATTTTGTGTGCACTTTATTACTTACATTTAATAAAGATATTTTTTGTAGATTCGTTGGAAAAACAAGTGGACAGAATCAACAGAAAATGGGGGGGACAAAATACTCTCGTGGTAGAAATGCATCATCGAGGACTGAGAAAAAATACTCTAGCAAACATATGCTAAAAGCTGTCTTGTTGGTGGTTAGAGACAAAAAAACTCAAGCAGAAGCTGTTCGTGGCATCTTTCAGAAGTATGGAGTAAAAATTCCTCCAAAAACACTAAGTAATCATGTACTGAGGTACAAGAAAAAGGGAGGCAAACTTCCTGGATCAGGTAATTGATCTGCGCAATGAAAATCAATAGGCACAACCTTAATTCATTTTTTGTTTTCAAAAGATTATTTTTCTAGTTGACTTTTTGACCATTATTGTATCAATAATATCATAATGAGCATGAATAATGTATCTTTTTTAAATTGACCCAAAAGTAAATCATTAACAATTTTATCAGGGAGGCCCAGAGGACCGTCACCAAAACTACCACCAGAAGTCGAAACGAAGTTTTACGAGAAGGGTGGCGGAACCATGTCACATGAAGACAAGTGCGATCTGCTTAAGCCGATCTGGGAGAATTACAAAAGATGCCATTATCTAAATACTGAGTGGCCTTTTGGAGAGGGTTGTATGCCGACCAGTGGTTATTTCCAAAAATTAAAGAAACGTCAGGAGAGCAAGCTAGCCCGCTCAAAAGCTGCCAATTCAAAACGCGGCGTCTGCTTTGGTCACCTCTTCCTCAAATGATGATCAACAGGTAAATACAATTCCAGCAAACGGGAGTAAGCATGGAAATTTGCATTTATACTTTGGTTTTCCAGTTTGAGCACGGCAACTCACAAATCTCGGAAACCGATGATCCTCAACAAGCAAATCCACTCGATCAATCTGATTCTCAGGAGAATGTAAGTTTTGAATATTCTCCAAGCTGAGTTTTGACTAAAATCAAATTAATTTCCTCAGCCAGCCAGCCCGATGGAAGCTGACCCGTTTTCCCAATCTGATTGCGGCTCGGTCAATGACCTTCCTGCAAATATTGATCAATACGTAAATTTACAAGTTAACCAATATTCAGTTTATTATAATGTTGATTTTCTATTTGTTCAGGCGGTCTCCAGATGCATAACAAACAAAATTGCACAAAGTCCGGCACATAAGGTTTTTGATACTGAGAATGAGCCAAGTTGTCCTCATCAGACAGGTACATTTGTTAATTATTAATTTGAAAATGGGCCTATATGTTAAGCCCATCTTTGAATTTTGCTCCATGTGAATTGCATAATACTTCTGCTCCTACTGGAACCTTTGATTTATATTTATAGTCCTGTCAAATTAGTTGACCCAGGACAAATGCCATGGATGATGAATTTTTTACCACTCAATATTAACTGTCACGCCTTACATTTTTTAATTAATTCAAAATTCTTCCATGTGAATTTGAATGCAAAATTTTGTTTTTATGTTCAATCGTCTCAATTTTCTTCATATCTCCTTATTATAGAAGTTCAGCAGCAACTACTACGGCCGATTTTGGACAACATTCGAAAGTACTCTATAGATGCTCGATCAAATGCTGAGTCTGATGAGATTTTGTCAAAACTCGACAACGGAGAGTACGGCCCAGACCCGCGGCACTTCACAGATGATGTCCATGACTTGTTCAAAAATGCTTTGTCAAAAAAGAAGGGGAAAGCCAAATCGGATTTGACAAAAGTAAATAAATCTTTATCTTATTTCCGTTTATAAGCAGTTATTCATTTATATTTCTTTGTAGTTCTATGAAACGGTTAAAAAGGATATGGACATGGCAATGAAAAAACTTGGCTATTGCTGTGGGCGAAAGTATGAGATTCCTAAAATGTGAGTTGTGTTTTGTTGTATGATCATAGAGCAAAGAATTTTGAATTTATTCCAATAGAATTGATGAGTTTATCAAATGCTCGGAATGTGGCCACAAACAGCACCCGATTTGTGAGCTGTACGTGGAGGAAATTATCCCACATGGGTAAGATGACGGTAAAAATTAACAGATTGGTCTTTGAATCGACATTCTTGTAGGTTCACATGCAGCTTCTGTCTTCTGAAGAATGGTGTACAGCGCACTGTGCTCAGAGTGAAAGACGTTTTTCCCAAAAGCAAAGATTGGTGCAGACGTACGGAGCAGCGAGTAAGCAATTTACTCACTGAAGAAAATCGTGAAGCCGCCAAAGTGCGAATAATAGAGTTGTCAAGCCCTGACAAAAGCTGTCTGGTTTCGCCTGAAATGAAAGAAAGGTATTTAATTGAGAGAGGAAATCGCAGTTATCTTCAAACTATTTTGCAGGTACAAAGGAAAATTTCCGGATTCGTTTCCCTTCACACAGAAGGTGATCGTAGCATTCTTGGAGACTGAAGAGGCCGACGTGCTTTTCTTCTGCATGTATGTGCAGGAGTACGGCTCTGAATGTCCGGAACCCAACCGCAACAAGGCGTACATATCCTACTTGGACACGGTTCAATTCTCAGAACTTGGAAACTTGAGAACTCGCTTCTACCACATAATATTGAATGGACAAGCTGAAGACGCGGAAAAGAGGGGCGTCGAGCAAATACACTTGTGGTCTTGTCCCCCAATTGAGGGTGTTGATTACATTTTCAACAAGCATCCTCCTCAGCAACGGGTCCTCCCGCAGAAAAAGCTCGAGGAATGGTATAAGAAGCGTTACCCAGGACTGAAGGTTTGTGAATTCCTGCCAATCATTATTAAAATAACAGTTGGCTTTTTCAGAGATTTTAATTTGCTCAAAATTGTTCATAAAATTTGTGTTTTAAGGAGAGTGAAAACGATGGTACAAATTAAGATGGATAATTCGTTCGAATCAAAAATTTTTGTCAACATTTTTATTTGCACTTATTTTATATTTTTCCACTGGAACCTTCTCAATTAAATATACTGTGGTCTCATTTTCCGAAAAAATTTCAACAGAGTTTCAGAAAATTAATAATAATTTTTTAATTGCTTATAAAGGGACAAAGATTTAAGAAAAACATTTTTCAGCTATCCAACCTTTGCACCATCATAAAATTTTAATGTCCCTTAATTAATGTTGAAGATTTTTTGCATTAATCAGAGCCTTTTTAATTAATTGCATATATCTTTTTGATCTTTTTTACCCACCATACATAACACTTTAATTAAATATCCGATTTTGTTCCGTAGAATGTCTGTGAGGAAATACAGGAAAGGAAGATCAGCTCGCCTACTCAGTTGCCCTATTTTGACGGCCATGGTTTTCCAATCTTGATGGAGGATATTTTATCCAAAGACAAAGAGATTAAGTCTGGTGGCAGCCGCAGTAAACGACAGAAATTGCAACCAAGCAACAATGAGCAACTATGGCTAAAGATTGTTAGCGCAGTGAGGAAAAAGAAATTTCTTGTTTTGGATCTGACCCCCATACCAGAAGCCGAGATTGTGCAGGTAATTCAAATTAATTTCTGAATACTTTTTGAACTAATTTCGAGTTCTTGTTTCAGCCAATCAAAGAACCACCGGAACTTTTATTGTATTCTGGTATGATGGCCGATCGGGAAGGTTTCCTGGGTTTCTGCATCGACAGAAATCTTCGGTTCTCCTCCTTGCCAGAAGCCAGATTCGCAACATGGGTTATTCTACGCGAAGAAGTGCTTTTAAGAAATAAGAAAACTAGTGATGTTTAAAATCTAGTTCTCTGAACATTTTATCAAAGTGCACAAACATTTGTAGTTCTCATAATATGCAATTGTAGAATGAAAGAAAGAGAATTATCAATATATCAGATAATGTTTTTTTGCAATCCGGACTCCAGTGTTGTCCCAACTCTTGGACCACCTCTGTGTGGCTGGCTGGACCTGTCATCTTTGTTCAAATTGCAACACCAACTTGTTCGTAGTCAAGGTTGAAAGTGAAATATCTTTTGTTATAAATTCACGCAATTGTGCCAATGCATATTTATAATCTTGTTACGTGTCACTTATTTTGTTAAGCATTATTTACATGTTAAAATTTATTGTTTCTGATAACTTTATATTGATATTTTACTTCTTGCCTCATTCTTAAATTGCTTGTGCGCGCCGTTGAAATGGGCTAAAAAATAAAATAAATCTAGAGACGAAATTGGACAATATAGATAATTTGATTGTCTTCTTAAAATTATGGTTTTATAACTCAAAACTTGTAATACACAATTGTGTATTTTGGATTTTTGCGGCCTCTCTTAAGCCAGTCTTATAAGCATAGTTTTTGCTCATTGCAAATCGACAGCGGCCGAGGTGATTTCATTTGTCCACGGCAGCAAGTCCAGCCATTTGTGAGCAATGTCGTCAATAAGACTGGCCAACAGTGCGCGTAAATAGAATCGACCACCGCGTCCAACGAACAAATACAATTGTTGCGTCCAATTAACTAAAACAAAACATTTTTGCACTTTTATACCTGTTCATATTTAGAAAATCAGATTTTTTAACTAAAATGTCCGCATTATTGCCCCAATTGCTCTTTCAGAAATTTATATTTAATAAATTCTTTAACAAAATATTTCGGGATTAAAAAAAAAACGGAACAAAATTTATGCTGAGAACAAAAGACGCGGCAAATAGTAGCTATGTAAAAAATGCATTTGAATTTAATAAAATTCTATATTTCGCAAAGTTCACTCATCGTTTTACTTACGTCCTGGGCGAGATGTGCAGATTGAATTCCCGTACAGGTCGCAGTACATTTTTCTGATCTTTTTCTCGCTGTAACAATCGTGCTCCGGCAGATAATTTAATTTTCCCATTGTTTCCTGTATCAATTTGGAGGAAAATAATTAATTATTTTTAGAATATGTGGAAGTGGAATTCAATTAGAGCTGATTGGAAAAACAAAACAAATTTGTCACTGCATAATGTAAATTTAACATGGAATTAATTTGTCAAAAAAATGGAACGCCTCAAATTTAAATTATGAATTTCACCACAATTTATTCCTCTGATATCTTAATTTCGGTTTTATAACTTTAATAATGTCAAAAACAAAAAATTACAAAATTAACGTCACCGCCAAAGCTTGATGAAATTCAAATTTATAGCAATTAATTTTTATTTCGTTTATTTCAATTAGAGAGAAGAAAAATGTCAATCATATACGTGTGGTGTAACCACAGGGACCTTTAATTATTGTATTGCAGAAGAAGAACTTTAATTGTACAAATCTTATAATTATGTAACCGCGCGCGTTAAGGCCATTTAGTATATTAACCAAAGCTGAGCACAACCCTTAAGTTCCCGCCCCGCGCGCCACGCCACCACCAAGAACTACGACCGCCGCGCTCAGGGCGCCACCTGAGTGCCCAAGCAGACGCTTCCTGGACTCGACTGAGTGTGGTTGTAATGGTTTCCCTTCCCGCTTTAAAAGGTATTGCTTGGCGCCCACGCTAGATAAATTCCGAACTGAATATCCTTTTAAATCAGCTTAATCCGTTCACTAATTCAGTCCGAACCTTAAAACTCAGCATTTGAATATTAAATCTAATAGTAATTCCGCATTAGTTTGGCCAATTATTGTTTAGTTTTAAGAATAAACCATCACTTTATTTGTTATTGTTAATTAACTTGTTTACTTGAAATATCAATTTAACCCTTTTTAGTTAGAGCACAAAGATAAAAGAGTAAAAGCATTAAAGGCCAATTAGAATTAAAGCCAATTTCCATGAGGCCGCCAAGTTAAGTCAATTAATTAATTAAGAAGCACGTTCGAGTCCGGGAAAGTCTCCAGCTCTGCGCAAGTGAGAACTTCGGGGAAAAGTCCTGTCGAGAGTCACGACAGATTTGGTGTCAGGTGGGTGGGGTGTGTTTTTTTTCCAAATTAACGCACCCTTTGGAACGTCCCGCGCACCCTGGCCAGCCCAGAGAGCACGGTACTCTCCCGTACCCTGTTTTCGCCGAAGTTCTGAGGATCCGAGACCGACCGTGACAAGCCTGGTGCCATCGACAAGAAGCGACCGCTGGATCGAGGTGCACCGAAAGTTAAAAGAGGCTGACGGAAGGAGAGCGCCTTAAGAAGCACCTTGCCGATTTTGTTCACGGGAAAACACAGGCACACTGCTGTAGAGCGCGACCAAGAAAAACGCAGAGCTGTTAATTTAAGGTATCTCTTTTAAGTTGTAATGGATCCTATTATTTAATTGGGTAGAGTGCTTTTTGTAAATATCAGCCTTAAGGGCGTTTTGCAAAGGTGCACTTCATGCCAAAAAGGAACTCGGAAATTGAAAGTTAAAAGTAATCAGCAAAGTTGGGTTAAAAACGCGAAAAGTTAAATTAGAGATTGGGTGATAATCCTCTAATTGAGAGAATTTTTTTTACAAAGAAACAAATAAAATGGTCCATTGCTAAATTTTATTGTTGTGGCTCAATTTTTATAAATAAGCGAATAAATTTAAGAAATTTTGTAATATTGTACTCACCAATTTGACCATGGAACCTCTCACCTCGTCCGAGTTGGTCAACAGAGATATCCAACCAGAAGACCCACAGTCCATCGCCATTCGAGCTCATGTCTACCAGTTGATTGGCATCTACAAAGCAGATGGCAGCCTGTCCTTGAAGAACTTCATCCACAGTGTTGAGCGGGTGAAAATCGCCTTTCCAAACACCCGAGATGCAGAGCTTGTCCGCCTTGCTGTCAGCAACACTGAAGGCGACGTGTTCCGGTTCGCCAGCAAGCTCAACTTGGACGCCCTCTCACTCCAAGACCTGAAGAAGGCGTTGGCGTCCGAGTTTGAGCAGCCACCCAGCTACTCCGAGGCCAAAGATGCGTTTGATGGCCTGGAACAAGGCAGCAATGAGTCAGTCGTCCAGTTCTACCGCCGACTTGTCAATGCAGGGGAGGTGCTCCTCAGTGCCCTGCTCGAACGAACCAAGTACAAGGAGGAAACACGACGGTTCTTCCTGGAGGAGGAACTGAAGCACCGATTCTTTGAGGGGCTCCGCACCGAGTTTCAGCAAGCAATTGTTTATTCAAATTCAAATCACCTTTCCAGCATGAGGGAAATTGCAGAAAATCAAGAGCACTTCTTGCGGCGAACCAAGCTCCGGCGTGAGCGTGAGGAGCAAGCTCAAGCAGCTGAGGATGAAAAATTGCAGCAGCAGCAGCAGCTCTTGGGATACATTCGCCAGCTGAAGGATGCTGTCTTTGGTGCCCCCAACCACCAGAGCACTCTCATGCAAACCACCAGCAGTGTGGTGACGTCCAATATGTGGCAGAGCAATCCAGCAGCACCGTCAGTCTGCCCCGTTCAGCCTCCGAGTGCGACCATCACCTCCGTGTGTGGCTCCACGGTGGGAGCTACACTGCCGATCACCAACGGCCACCCTCCAGCAACCAAGGAAAGCCTGCAAGAAAAGAAATGTCACAAGTGTAAACAGAAGGGACACATGGCGAGGAACTGCCCAAACGTGCCTTGCCAGCTGTGTTCCAGGAAAGGACATCGCTTTGGCCGGTGCCCCGAGCAAAAGTGCACATTCTGCTCAGCCCGAGGGCACCCGGCCAAGAGATGTCCAATCCAGAGGGCTTTGAGAGGCAACAATGGTGCAGCCTCACTCACCTCTTAGCCTTCGTCAAGCTTGTCGTGAATGTCCGCCACTGCCGAGCAACTCGATGGGCTCCCTCCATCGGAAACCAAAGAAAGGCTCCAGTGTGCTTGGATGCCAACCTCGAGCAACCCCAAGGTCCAAGTAGAGTCATCTCATCCCACCAGAAGAGAAGACCGACGCAAGAGTCTTGTCGGGAGGCCGTAAAAGCTTCTTGACGAGCAAGAGATATCCTGAAAGAATGTGAAAATTAGTATGTGTGAATTTTTAATTTTAAGGCAAGAATGTAATTAAAATTAAGAAAGTGAATTTTAAAAGTAAATGAAAATTAATTAAATATTTTGTGAAATGATAAAATGTTTTAAAAGCAAATGAGCCACAGCAAAAGTTAGAATTTCCCCAATTATAATTAAGATTTAAGATATAAAATGTCAAAAAGTTACAAGTTAAAAAGGAAAACAAGATTGTTAAATGTAACACAGTTGAATTTTGTCCAGAAAAAATTTGAGAATTGATTGTGTAAAATTGTGTTTTGTAATTTTAATTTAAGGAGGACAGTATTATGATTTCAATGATTATGTTTAACTTTAAATGCAAGGAATTAAGTTAGGCCAGCATAAATTAGAAAAGTAGAGAAAATTTAAAATAAGAATTGTGTTTTGAAATTATGTTTACGTTGTGAGATAAGAGTGCTTACAAATCGCGACACTTAAATCTAAGCTGTGTTTTAAAATTGTTGTCAAAATGTTAGAATAATTATATGTGCGAATAGTTCAAGCTCACCTCCTACATTCGTCGGCACTGTCGGCAAGCAAAATCGTGTCGAAAATCATCGCCGCATCGACGAGTGCAGTTCTCTCATCGCCAATTTGTTTATGTTTTGTTTTGGTACCTTTCCTCCTCCCTCCACCGCACCGCTGTTCGCTGCCCTGTGCGTGACGTCACGCCTCCCGCAGGAGCGAGCAGGCAAGAAGATGAGGAAGAAAGAAAACGCTCGCACAAATGTAGCGCGGGTTGCTTACCACCTTCATTCATGCTGCTTTTTAGCTATTTAATCCAGTGTGAGCAATTTCGTGCCAAATTTTCTTAAGATTAAAATGTTAAAAATCATGTTAATTTTACGGATAAATTAAATTTGTAATTTAAGAAATTAATTTAAAAAAAAAAATTGGTTTTAAAATACCAAAAGTGGCAATTATAAATTAATAATATGTTAATTAAGGAACAAAATTTAAAATTTTCGAAAATTGTAATTAAAATGTAAGTTCACTGTTTGCGAAACATATTTGTCTATGAATCTGTCCGAACAGAGAGCAAAGGTCACAGATGCCGAGTTGCTGATTTGAGGGCAACCTGGATGACGCGCGCGCTGAGAACCAATTCTCACCACCCTGAGAACCTGCAGCGGAGCGCAAGCCTGTCTGAGGGACCCGATAACAACCCCATTGTCTCGGACGCCCTCGGCCCTCGAGAGCACTTGCGCAGCTTGTTCGAATGCTGTCAACCTTGCGCCCCAGACTGACCCTGCCGAGGACCCGGGAGGACAAAGAAGTTACGAGTCACGAGGGCGTGACTCAAATTTGTCGGGAGGCAGTCTGTGGTGTAACCACAGGGACCTTTAATTATTGTATTGCAGAAGAAGAACTTTAATTGTACAAATCTTATAATTATGTAACCGCGCGCGTTAAGGCCATTTAGTATATTAACCAAAGCTGAGCACAACCCTTAAGTTCCCGCCCCGCGCGCCACGCCACCACCAAGAACTACGACCGCCGCGCTCAGGGCGCCACCTGAGTGCCCAAGCAGACGCTTCCTGGACTCGACTGAGTGTGGTTGTAATGGTTTCCCTTCCCGCTTTAAAAGGTATTGCTTGGCGCCCACGCTAGATAAATTCCGAACTGAATATCCTTTTAAATCAGCTTAATCCGTTCACTAATTCAGTCCGAACCTTAAAACTCAGCATTTGAATATTAAATCTAATAGTAATTCCGCATTAGTTTGGCCAATTATTGTTTAGTTTTAAGAATAAACCATCACTTTATTTGTTATTGTTAATTAACTTGTTTACTTGAAATATCAATTAACCCTTTTTAGTTAGAGCACAAAGATAAAAGAGTAAAAGCATTAAAGGCCAATTAGAATTAAAGCCAATTTCCATGAGGCCGCCAAGTTAAGTCAATTAATTAATTAAGAAGCACGTTCGAGTCCGGGAAAGTCTCCAGCTCTGCGCAAGTGAGAACTTCGGGGAAAAGTCCTGTCGAGAGTCACGACAATACGTACATTTAGATAATCGTAGAAATGAAAATTTTCTTGTTCGTCTTTCTTGTTGTCTTTATTCCACAAACATGCCGGCTGCAAACTCGGTGTGAATTCGACTTTTTCAATCCGCCAAACAAAGATCGGCCCGTGAAAAAAACTCCCGTACTTCACATTCACCTTCTTTACGTCCAAAACCTAAAAATTAGAGTAATTTTGTCAAACGAACTCGTTCCGCGCTAGTATTAATTATTTAAACTATTTAACCTTTAATTAAAATTAAATTAAATGTTACTGCATTTTATACTAATTTTGTAATTTTTGTATAAAATTTCATCGAGTGCAGAAGTTTTTTTTACACAAAATTTAGCTTCTTCATGTGGAAGAAAATGTTGAATTCTTAAATATTTAACTTTAATTGTAGTTATTGAATAAAAAAATCACCTTTTTGCTCTGCAAACTTCTTTTCCAAAAGCATTTTTGTCCATCTTTTTCATCTTCACACTGTCCTGCGTAAAATTTAATTTCTTTTCCTGATTTCAGTTCAGCGTTTAACGTGTCCCTCCATCCAACTGTGATTAATTCTTTGGTAAAATTAATTTCCAAAGCAAAGTAATTTATGCTTACACGAAATTATTGTTTGGTCGGACACAAGAACAGAACGCACAAAATCGCCATCGTCTGCAGTTCTGAGTACAACAATCCACGGGGCGATTCCACTTTCGTTCCAGCGGCCGCAGTCATTCCAATTTTGAACGCCTTAAATTTGATAATTTAGAGGTCGATTTTAAAATTTCAAAAGATAACAGACGAAAAATCAAACATATAAAATCCTGATTCATTAATGGCAATCTGGTCGCTTTTTAACATAAAAGTAATTTTGATCAAAAAGTTCAATGATACATCAATTAAACTTAATACGTTTACATTGAAATTAAGGAGAAAAAAATTCCAAACACTTTTATCATTTGACATAATGCACAATTAAGCTTTTAATTTAAGAACGTCATTTAATTAAAATAAATTAAAGGAAAGAAAAATTGAAATTTGCGAACCTGGAGCTTCAAAAATTGATCGATTTCTTCCGTAATTCCAGCAGTCTGTTGAGTTTATTTCCTGCATATAATTCCAAACAATACGTTATGGAGTTTTTTTTTAAATAATTTATAAAATTCGTGTTGATTTTAGAATCATTTGATGAAGTTTTTCAGAAAATTCTTCTTAGTATTATTCCTTTTCCAATTACATAACATTATTTCCAGCTGGATAATTTTTGTGTGAAAATTAAAGAAACTACTCTCATGGCAAGCTTCTCAAATCAAATCGATCGCCCTTCAAAAGTCTAGAAATCTTAATTTCAGATTAAAGAAGATATTAAACGGCGAGTGGCGTCAGTATGTATGAAAAAAATAAATTCAATTTTTTAAAATTATGTTTTTGCGGAAGTCTCAATACCGCCCATGGATTTTCTTCAGACTCGGCAGCGCCTGAAAAAGTGCAGATGGCGAAAATCCAAATCCAACTTCTAATCTCCATTTTCACCTTCGAATGCGAATATTTGCTGCAAAAGAAATATTCCCTTTGATTGAAATATGCATAAATAGATTCATATGAGAGAAAATTCTCATTGCAAAAAAGGCTTTCCGGAGATGACAGAAATTTATATTATGAGAGCCTTAGTTGAACTTCAAATATTCAAACAAGTAATTTTAATTTCCCCGATTTCCACAACACGATATCTTGAATTTTTACTGAAGGCTTCAATTTTCTAGAGTGTGTTCCTAAAAAATTAATTCAAAGACTTTTTATTCCTCTGGTTCATGTGAATGCCAGGAACTTAATTATTTATTAAAAAATAAAAACAATTTTCATTCATGAAAGATCATAAAAAAATCTCATTTTGTTAAATAAAATATTTAATCAATTTCTTTAAATTAAGCAAGAATGAACGAACTTACTTGAAAATTACTATGGAGAGAGCTCGAGTTGGTGTGTCGGGGATCGCGAGAGTGAGGAGCAAACCCTGCGCAAATATCCAGAAGGCCTCCCACGCCGACATCCTCTTTTATATTCAATTTCGACCTCCATCTATGTGCTTTGTGCCACATAGCGGAAGCTATTTTTTTTATCCGCTGCCATCACTTAACTTACTATGACCCCAGTCGCTAGTTTGGCGTTGAATTGATTAAACGCTTATTTTGGCAAGATGTTCAAACCTGAAACGTCTTATTTTCATCTCTGGTTATAAATCGCATTATTTCAAGGTTTAATATATCCAATTAAAAAGTAAACGCAAAAATCTACCAACTATTTTAAAAATACTTCAATTAAATGAAATACAATAAACCTTCAATTTTTAACACAGCAAATAAATTTCCGTCGCTATTTTAAAATCAGTGCAGTGGTTGAAGTGAACAAAAAAAAATCTGCCAAACAAACATGACAGCGTTTTCTTGCTGGCAGTGGAATTGCCAAAGCACGCCGGTTTCCCGCGTTAATTTTGAATCGCCGGCGGCCATTGTTATAAAATCGATCTTCTTTTGTTTCGCTTTCTCGCTTGCTTCCCAAATTTTCGTAAACAAAAGTCGCTTCTCGTCGCGAATTCAGTCGAATTTTGGGATTTGCTGGGCCGACTTTGACTCGAAATGGCTTCGAACATGGACGTGGACGAGGAGGAGATCGAAATGCCCACTTCCAGCAGCTCCAGGGGCGAGAAGAAGCGTTTCGAGGTCAAAAAGGTGCGAATTCGCAACTCATCACGCTCTCTCCCATTTCCGAACCATCTTCGGGTTCGCCAAACCAATCTTTTCCTAATTTGGTGCTAATTCCGCTTCTTGATGTTTCAGTGGAACGCCGTGGCCTTGTGGGCTTGGGGTGAGTGACCTTAATTATATTTGCCCAATAAAAATTCTACCTTAATATTTTTATTCATCCCTCATTTGCAAATGTTAATTTCGGAATGATTTTGCAGACATCGTGGTGGACAACTGCGCCATCTGCCGCAACCACATCATGGACCTGTGCATCGAGTGCCAGGCCAACCAGGCCTCGGCCACCAGCGAGGAGTGCACCGTCGCCTGGGGCGTCTGCAACGTCAGTCAAATTGGAATTTTCTTTTTATGAATTTTGAAACTAATAGCGTTGATTTTTGCAGCACGCCTTCCACTTCCACTGCATCTCGAGGTGGCTCAAGACTCGGCAGGTGTGTCCCCTCGACAACCGAGAGTGGGAATTCCAAAAGTAATCAAAATTTCCTAATTAGGCTGCATTTTTTTTACAATTAGTCCACAGATCTTTTAGTATCTTAAATCTGGAGCTTTTTTTCAACTCCGGAAATAATTTTGCTCCAAAAAACCAACTAATTTTGTGTTTTGCCAATTCGCAGGTACGGCCACTAGGCGTGTCTGATGCAACGGAACGACTGAGCCTTCGTCCCAAGTCCGCTAAAAATTAAACTTTGATTTATACTCTTGCATATTCTTAATTTAAGTTGAAGGATTTCCAATCAATACATAAAAGCTCGTGCTGTAAAAATACGTTTTTATTTTCAAAACACCGTAAAATTATTGTCGAGCCAGTTAAAATAACAAATCGTCGGGACGGGCTGATTTTTACATAAAAAAAGAAGGCACCCTTTTGGAATCTCATTCAATTTCCTTTTCCGATAACAAGTAATATCACAATTCAGTGCTTCGTCGACAAAATACCGAGTTTTGTTCTTGCAGATCTTTCGTTTGTTCCTCAAAATTTTTCTTCGGAGTACAACAATTAAATATCATTAAAAGTAGCAATATGGCTGCGCAGAGAGAGTTCACATGCCTGACTCGGCAATTCCTTCGTCGTCTGAAACACGATTGAAGAAAAAAGTAGCACTTTGGTTTCCATGGGACAAGTTTTTAATGGCGAAATTGTTTAGTAAAGGCGCAGGGTTAGGTTAGAGGCGTGCACAAGTACCAACCAGAGCAAAAGCCGCCTGCACAGATGAAAGGAAAGAGAACCAGTGGACGGAGACAGGGCAGGGTCATCTCGCCTTTTCTGAAGCACCGACCGCCGCAGCACCTTTGCCTTGGGAAACACAACACCTTGAGTAGTCAAAAGGCCGTCACCACCCAGCTGAATCCCATTAGCACCAAAATTTTAAGTTGATCCAACCTCGTAACAATTTTACTTTAAATTTAACAAAATTTTCAATTGGTTCAATTATTTAATCAAAAGATGTTGATTTTCTAAAAATTATTATTTTTAATTATTTGCATCAGGGTTGACGAGCGCTCTGAAAGAGCGCTCAAAAGAGCGGAGCGCTCGCGAGCGGAGCGCGAGCGTCGATTTTTTTCATGCCGCGAGCGGGAGCGCGAGCGTTTTTGTCAAAAGAGCGCTGAAAAGAGCGCTCATTTACGCTCTTTTTGGGGACCATAAATTGGTGAAATATTGGTCGAAAAACATAGAGAATTTTTCATTTTCCAAATTTTCGAAAAATATTTGTATGAAACTCAATGGAAATAACTATATTTTTAGACCTTACATAAAATAGCAATGAAAATAGAATTGTACGTAAGAAATATTGAAGAAAACCCATCCAAATAACAATTTCACTTAAAAAATAGCGACCCCAGAAAAAGAGCGCTCGCGAGCGCTCTTTTGGGTAAAGAGCGCGAGCTTGAGCGCTCGCGTGAGGAAAAATTGGAGAGCGCGAGCGCAATTTTCAGAAAAGAGCGCGAGCGTGCTTAAAATCAGCGCGCTCGTCAACCCTGATTTGCATATAGGCTGAAGGTTATATTTTGGATTTTTAAACCACTGAAATGACAAAATTTGTTATAATTAAAATAATGGCTAGCAAAAAGTGATTTTTTTTCTCGTCAGGAAGAAAAATTCGAAGATTCTATAAAATTATCCCGTTTTTGCTATTCTGAAAGAAAGTTGAATCCACTTAAAATGTGACAGGGCAGAGAAAGATGGGGTTGATTTAGGGTTTACCGTCGAAGCCCTCGTTCTCGTGGATCTCGCGCGGCCCAAAGTCGTTCTCCTTGCCCTCGAGCACCGCCAGCAGGCACTGGTGGATGCAGATGTACTGCTGCTCCGTCTGCACCATCCACACGCGCTCCTTGCGCATGGCGTACACGATGCCGAAGATGTCCACGGTGTCGTCCTTCTTGATCTGCTGCAGCAGCCGGTCCAGCGCGATGAACGTGCCCGAGCGGCCGACGCCCGCGCTGCAGTGCACCACCACGGGCCGCTGGTCGGGCGGCACGCGGTCCCTGAACGCCCGCACGAAACGCACCAGCGTCTGCGGCGGGTCCGGCACGCCAAAGTCCGGCCACGTCGAAAAGTGGAAGTGCTTCACCAGCCGCGTAGAGTCGCCCTGAAACAAAATTGTATCAAAATTGGCTTCAGCTCGTCGAGACGATTCCAGGGATATGTTACAAGGTGGGGTTGGAATAAAAATTGGCCGTAGTCTGGGGTTTTGCAAATTCCGCCATTTTACAAAAATGGCCGCCATCAGGAATCTTTAAACGGGTGTAACTCTTGCATTTTTCAACTGAAATACATCTTCCAATATATCGTTGCACTCGCCTAGGCAAGGGCTATGCGAGAGCAAGATATATTTTTTTAAATGCATAAGTTGTTTTTAAACAATTTTAATTACATTTGATCATTTTGGCTAAGTCTACCTTTTCAACTGAATAGTACTTAACAAGACGATACCAGGGATATGCGACATGACATAGTTTGAATGAAAATCGGCGATGGAGTGAGGCTAGGAAACTTCGGACAATCCGCCATTTTACAAAGATGGCCGCCGTCCGGAAACTTCAAACGGGTATAGCTCTCGCACTTTTCAAGCAAACCGCAACTTCTAATATATCTTCGGAATCGTCTCGGCAAGGGCTTTGCAATTACGCTAAACTCACCCTGCACATCCTGAACTCGGAGACGTTCCAGTCCTGGTAGTGGCTCTCGTTGAGGATGGTGACCTGGATGTCGCCGTAGTAGACGGGCTGCGTGTCGTAGGGCCAGTAGTGGTCGCACTTCTCGCGGCCCTTCTCCACGCACCTGGTCAGCATGATGATGGCCTTGCTGTTGCTCTCCCAGCAGGTGCGCCAGAAGTCGTCGCGCGTCGAGTGCAGCGGGCCCTGCGTGACGATGAACTCGCGCGGCGAGTTGCAGCCGGGCACGTAGTTGGCGTTGATGTAGTCGCTGCCGTCCTCGTCGTCGTCGCTCGGCTGCAGCTTGAAGCGCGAGTGGTCGTACGGCAGGATGTTGGTGAAGCGGTTCTTGGGCCGATTCAAGGGCAGGTCCGCCGCCGTGCACGCCTGCTCGCGGCCCACGTGCTTCAGCTCCTCGAACTCCTCGCTGAACCGGAAGTCCGAGTCCGCCGACATGATGCGGTAGTGCTCGGCAAAGTCCTTCAGCTTCACAGGACGGCTGCAGTTATATAAAAATAAAATAAATTTTAAAAAATTTTAACAAAATTAAGACCTGGTTTCCATGACGCTGTCCGGCAGAGACATGGCGTCGTTGTGTCTGGCCTCGAGGTTGTTGCAGACGTTCTTGCGCCTGCGCACGGCCATGACGAAGACGAGCAGCACGGCCAGCAGCACCACCGGCACGGTGAAGCCGACGATCCACGCCGTGTTGTCGTTGTCCGTCTGGATGGGGAAGCTGTAGAAGGTGTCGGTGAACTTGTCCGCAAAGGTGAACGCCCTGATCTTGACGCTGTACGTGGTGCCCGACTTGAGGGGGCCGTTGCAGTAGCCCGCGCGGCCCCCGCAGTTGGCGTCGCTCCCGATCGTGAAGTCCTCCACCGTCGAGTTCTGGAACAGCTTCGAAGGCTCCATCACCTTCGCACCAACAATTAGCAAATTAATTAATCTTTTAAAATAACCCTCAGCACCTGATAGGGTGGCCACGAATTGTAGGCCTGCACGTCCTTCCAGCTGGGCATCTCGAGGCCGGACGCGTTCTTGCTGGTGTCCTCGGCCACGATGATGGCGTACGCGACGACCTCCCCGTTCTCCTCGGAGAAGTAGTTCTTGCGGAAGCGGATCTGGATGGTGCTCGAAGTCCTGCGCACCTCGGTCGGCACCACCTGGCTGCCGGGCTTCGGAGGAGCTGCCAAGGTACAAGGTCAAAAGTGAACGTAATAATCGAAAGGGCATCAAAAATTGGTACCGAAAATGGGCGTTTTGAGTTTGGTCTGGCTCTCGGGGCCATAGCCCACCCTCGTCTTGGCCTGGATCTTGAACAGGTACGTCTTGCCAGGAACCAGGTTGCGGATGACGCCGTGCAGCTCGGACGGCTGGAAGTGTTCCTCCTTCCACGTGTTGGATTTCTGCAAGTGAAATTAACTTGAAATGACGCAATCCAATATTTGTTTGCTTGGGCTCCAAAAATTCCACTCGGGGTTTAAACAAAATCAGTTTTCAACCTTTAAAGCCTCTAAAACATCAAACTAGGTTGGACAATTTTGATTTTCAAAAAAAAATTTTAACTTTTCCTGTAATTTTTTTCAAAGGAGTAGGAAAATTTCTATTAAAATGTAGAAATCTAAGGCCTTTGCTTGTTGTTCAACCGACCTCTAATCCATAGGTGATGGTGTACTGGAGGATGATGCCGTTGTGGTCACTGGGCGGCAAATACCACTCGAACTCGATCTCCTTGGGCTTGACGTGCACCGGGACAAACCGCTCCACCTGAGGACAAATTTTGCTAGTTTATTTGAACCGATTTTGAGAAAGACGAAAGGTCGTCGCACCTTGTTGGGCACCGACTCCTGGGTGGAGAAGGTGGCGCTGACGGGGAGGGACCTGCGCAGGGCCGAGGACTCGCTGCCAGACCTGACCACCACGGTGAAGGTGTAGTTGCGGTGCGGCTTGAGCCCCGCCACGGTGATGCTGGTGCCCAGGGTCAGGTTCTGCAGCAGCACGCCGTCCAGGTTCAGGTACTGCACCTCAAAGGTGTTGTACTCGCCGTTCGGCTTGTCCCACATCAGGGTCACCTCCGTGTCCGTCACCCTGGACGCGTTGATCCACTTGATGGGGTTCGGATCTGCAAGCAAACACATAACTCAGGGTCGGGGTAAGGTCTCAGGGTCGGGCACACTCACGCAGCCGGTCTTGGCGCTGCAGGGGAAGACTCTCGACGCCGTCCGACACTGTCCACACGGTGATGTTGTACAGCCGCCCTGGCACCAGGTCGCTGAAGGTCACCTTGGTCTCGGTGTCGTTGGCCGCCTTTTCCTTGACCGGGATGCTTGGGTCGGACAGCATGAAGCGGTACGTGTCGAAGCGGGACACCGACTTGGGCGTCTTCGTGTACCTCAGGGTCAGGGCGTCGCTGATCTCCTGGTCGTTCACCACTACGATCTCCGTTTGAAGCAGTGGCACTTTAAAAAGGTCAAGAATAAAATTAAACAATTTGAAATGATACAATTTTTTTGGGTTTCTTTGTATTTTATTATAAAACGTTTTGAGAATTTCATTATGCCATTTACAGAATTTCTTCTTAAATTAATTTTTAAATGAAATACTCGAATTTTGTGGAGTTGCAGGTCAAAGGGTCAATGACCTTTTATGAACTTGTCACCATTCTGTGCGAATTGTGACACATGACCGGAAAGAAAACGTCAGGGCAATAATTATTTTTTCTAGCTCAAAAAGGATATAATTTATCATGTTCAAGGTTGATTTTTATCAACTGCCCTTTGACCCTGAACATTTAAAAAAAATTAGGCTAGACTAATTATCCATACAATGGCCTCTCAAGTAGGACAACTATCTTGAATATTTAGGAATATTTAAATAAATGAATCATTATAATTTATAATTATACTTTTTGGCAGGATATTTTTACAATCACGTCTTTAAAAAATTACCAAGCCGCTATAAAATAAGAAATTTTGAGAAATTTTCAAAATCCCAAATCTTTTGGTATTTCAATTAAAGGGAATTCAACCTTTTTCCCTTTAAAAAGTTTCCCAGTAAAAAAATGAAACAAAAAAATCATTCAGTTGATGTAAATTAAAAAAGGGTGGGGGTGTCCTTACTTGTCCTGGTGGTGAGGGCGGTGACCTCGCTCTTGAGCCCGTGGGAGGTGGTGAAGATCTGGAGGCTGTACTTGGCGCCGGGCACCAGTTCGCCGACCAACACGCGCACCCGCCCGTTCAGCTCGACCACGTCCGCCGAGGAGATGGTCTTGTTGCCTGAAGTCGGCGCCCTGCCCTCCTCCCCTTCCCCCTCCTCCTCCTCGGGCTCCCCCAGCTGCTCCTCCAGCTTCCACGCGATCGAGTACAGGTCGATGCGTCCCTCGGGCTTTGGCCACTCCAAGGTCACGTTCACCGAGTCGATCAGGGACACGATGTTGGTCACAGGGTTCGGCTCTATTTTGGTCAAAAGGTCATTCAGGGTGATTCAAAATCTTAACCTGACCCAGGCTAACTTAGTCAAGTCTGGGCTAACTTAACCAAGACTAGGCTAATTTAAATTAGCCTAGGTTATTTTCATAGTTAAGGGCTAAATTAACCTGGTCCAGGCTAACTTAACCTTGGAATTAACCCAGGCTAACTTAATCAAGATCGGGGTAATTTAACCTAGCCTGGTCTTTTTCCTAGTTGAGGGCTATATTTTCCTGGGCCAGCCTAATTTAACCTTGGCCTTAGTCCAGGCTAACTTAGTCAAGTCTGGGCTACTTTAACCCAACAGCCAAATTAAGCCATATGAACTTAGCATGGGCCAGATAAAAAAGAAGTAAAAAGATCAACTTACGGACAGTCTGGGTGACCTCGAGGGGGTCGGTGCTCTCGACCCCAAAGCTGGCTGTGTTGACCTGAATCAGGTACTTCTCCCCGGCAATCATGTCGGTTATCTCGGCTTCGTTGACCTTCACAGGTGGCAATTTGTAAAACTTGCCGTCGTCTGTTTGGTGCCTGAATGAATAGTAAAGATTTGGTAAAAAAATTTAAAAAAAATATACAAAATATTGATTTAAATTAGAAATTAAAGCTGAAACGGAAGAAGTCCCATGTTTTGTTTAAGTTTTGCAATTGTTAGTGATGATTTTCTTCACCCACCTAATAATGTATTCGGAGAAAATGGAATCCGAAGGCGGCTGCCACTTGACAATGACCGAGTTGCTGGTCAGCTTTTCGATGGTCAAGTTCCTCGGCGGCTGCGGATCTGAAATTCAGCCATTTTTTAGGATTATCTTGAATCCCAAATAAGGTAAAAACACTGACAAACTGCCTGGAAGTTGATGTGGGGCTCGCTGCGGAGGCCGTGGCTGATGGCGACGACCTGCAGGTGGTACCCTGCGCCAGGTTCGAGCCCCGTCAGGGCCAGTCTCGACTCGGAGGTGATGGTTTTGACGACGTTGCCGGTGTCGTTGCGGCTGTACGTGACCTCGTACTCGTCCTGCTTCGAGTTCACGTCCGACTTCCAAGAGATGTTCAGCCCGTTGTGCGTCGGCCGAAGGTCCTCGATGATCGGCGACGACGGCCCTTTTTGAGAAACAAAAACACGTCAAGAAATGATTCGCCGGAAATTTTAATGAAGTTCCAAAATCATGAAGATATATTTTGATAAAAAGAGTAAATTTTTTAATAAACAAGCTTATTTTCAAAAAAAAAGTGAAACTTTTATGATTTTAATTCATCATATTTTTTTAAAAAACAGATCCATGTGGAAATAAATAAATCGTATTCAAGAAAAAATTAGGTACTTGTGGCCTGGTAGATGGAGGTGCCGTTGCTCTCGACGTGGTTGCTGATGGCGTGCACCGTGACCGAGTAGTTGCGTCCGGGCAGCAGCGACTCGAGCCGGATGCTCGAGTCCTCAACCACCACCGTGTTTGTGTCCCGGTCGCCGTTGTTTGTGTCCACCTCGTGATAACTCAGCTGCAAGTTTCAAATTTTGTACAATCTGCAGTAATTCCCAATCCAAAGCCAATCTCTATTTGTTTTTTATTTCACTAAATTTTACATTAATCAAAGAGACTTAATTGCTAGATAAAATAGCACCTTTTTTGGAAAACAATTAAAAAAAGTTGTGCAAAATTTAAGTCATTTAAATAATTTTGTGGAAAAACCTCTCGAGAGGCTGGTAGGTTCAAAATTGAGATTTTTCATCCACAATGAGAAGAAAAATCACATTTTCTGACATTTCAGATTGTATAGGACATAAAATTAACGAAATCAAAATTAATTTTTACCAACTTTTGGATTCAACTACAGCCAGGATGAAAAAATTGTAAAAAAATCTCATGTTTATTCAATGAAATTAAACTTAAAAAAAAAAAATCAACTTTCGGTGGGAATTTTTGAGAAGCAACTTTTAAGAACAGAATAACAGATTTTCAATTTTTTGTTTACCTTGTACGAGTCTTGGAAGCTGGCCGGGTTGGGCGTCCACTTGATGATGACGTCACCGGTCTCCTCGTCGGTGCTCGAGCTGAGGTTGATGACGCTCAGAGGAACTGCAAGTTTTTATTTTGTTAATTTTTCTAAAAAGTAATATCGAAATTGCGACTCTCACCGAGGGTGATGTTGGCGCTGGTGGGCCAACTGGCCACCTTGCCCGACATGGTCTTGACGCTGACCTGGTACGTTTTGCCCGGCTCGAGGCCGTCCCTGAACTCGAGGATGCGCGGACTCTCCTTGCCCTTGATGACGGGCGCCGGTCGACGCATCCCCGTCAGCGAAATCTGGTACTTGTCGAATTCGCTGCATAAACAATTCAAAGTTATTTAAAAAAAAATCATAATTTTTTATCAAAATTAATCATATTGAAAAAAGGGAAGGTTCAATTTTTTAAAAGAATGATCACAAAATTTCATTATAACTTTATTTTTGAATTCATTATGAATTTCTCTTGAAAAAATTCCAAATTTGTTTGAAATTGGTTAAAAGTAGGTTTAAGCATTTTTTTTTTAATCGCAACTGAAGTAAAATGTTGAAATGAAAAAAAAATTAAAATAATTGAGGTTTAAAATCACCTATTTTCAGCAATTTGATTAAATAGCACCTTTTTTTCATTGAAAAAAATATATAATTTTCAAAAATTAAGTCTAACAAATTGCCTTTTTCACTTATTTTTGCTCAAAAATCAATCAATATTTGCCACAAAGGACCAATTTTTGTGTTTCTAGAATTTGACATTTTTACCTTTGACCTGCCGGCGCGTCCCAGACGACCCTGAAGGAGTTGTAGGTGATGCTGTTGTCGTCGAAGGAGACGCTGAGGGGTCGCTCGGGCACGGTGCGGTACTGCGCGGTGGTCGGGATGGACACTTCGCCGTCGCTCATCGTCTGCACCGAGATGTTGTACGCCCTGCCCGGCACCAGGTCCTTGAACGCGGCCTGCGCCGGCCCCGGCGGCTCGCCCTCGTCCTTCACGTACAACACGCTTTCCCGCGCGTCCGGCGGCTCGATCGACACCTGAACAAAATTTTCAAGAAATATTCGTCAAATAATCCAACACAAAGCAAAATACGAATGATGAAAATGTCGATGGAACTATTTATTTTGACAATAATCATTGAAAGTTTTTTTTTGTCGACAAAAAGCAAATATTTTGAAAAATTCTCAGAATTGCCCATTTAACAGGAGCTCAAATTTTAAAAATCCTACCAAATTATTTACAACAATGCCTGCAAATTCTCACCATTAGTAAAACAATTCCACAGACTCAATTTGTATTTCGACCCAATTTTGTTGCAAAACCAAATTAATAAATATATTTATAAAAAGTTCCAGTACCTTGTAGTAGTCGAACTCGCCGGGCGGGAACGGCGGTTGCCACAAAACGAGCAGCGTCGTTTCATTTCTGAACCACACGATGAACTTGCCAGGAGTGTTCGGCTCTGAAATTCAATTTCAATTTTCAAATTCAATTCATTTTGGAATTGTTGTTTACTTGTGGTGAAGTTGTGGGAGGTGTAGGCGATGCTCTCCTTGCCATCGTAGACGGAAAAGAGCTGCACCTGGTAAGAGGCGCCCGAGGTCAAATTCTGCAGGTTGAAATTCGACTGGCTGCTCTCGAAGATTCGCGCGCTGTTCGCCACCTCAGGCAAAGGAACCACCTGAAACTCACCAAGTATATCGGTCTTTTTATTTAAATTTCACTTTTCATGGGTTTAATTTTAAATTATTTTAGAGATGTACATAATTTTCTGTTTACTTTAAATTTCTTACTGAAGCAAATTTAACTAAAAAATTGTAATCACGAAGAATATTTTTAATTAGAAACGCATTTTCTTGAAAATTTGGAGAAACTTTTGAACTCTTAAAACTCATCAAGCTGGCTAATGAATCAAATTTTTTAAAGAGGAATGTATGAATAATTAAAAAAATTAGTAAATTTTGTTACAAAATTTAACGATACAATTTGATATCATGATCAAAATTTCAGGAAAATAAACAGTTTTAAATTAAAGGGAATTTAGTCCTCCTCAAAAGAAACTCGATTTCCAGATGATTTAAAAATCTTTTTGAAAATTTAGAGTTCAATAATTTATTTAATTGATTTTTAAGTTACAAGTTCGTCAGTTTTCATAAAAATTAAAATTACGTTTCATTTTCAACAAATTTAGCAAGAATTGCAAATAATTGAGAATTTGAATGAACCTTGAGTTTGTAGCCGGTGAATCCTCCCTGCTTGGGAGGGCTCCAGTTGATCTGCGCCGAGTCGCCACTCGCGACCGTCACTGACAAATTGGACGGTGGGTCCGGTGCTGAAAAAAAAATAGACAGAAATGAGAATCAATTGCGCTCAAACAAATAGCATTCTGGGCGATTGTTCAATTAAATTGATGAAAATTAAAGGAAAAATTCAATTCAATTCTAATTTTATGATATTAATTTCCAAAAATAAAATTACAATACAAATAATTTTTAAGCAGAAAATTAGAAAAGTAATTATGCAAGTAATAGAAAATAAGTCAATTAACGATAATGAACTTCATTATTGCTTAAATTCACACAATTCAATAAGGTTGTAATTTCAAAATTCAAAGCTTGATTACAATTTTACAGTTGTAAATGAAAAGATTAATCAGATTAAATCAAAATTTTAACTTGTTAATTTTAATATTACTAATTTCCACATGGAATATATTGCGTAAAAACAACTTTCTTGATAAAAAGATTTTCGCCAAAAGGTAAACTTTTAATTTGCATAAAATCTTAAATTTTTTGCACAAAAATTTGGTCAAATTGAGAAAAGGAAGAAGAAAAAGGTTTTTACATTTTAAAATTTGCTAAATTTTCCCAAAACTATACATAAAAAATTCCAAATTTTTCCTCGTAACTTTTGCAAATTTAATTTAAATAAGAATTTTGATTCAAAATTAATTGCGACTCACGGGTGATGATGGAGGCGCGCCAGGTGAGGAGGTCGTTGAAGGTGGAGTTGGTGTAGAAGAGCTTGAAGGAGTAGAGCGTGCCGGGCAGGCCGTTCCTGAACGCGATCGTGTCGTTGCGGATGTCCCTGGAGGAGAAGGTGGCGTTCGGGGGCGGCAGCCCCCGCGGGGGGTCGTAGTCGAGCCGGTAGATGCCCCCCTCGGAGCTCGGGTTGCCCGGGATCTGGATCACCAGGTCCGTCGCCACGCCCACCTGTGTCCAAACACGCCGAGCAAAAAAAAAATTAATTCTAATTCGGGAACCAAACTTTGCATCCGGCGCCGCCAATAATTTCAAACTTCCTGCTTTGTTTCGCGGCGCTCGGGCCAAATTTAAACCCCGAAGCTAATTCCCAGAAGGCTTCTTTTTCCACTCGAGATGACTAACAACTGAATCAAAATATACACAATCCTCTTTGCCAAAAGCTAGTTTTTTTCCGAGCCAAGGAAGAAATAATCGCCAAATAATTAAAAGCAGCACTTTTGAATTTTAAGAAATGCTCATTCATTAATTTAACTAAATTCTTGCAAATTTTGAACATAATTTCTATTTAAATCAACTTTTAAATTTGATCATTGTTCAGATTTTTCAGATATCATTTAACAATTTTAAGAAAATTAATTGATCATTTTTAATTTTCTTAGTTTTTTTGCAATTTTATATTCATCAAGAAGGCAATTTCCTTTAAATGAACAAAAAAAAATTGTAGATTTTTGTAAATTTTCTTTACACAGAAAAATTTGCACTTCTTCACTCGATTTTATTACAAAATCAGCATCACATGTGAATAAAATGCATTATTTCAATCGAATTTGAATAAATGCAAATTTTTATAGAAATTTTGTGAAATAAGAATATCTCTAATTTGAGGTAAATCAAATAATTTATTTGTGTGATTAACAAAATTGCATTTACATATAAAGAAAATCAGTTGAATTTTTATTTCGGCCAAATTATAAAACGAATATTGCGGAATTAGATGATTTTTTTTTTTTTATTAACCAAATTGCTGACGGATTTGGATATAAATTTTGCACGCGATTGTCGCCGGTGTTGTGCGTCTCGTTGGAAGCGTTTTCCGGTCGCGTTTAATTGTCTAATTATAGGAGTGACATGCGCTGGGGGCAGCGAGAGAGGAAGCGTTGCAATTAAGGACATTCCTCTGCGCCACGCCGCTGCACCCACACCCATCATATGCAAACGCGGCCTTCGTTTTTCTCCCTGGCCAGCGATTCACGCAAATTTAAATAAAAAAATCCATACTTAATTTAAAATGAATTTAATTTCATAAAAAAATTTACCAAAATAAAATTCTCCTTTTATTAAACGAAAATTATTTAATATTTTAAAATTATTTTATTCTTGAATTTAAGCAAATGCAAATAACAATTTGACAAAGTTTTTGCACAAATTCTGCTTCGAATTGCAAAACTATATTGGTTGACTTCTTTTCTTTCTATTGGTTAGCGGTGGATATTTGTAACTGTGAAAATTTCGCGTCGGCCGGCACAGAGTGAATGCGCCGACATAACTGGAAACTTGTGCTTTTCACTGTGCGCGGAGCAAAGTGGGTTAGCCTATTAGCTTTGCAGGCCAATTCAGCCGCGTGAGAAAATGCAGCCTTCTCTCCTCTGCTAATTTCCAGCGACGCGAAAATAAAACTAAACAAAACCAAAAATGTTTGCGCTCAAGATCACGAGCGAGCCTGATTAGCGAAAAGTAAAATGGACACGCGCCTAATTATCACACTCGCGTAAATAAATTCGCAGAAATATTTGCGACATCCATTTAATTTTTTTTCTTACTTTACTTCAAAAAAAGAAAAATAAATAGATAATTAATGAAAAAGTAAATTTTGGATGAAATATTGAGTGGAAAATTAAAAATTTTCTGTCCGACTTCATAGAGAATTAAAAATTATCAGGTTTCATTGATTAATTTTCATTAATTAATTGATTTGGAGATCATGTTTTTGCTAATTATTTAATTCTAAATATTGGATTAAAATTAAAAAGGTTTTTATGTTAAAAATCAGGTATGTATGAAGCTTGAAAATAGTAAAACTTTTATGAAATATACAATTTTTAATTGAAATTTTTAAACTGATCTATTTTTACTGTTCAAATAAATTAAAACTGAGCATGAGGTCATTCGATGTGACTTTACTTGAGTGGCAAAAAAGTCAGAGCGGATCCGAGTGTGTGAGAATCGAAACCCTTTTCTCTGCAGCAGTGCGTGCGTAAGTGCAACAAAAACTCAGTGACGCACTTGACAGAAAAAAAACTATAAACGGGAGCTGAAGATTAATTGTTCTCACTGAAAAAAAAAACTAATGGCTGCAGCAAAGAATAATTTAAAGCTTCATTTAATTTGAAAGAAAAGAGTTGAATTCAAAAAATTTATGAAATTTCCCCTGCAAATTAAATTAGTCATGTAAATTATGTTTCACATCATTTTAATTAATCAAATTAATTTTTTGATATAAATTATTTTAGCAATCTACAAAAAATATTCAAAATCAGACTTTTATTTCCACTTTTTCACTAAGTTTATAATTCATTTGGTCAAAAGCAGGTCAAAAGAAATTTTGATTTTGTCAAAAAGAAATAAAAAAAAGGCAGAAAATTGTAGAAATAAACAATAATTTTATCGTTTTTAGGTTTTTAGATCAAACGAAGCCGACTGATCAATTTTAAAGTTAACGATGCAAATTTTTTCAACTTTAATTAGAAAAAATTAGTCATCACTTTGGTTCTTATTATTACTAATTTTTTTACAGTCAAATGGTTAATTTTTTTAAGCGGCGGCAAATGCAATTGGACTCGAGAGCTTTTGTAGGAAATAATTGGCGTGACGAAGGAAAGGAAAGGGGCAATAAACGCGCAACTGCAATTCGAGCACGCCGCTCTAATTTTGCCCACCAAGGCGACCAGACAAGACTTTATGCAACCGCACGCAATTAACTCCAGCGCCCGACTAATTACTTCATCGCCACGTTCAATCACACGTTAATTTTGTCGAATTAAGGAAATAATTCAAATTGTTAATTAATTTTCAAGATGCATTTTTTTACAAATTATGAATGTTGGCATGCAAGCAAATTTTTTGATTATATTAAATTTTTTCTCATTTTATATTTATGTAAGAATGGAAATTTTACGTGGAAACAAAATTATCAGAAAATTAAAAATTACAATTAATCGTAATTTTAGTTCAGTTTGATTAAAAGTCTAAAAGTGCCATTTTCTTAGAAATTTTGGATTTTAGTGCGTTGAACGCGAAAGGTTAAAAAAAAAGAGCTGACCAGAGACAAAATGGAAAACGCGGACGTGCAAGAATTTTATTTGCTTTTCTCGTAATGAATTTTAAACCATGCTGGCGACGAATCTCGTTAAAAGTGCATTTCCTGTTTGGCGATGATGGAATTTCCGATTGATTGGCACAGGAAATGGCGATTCAATCGCTTTGATGGAATTCGTCCCCAAAATAAAATAAAAAATTATTTATTTCGGAACATTCCAGAGACGGTGGTTTTGTGTAAAAGAAGGCACTTCTCAAAAAGTGAAAGGCGAAATAAATTGTTCCCAAATTGGACTTTGTGACTTTTCACCATTTGTCAACTTTCTTTATAAATTTTTTATTTTACACCAAGTTGTGAATTTTTATTTATTTATAACTCAGTAAATTGTGCTGGATATAAAAAGAGTATTTAATTGATTATTTCCTTGGAAATTTCGTTAATTCAACTGTAAAATAATTAAAATTAAACATTCCATGGTAATTAAAAAATAATAATAATAAAAATGTAAAATGTTCTCTGAAGTTTTTCTTTTTCTATGTGAATTTTAATTCACGGTTTTGTTTAATTTGGTTTCTGTGAAAATGTACTTGATAAAAAGGCGCAAAAGGGCAAAATTGAATTAATTAAGTTAAATATTTAAGACTTTATTAAGTCTTCAGATAAGAAAAGTTGATTCAAGAGATATTTAAAAAATTTAAAATTTAATCGCTTCACTGGAATTGGCAAAATTATCGTAACCAATGAAGAAATGAAAATCTCGACTTGACCTTTTCAAATGATTCTTTTTGTCCTCTCGAAAGGAATGAATGAATAAGCAATTGAATTAAGTTGACTAGCCTTTGATGCTGCGTTAATTGAAGCCTTTCACGCGAGTGCATCAAACAAGTGACACACATTTAATTGCCATTCTCTCCGTCTCTGGCGCGTTGGCCAATCGACACAGGTTGGACGAAAAAAGCAATTCGTCGAGGTTCGGCAAGAAAGTTCGCACGTCGGCTTGAGCAATCCACTTTTTCCACGCGCCACCGCAGCCGAAAGGAAAAAAACAAGAAAACGAGGATTTCGCAGCAAACTTTCTTCGATTCGGAAAATTTCGGTTCAAATTGATCAATAAAATTACTGAAAAAAATAATCCAGCGTGGAAGTTATTAAAAAATTTTTAAACAAAAATTTAATCTTCTTTTTCTGACAATTTCTTCAAATTGTTCATTCAATTATTAATATTTTGGTTCAATTTGCACTAAAAATGGTTTTTTTTTTTGAAAAATGTGAACGAAATTGACTTTTAAAGGCTTGTAAGGAATCCGTACAAAAGTTTTGGTGCTCAAAATCGCACAAGTGCTGAATCGGCTGCCGCTGAATTTCCTTCTCGCAAAAAGAGATTTCAGTTTTCTTCACAATTTTTTTTTTGCTGCTCTCGTCCGACGTAAAACTGCATCGCGGCGTGGATTTATTTGATCTGATTCTTTGCCAACGCGGAGAGCAAAAAAAAAAAAAAAAAAAAAAAACACGCGCTGTCCACGCGTGAAGTTGAAACTTTACACGTGTAGCAACAACAGCTGCGGCCAAACCATCGTAAAATAATTTTCCTAATAAACTTTCTTTCTTAAAAAAAAGTAATTAATTAATTGTATGAAATTTGTACAGTTTTATTATCCCATTTTGCAAAATTGTATATAAATCTTATTACTAATTTCACTAATTGTATGAAAAAAAGGTTAGAAAAAAAAATCATCAAAATTTATTCTATCAGAATAAAACCATTTAATTATGTTTTTTTTTTAATTAGCCGGAATTTTGGATTTTCTTTCATTTTACATTTGTAAATGTTCAAAGCTGATCTGGAAATAGAAATGACGAAATCACTTACGATGATTTTAAAAACTGAGATAACAGGAAAGAATATAATTTTTGACGCATTCAAATAGTAATTATTACTTATAATTATAAAAATAATCATAAAAATTACCAAAATATTTGTATTTCATAAAATTTATTGGTGTTTTATAAAAAAAGTGATGAGGAAAGTTTTCAAACTTCCGAAGCCTCCAAAGTTGAAAACGATTGAAAACGATTTAATTTTAAAGATCTGCAATTATTCAGATTAAGCGTGAAAACTAGAACATGACGTCTCTTTGAAGATTTCCACCAAAATACTCGGAATAAGAAAAAAAATTATTTATAAAATGCAATTTTTTTTCAATGATAATTTTATATTTTCAGGAGATAAAAGCAATCACGTTGTTGGATCGGCCGCGATAATTTGACGCCTTTTCTATTCTATGCTCGGCAGGTTGAGAGAGAGAAGTGGGGGAGGCGAGTCGCAGGCAAAGGTCTGCTCGCTTGCTTAGGTAAAACTGCTCAGGTACGCGAGGAAAAAAGGAGCTGTTTGGATCGGCGCCAAGGTCAAGAAGCGGCAACGAAAAAAAGGCGATTCTTCTTTTTGCATCTCATTTTCTTTCTGGCGAAAAGTTCGGCTTTCGAAATTATTTTGCTCAAGAAAGGATAAAATTGAAAACCTTAAACTGCTTACTTAAAATTTTTTATTTCATTTATTTAAATTTTATCACTAACAAATTAAAAATAAATATCAAATTATATTTAAAAAATTATTTTTTTTATATCAAAAAGTCTAAAAATATAATTTTAAAGTAATAATTATATTTATAAAATAATTGAATAATATTTTTAAGATGAAATAATAATTTTTTTTATGAATTTTCATTATTAAAAACTTGGAATTAAATAGTTTAAAAATTAACATTTAATTTAAAGTCGTTACAACTCTTTATATTATAATATTGAACTTTTCTGGACGACAAACAAACGAAAAAGTTCATCTTTTCTTATTCAAATAGGAAAAGACGCGCGTGAGAGAATGCGTTTGTTTTCCTTTTAACACCTCTCCCTAAAAAAATTTTACATTTTTCTAAAGAAATTCCTTTTCTGCTGAAAATCAACGTTTAAAATATAAAAATTAGGAATTTCTTCTATTGATGGTCACGATTTAATTTAATCGCCTTTTCCGAATCCTCCAAAGAAGAAAAGAAAAACGGTTTCCAACCTTTAGAGCCATCAAAACTTTTTAACTAGTCAGACAATTGTAATTTTCTGGGCACAAATTTATTTGGAAATTTAGAATTATTTTAAATATTTAAAAAATAATCAACAATTTCAATAAAATTTTTAAGCTCCGCAAAAAAAGTGACCGAAAATTGGGAAAAATTTGCCTTCGTTTTTTATGGTGAGATGATTAAAATTAGCACATTTTCTTTTTTAATAAAGTACTTTCAAGATAAAATGTTCTTAAAACCAAAATCTACCTTTAAGAAATGATAAGAAATCTGACCATTTGATCAAATTAAACATTGTGTTAATCGAAAACTTTTACCGCACTTTATCAAGTTGAAATTGGACGGCTCGTTAATTTCGATAATTTGTCTGCGATGTGAATTATTTTTTTTTTGCTTTGCCGAGAGAAAGTGGAGCAGCAACGAGGAAGCTCACGAAAAACCACACCTCCAAATTTATCTCAAAACCTGATCAGATTCAATCAATGCTTCAATTTACTTTCAAATACTAATTGAAATATTTTGAAAATTTTGTTGTCCAACAAATTAAATCAAAATATTTGTTATAATTTCACAAATTGCAATTAAATTGAGAACAATTTTACAAGTATTAAAAATTTCAAATGATCAAAATGTATTCAATTAATATCTTTAAATGATCGTCAAATTAAAACTAGTATAAAAAATTAAAAATTAAAATTTTTTAAGTACAACATCCAAAATTTAATTTTAAATTGTTCTGGTAAAATTTTAATGGCATTTATTCGGGTTGATTTTGGAAAATCTCAAAATTTAGTATTAAATTTTATGATTCCATCTAATCTTTTAAAATTTTATAATTAATTTATTTTCGCTTTTCTTTTCAATTTAAAATTAAAAGTGCTGCATTTAAATTAACAATTTTGTTTGTTTCCATAAAAGGATAAAATTTTCAGGCGTGGGAACGGTGAATGGAGACGCGCGCGTCCTTGAAATCTAATTAAACCGTAATTAACTCGAGGCTTTTGCATCAAAAACCATACATGGGCAGAGCGCACTTTGCGCTCTGCGCTCGCGCTCTGCGCTCATGAGCGCGAGCGCAGAGCGCGATCGCACGATTTTCAAAATCGTGAGCGCGAGCGCAGAGCGCGAGCGCATTGGTCGCTGAGCGCAGCGCTCAATTGCGCTCATTTTGCGCTCAAACCAAGAGTAAAAATTCCCGAATTTGATCAAAAATTGTAATGAAAAACAGTGTTTTTATACCAAAAACTTAAAACTGATCCCAATTTTGGTGATTTAACTTCAACTTTATCATTTCCAATTGCCGATGTATTTTTTGTTATATTAAAAAATTGTCTAAAAAGTCGCACTTTTTCCTCGGATAAAAATATTTTTGAGCGCAACGCGTGAGCGCAAGACTTGTTAAAAATTTGAGCGCGAGCGCAGAGCGCGAGCGCAACATTTTCAAAATCTTGATCGCGAGCGCAGAGCGCGAGCGCACTGTTGCCAGTGATCGCGAGCGCGAGCGCGAGCGCAAAATTGTTGAGCGCACCCATGTATGTCAAAAACACTTTTCAACGAACCGAAAACAACAGGGTCAAATTAAAAAACAAATCCGGACAAATCCGGCTTCGAAACAATTAACCAAAATTATCATTTGAACTGATTCAATAATTACAAGATTTGTAATAATTTGATTATAAATTTTTCTTCCAATAAAGTGGAACAACCTACAATTGACGTGACCGAAAATAAGAAAATACAATTGCGAGAGTGCATCTGTGGCGCACTTTCTCTGGCTCGGGCCGGCTTCAGGCTTTTTCTGTTCTTATTTTTTTTTTGCAACTCTGCATTTTAATTTGACCTTAATTTCTGGGTAAAATTTTTGCTCACCTGGACGGTCAGGGCGATGGCAACAATCAAGGTTCGCATCATCTCCTCAGGGTGAAAAAGTAATCCGCGCTAGCAACGAAACATTGCTCGTCTCAAAATCATGTTTTTTTCGCCACCACAAGTCTGTCCGAAGAGGGTTTCGCACGGGAGCAGTCGGACACTCGCTGGACACTTATTCCACCGTCGGCTGTCGACGCGGCCTCATGACTGGGCTGCTCAGGCTGCTGCTTGGCTTCAATTCGAAAAACATGAGCGAGAGGGGAGACGCCGCAATTTATTTTTCTTTCGCTCCGAGCCGGAGAGAGACCAACAGGTGGGGAAGGGGCCAACGTGCCGCCGCTTCGCCCACTGTCGCTAGGAGGCAGCACCGTCCGCCCGACGCCATCTTTCTTTTCCCGAGCATAGTTGTGGTGTGCACAAAGGAGTTCCACTGTAAAGTCAGAAACTCATTGAATGATTTAAGATGTCGTCACTTTCAAGTACAAATAACGTAAAAATAATTCAGAAAAACGGGTTTGAATCAAAATATCTCTATGAAAAGAGTTTTAAAAGAGACAACGGGAGGTATTTACCTTTACTAATTGTGACTCCTTTGTGAAACCCCTCCATGGTCGCCATCTTTGATCTTCCGAATTGAATTTCCGAGTCAATTCGCAAAAATTTGACAATTGGAGACAGAATGTTTTAGTTCCTTTGTTAAAAGAATTACAGGATGACGGAGCTGCTGCTGGACTCGCAGATCCGCGTGTGGGTCTTCCTGCCCATCGTGGTCATCACCTTCCTGTCGGGCATCCTGCGCCACTACGTCGCCGTGCTGCTCGCCTCGCAGAAAAAGGTCGAGCTGCAGCAAGTGCAGGACAGGTTTGAATTCAAAATTATCACTTCATTGAATCGCTAATTTTACCAATTGGATCGTTTTTGGTGCAGCCAGGCGATGATCCGGTCGCGACTCCTCAGGGAAAACGGAAAGTTCATCCCGAAGCAGTCTTTCATGATGCGCAGGCACTTCTTCAACGACGAGAGCACCGGTGAGCACCTCTGGTTTTTATAAATCCTCAGGAAATTTCATTCCATAGGATTGAAACACCTTCGAAAGTGGAAGTATTTTTGGAAATTTTGGAAAGCTGAGGTCACCAGAAATCAAACGGTGCCCAGAAAGGTCACGGTCCCTAGCAAGAAAACGGCGATTTTAGAAATGAAGCGATTTCATTGGTCGAAGCCCTTCCCCCACCACTAAATTCATATAAGTTTCAAAACATAGAGTGTGACATATCATTGGAAAGATCAGGTCATCAGGAATCGATTGGTGACCATAAGTTTTATAAATTGTTTAAAAATTTACATTTTTTATCACTGATTTTGTATTTCTTTTTCAAAGGGTACTTCAAAACGCAGAAGAGGCCGCCGGCAGCCACAAACCCGATGACCGACCCAAGCGTCATGACCGAGATGCTCAAGGGCAACGTGACCAACGTGCTGCCCATGATCGTCATCGGCGGCTGGATCAACTGGGTCTTCTCCGGATTCGTCACAAGTACCGAACAATTAACTCAATTTCACTAAAAAATATACTAAAACTCGAATTGCAGCCAAAGTGCCCTTCCCGCTGACCCTGCGGTTCAAACCAATGCTGCAGAGAGGCATTGAGTTGCTGTCCCTGGACGCCGCGTGGGTCTCGTCAGCCTCGTGGTACTTCCTCAATGTCTTCGGCCTGCGCAGCATTTACACTCTAGTCCTCGGCGAGAACAACGGTTTTTTAAATAATTTGTAAAAAGAATAGAATATTTATTTGAAAAAATTGCAGCCGCCGACCAGGCCAAGCATATGCAGGACCAGATGTCGGGGGCGGCCATGGCAATGCCCCAGGACCCCAAGGCCGCCTTCAAGGCCGAGTGGGAGGCGCTTGAGATCTGCGAGCACCAGTGGGCCTTGAGCAATGTTGAGGCCGAGCTCGTCGGCAACTCCATTCCTGAAATTGCCTCTCAATGAACTCATTTGTTTTGTTGCACTTTTAAATTATTCCTGTTTTGTCTGTGAAAGAGAAAGAAATAAACAATAAAAGTTAAGTTCAAGTGTGATTCAAAAGCTTCAAATTTTTCAAATAAGAACGAGAGGTTAATTCCTAATGTAAAGTACCTAATTGACATCAAAATTGTGATTGATAGAAAAGTGAAGCCTTTTGATTGATGGAACATTTAAGTTTGCTTATGTATTTAATCCCTTTTGATAATATTTAACTCTAACTTGGCGCTCTTATTGAAGATTTCAGTCGCTTTTTAAATGATTGGTGTTTTCATTCATATTAAGTTCAGAATTGGTCATTTAAGCATGAAAAGTTAAAAGATTTTTGACTTCAGGAAGATAACGGAACCTTTTTTTATCTTCTTTATAAAATACTTAAATATAGATATCTTTATGGGATAAAATACTAAAATTAAGTAATTTTAGCCATTAAATTTATCCAAAATATTGCTGCCAATCTAAGCATAATTTTATTAATCAATGCTTTAAAATCTTTAAATTTTCAATTAGGTAGATATAATTAATTATTTCAACTTTTTCCTAAAATTTGAATCGATAATCTCCAAGTTATTTTTTATTAAATTGAAAATAAGTTCCAGTTGAAAGAAATTTCTATTTAAACATGAATTTTATTGATCTATTTCTAAAAATTACAACAAAATTGACTAAATGGAAATCTGGACGTGTCGGTCGCGCATTTTCTGGATCCATTTCTGCAGCATTTCCTCGCCGGTGGGTTTCGGCTTGAACCTGTGCTCAGGTGGCGGGCCCTGCTGCAGCCGCACGTAGTAGTGGTTGTACTGGTACCTGACCTCGCCCATGCGCATCCTGGCGTGTCGCCGCAGCCCCTTGAAGTGCTGCCCCTTGCTCACGAACGACTCGGCTAAGACCAAAATTTTTTTTAAAATTAAATAGCAAATTCATTAATTTCGCACCAATCCAGAGGTCGCTCTTGAACTCGACGCCGTGGTCCCTGAGGGCGAGTTGCTGGGCCTCGAGCAGCACCTCCTTGATGGTGGCGCAGAAGCCCTTGCGCTGGAAGCTGAGCTGCTTGAGGGCCTCGTCGATGGACATGCCGCGGATGAAGCCCGCCTGGTACCACATGTTCTTGTAGTTGCCCCGAACGTTCGACCGCATGTGGCAGACGAACTGAAAAAAAATTCTTAAGACCTTGTTTTCAGGTTGATTTCGGGTTTTCGAACCGCCGGTCGGGGCTCTTCGCCAGGGGCCTGGGGCGGGAAGACCTTCTCGTTGCGCAGCAGCCAGTTGTGACCGCCCTCGACCTCCTCAGGGTCCAACCTACTGGCCAGGGCGCTGCAGGTCGTGTGCACCAACCGCGGCCCGGCCACCACGTCCCTCGCAGACAACAATCGGCCGCAACCGCGCAAAACGCCCAAGATCATTTCTCGCATGTTTAATTTTTAATTGAAAAAACCTGTGAAGATGGAAAAGTGTGTTAAATTCTCAGGTTTGTTGTCGGTTTTTTTAAGTTAGAACTTGCCTTATATGTTAATATCTGGGAGAAAATTAGATCGAGATCAAACTAACTCATCACAATTCCACTTAATCAATTATAATGTGAATTTAAAGTTACTTGTGAAATGTGAGTGAAAAAATGTGCTACAGACGGTCTTGCTTTGTTATTATTTTGTCCCCACTCCTCATCCATCGACGAATGGTGCTGCCACCTACCACGGATTGATTATTAGATTGGAACTACAAAATTTTTATTACCTTTATGCAAATTTTAGCAGATATATTTTAAAAATTGTACAATATACAGAATAAAATTTATAAAAAACAGAAAATGTACAAAAGTTTTTCTAAAAAACCAATGTCAATTAATTTTCTAATAATTACAAATCCTTGGATGGATTTTCTATAGAAGAAATAGAGAAATTTGTAATAAAAACTTTTGAATAAGTAGGTAAAAGGAAAATGATTCTCAATTAAATATTCTTAACAATATTCAAAAGAATATAAAAGTCTTTTTGAGTGATACAATTAACTTCTTGCAAAATCTCTGAAAAAGCATCCTTCGCATAAATTTTCAAATTATTTGGCGAAATATATCTTTTTTTTTTAAATTAATAAACTTTTTGAGGTGAGATTGTGACTATTTTATTGGTTTTTGCCGCGGCTACCAGGCGTTGGCTTTGTGTTTCGGGACAAACTGGAATCCGTCCGGAAGTGGACCCAAGAGCATTTCGCTGATCTTGACCCAGTCAGCGCAGTTGGGACTGGCCATGAGGGTCTCGAGGTCGTCGCGGCCGCGGTACAGGGGCGGCCGTTCGTTGATGTTCTGCGGCGGCCGCTCCAAAACGCCCACCGGGATGTACCGGTACAAGAAACTCAGCCACTCGAGCAGGAAGCGCCGCGTGTTCTCCACGCCCTGGGTTCAAATTAATTACTTTAGCATTTTTGTTACAAGAATTTACAACACTTTAAGAATTTTTATCAGTAAAAAAATATTAATTTAGGAAAATTTTTTACTTTGTCATCACTGCCCCAGTGTTCCAAGCCGAAGTTTGTGTAGTCCTTGAGAATCTGCAGTCTTTCTTGGGAGGAAATGTCCCAGTTTCTCTGCTCCTTGATTTCGGTGAAGATCCACGGCTTGATCAGCGCGCCTCGGCCGATCATCACACCTTTTTTTTTACAAAATTAGATTCAAATTTCAACTCAAAATAACCTTTTACCTGAGATGTTTTTGCCCAGCTGCCTCTTGGCGTTGTAGTCCTCGAAGGAGAGAATGTCCCCGTTGCCGAAGAGGGGAATCGGGGCGGCCAGTCCGGCGCACTCGTCGATGTACTCCCAGTCCGCGGACTTTGTGTACCGCTGCTCTCGAGATCTGCCGTGGAGCTGAACAAAAATTTTGGAATTAATAAAACAATTTAAATATCCTAGTGACTTTGCTTTAATTTTGTGAAAAAACGGGCTAAACCAAAAATGTATTTTAGATTTCTCATAATTATACCAAGGATTGAGTCACAGAAGTTTTCTGGGTGGAACTTTTGACACTGAACAACTTTGCTGTTGAAGCCAATGGCATAGGTCAAAGGTCAAGGTCACCTTTCAGCAACCACTGATAAAAAAATCAAATTTTGTCAGTGATGAACACTGGTGTTTTAAATGGCATGGGCGAAAACGTCGCCTGCAAAATTCTGCATCTGATTCGTGATTTTCAAAAGGGTTGTAATTTACCAAAAAAAAGGGGTTTTTTTCCCTTCAAATCGCTATAACTTGAGAATGGGTTAATGAATCCTTTTGAAATTCACCCATCCAATGCAGAATTTAGCAGGCTACATTTTTTCCTATACTGCCAAAATGGTCAAAGGTGGTCATCACTGTCAAAATTGGACTTTCTCATCGGGGGTCGTTGAAAAGTGGCCTTGAACTTTGACCTGCGTCTTTGACATCAACAGCAGAGTTGTTCAGGGTCAAAAGTTACATCAGAATCTATGAAGAAAACACCTCTAGCTCAATCCGTTCCAAAGTTATAATGAAAAAGATCAAAATTTCCAGGCCACGCCCCTTTTTCCACTCGGAACTGCTCGAAATTACCGTGATGAGCGACACGCCCCAGGTCTTGAGCTTGGGGATGAGCGAGTGGGCGACCCTTTTGTCCGAGTAAACGCCCGTCCTGGTCTTGATGGTGACGGGGATGGGCGCGACCTTGGCCATGGCCTTGACCATTTGCTGCAGGACGTTGTGGCGCCTGAGGAGGGCGCTGCCGGCGCCCTGCTGGTAAATCAGGTCGATGGGGCAGCCCATGTTGATGTCGACAAAGTCCAAGTCGGTCTGCTCGGCGAGCACCTGGGCGCACTTGGCCATGACGAGGGGGTTGTTGCCGCAGACCTGCGCCCCGAACAGGTCCTCGGACTCGTGTCTGCGCACCAACGCCCACTCCTGAGGCAGGCCCTGCAGGATGGACGTGGCCACCGCCATCTCGCCGCAGGTCACGTCCGCCCCGAACTGTTTGCAGATGCGCCGGTAGGGCAGGTTGCCCAGGGTGGTCAGCGGCGAAAGGTACAGCTTGTCACGCCAGTCAATCTGCAAAGAAACGGGCAGAAAGAAAATTACAAATAAAAGAGTTTTGTTGTTCTAAAGTTTGCTTCATTTGCCAGGTCAAAAAGGACCTTCGAAGGTGGTCTTTCAGTAAACCTAAAAAAATCTAGGCAAATTTTGATAACAAATTTTTCAGTTCTTTAAATTGAAGTGGAAAAAGTTAAAAAAATTTAAGTTTAAGAAATTTAATTCTAAATTCTGCCGAAGTCCAACAATAAATTTTTATTTTTTATTTTTTTTATTGTTTATCCCTCTTGGGAAAGGCACCAGCGGTAGCAGACAGGCTGCTAAATCGCAAGGGCCGATAACTCGGATTCTCCCCTTTCGGGGCCGATAACACGGTGACCTTGCGACCCACTGGGCCGGGGAGAGAGGAGCATAGGATGGGTTTGGTTGTTGGGAATTTGAAGGATGAGGAAGGTGAGCGGCTGCGGCCTATGAATGGGAACTGTGCCGGCATTCGCCTGGAATATCTGATGGAAACCGCAGAAAACACCAGACAGCATAGCCGAAATTGCAGTCGAAATGCCTGCAATTCCTTCCGAATCTGCCTGTCGCAGTGATTAATCCACCTCCTATGATTTTCTGAAGTCTTGTGAGCTAGCCGGCCAGAAACAGAACTTTTTCAAGCCCTGATCCTAGCCAGGATAGGACCCAAGGCCTCCAGATTATCAGCCAAGCGCACTAACCACTGTGCCACACAGTCGGTTTTACCGATTTTACCGAATCTAATAGGGAAGATGGCACGAAAAAGACTGCATTGTTGCACTTGAAATTACCCATATTTTAATAATAAATTATAATTTTAGAACTTCATTATTATTCAAATGCAAAAATATTTTCAATTAAGACACATTCAAGATTAATTCTCCCTCAATTTTTTAATTTGAAACTTAATTTCCTTTGGGAATTCTTTAAATTATGTCCCAAAAGTTCTAGATCTAAAAACTATAGAACAATTAAGCATTTTGGTGGAAAAACTTTTTTATGCATTTTTTAAAATGCTTCCCAACGATTGGTTTAATTTTAAAAAAAAAAACCTAGATCCTGGCAAAAGAAAACCATCAAATTGGAAGACAGAAAATTTCAGCCGAGGCCATCAAGAGTTAATTCCTGAGCCCACCTTTGGTTTTTCTTCAGGTTTTAATGTGATCAGGTCTGCGTCGCTGACAGGCCCGAGACTTTTTTCAGACCCTTCTGCAAAATTCGAGTAAAAAATTAGTAAAAAAAAAAAGTCTTGACTAAAGAAAAAGAACCTTTTTGCTGAGCACTTTGGTCAGCCTTGGCCTGCTGGCAGGCCTGCTCGCTCTCGCCGAAGTCGTACTTGTGCTTGCGCAGGTCGTTCTGCACGTCCTTGTCGAGCTGGTTGGAGGTGGAGGGGGGTCGCTCAGGGTCGTAGAGGCGCGGGTCGACCCTGTTGAAGCCCTCGGGCGTGAGGTGGTGCGAGCCGAAGCGACACGCCAGGCCGCGCGGACACCGGCCCAGGGTCTCGAACAGGTGGCACCTGGCGCCCAGGTCGGCCGGCTTGGCGGCCAGGAAGGCGGCCGCGTCGTGCACGGCCGGACACTGGTGCCGGCCGCACCCTTGCGAGGGCCACGCCTCGCCCTCCCGCACGTCCACCAGCGACACGCACACCTGCTTGCGAGGGTCGGCGCGCCAGGGTACGCCCCTCGCCTTGTTCTGACCTGGGCAAACAAAGGTTTTAAGACGGAATTATATTGCAAAAGGTCATCAAACCTCTCTGGCGCCCTTTCACCTTCCTCGGCTTCTTGCTCTCAGGTTCGCCGTCCGCTTCCTCCTTCTTCGCATTCGGCAAAACGAATCTGCAAAATTATATAAATTTTAGTTTCATTTCCTCGAAAAGTAAGAATTGCGGAACAAACTCTGCTTTGATTTTGGCCACGCCCTTGTCGTAGTTCGCAGATTCAAGACTAATTATCTGATTCTCGCCGACCGACTCGGAAGCCATTTTAATTTGTAAAATTCGATCCAAATTCTCGTTTATGGGTGCTACAATAAAATTAAATAATTTCGCTGTGACTAATAACCTCCACACGTGTGTTTGTTTACAATCTTTTACGGAGCTGCGGTGCTGCCACCTGGACGATCGACGAGAAAAGCTGTGGCGGGAACTTGAAATTCGCACTCCGCTCTAACTGCGTACTAACTTTCGCAATGTTTGCAGCAAATTGTAAATTATTATTAAAAACTTCATTGGATCCCAGAGCAGTCGCTAATATAATAAATTAATTTTGCAGCACGTGTTGAATATGGAGATCGAATGTTGGATTTGGATTTTCGCCGTTTGCACTTTTTCTGCTACTGCGGAGCGCGACGATGATGAGTGGGAGGTGAGATTATCAAGGAAAATGTTAACTTAAATTGAGTCGTTTTAAGAATTTTCACAAATTTTCATAGACTGACCAAAATTATCGCGGTTTTATACCTTCAAATATGAGTTTACAGTATATATTCTCATTATGTTATTTCCTCTCCTTTGAATTGAAAGTCATTGTGAAAAAACTATTCTAGAATGTCCATTTTTCTTTCGAATTTTTTTTCTCAATCTGCCTCTTTCCTGAAATTAAATTAATTGTTATTTTCTACCCAATCGATAGGATAAAGTATCAAAAGTTGATTTCCTGCCGGAGCAAAAGTGCTACAACGACGAAAAGATTTACAAATGGGGGTGCGACCGCTTCGGGAATTCAATCTGCACATCCAGAGTAGGATGTAAGTATAAAATTTAACCGGCGAAATTTAAAAACTCTCCTAATTTAGTTTTCATAATTTATTGATATTGCGTTCTTCGCGTAATTTAGACTTCATTTCATTAATTTGTTTTTACTGTCACTTTTGAAACTTTTTATTTTAAAGATATATTTTTACATCCAAAATAAATAATTGTATTTCACAAGATTTTAAATGAAATTAAAGCATAATTGTATGAAAAGATTGATTGTTAAAAGCAAACTTTTATAAAAATTTTGGCAAAAGTGACTAATTTGATAAACCGCAATTTAATTTTGAGAGATGAAGGTAAAAAAAAACGATTGTTCATAATGTAGTAAACGCTAAATTTTCCAACGCCTTCTTCAAACTGATATATTGTTGCAATTTGGTTTCAGTTTTTGATCCATCCCTTTTGTTTATCGAGCGACGAAATCGATTCTATTTTCGAGCGTGGGGCCTCAAATATTCTCCTGAGGGCTTGAAGGCCTGGTTGGACTTTGTGACGTGGAAAAATAAAATCACCTCTGCGTCCGTCGATTTGGCGTCGATGCCGAAAATTCCAAAACCTAAAACATAAAAAAGGTTTCTTCTAAATTTTCACTTCCATTATTTGCAAATTTCTTTTTATTTATTTCAGAGTTTTGCCGGCTGCGGAGTCCAATCGGGCCGAGGCAAAAGAGGAGCCGAAGCGAAGAGGTCACCAATGGCAAAGTCGCGGTCAGAGGTCTCTCCAGAGAAACGGACACAAAACCTTTGAGAGATTCTTGCGGCGCGACCCTCATTTCCAAAAAAGTCCTCGTCACAGGTCCACTTTTTTGCAATGAATTTTCCAATTTTTATCAATGTGTGAAGCAATAATTGAGTTATTTCCTTACTCCTTTAATAATTTAAACTTTTTAGGACATTTGAAACCGCTCAACTATTGAACATAAGGTCACGTTTTGCGGCCACTTAATTGTCCTTGTTTATTTTCATTTTTTTTTTCGACGAACTTGAACCCAATTTTCATCAAATTCTCCACGGGTGTTAACTTTTGATTAGGTTTTTATTTATTTATAAGTAATGAATATAACTTTCAAAGGTTCTCGAGACCAAAGGAAATTCTTTTCCAAACACAGAAAAATTATGCGCCGGAATTCTTCAAGGCCGTGTGGACGTTTTTTAATTAAAACAACGTTAACTTTATAAATTTTCAAATTCAATGAGACGAGTGCGTGATTGGGAGACAGCGTCTAACTATAATTTTGCATTTTTTGAAGAAAATAAATATTCAAATGTTGAACAAATCATTCCAGTAGATCGAGTAAAGTGAAGACTCTTTCCTTTCATTCAAGGCTTGAGCTAATTTTAACTTAATAAAAAAATGACGAATAATAATGTTTCAAAATAGTAAAATACAAAGAATAAATTCTGTATGTCTTATTATACCCATTCTGGTTTCACAATTTGATTGCGATGGAAGTGAATGATTGAGACATTCCGATTGTAAAATTGAGCAGTTTTTTTTTAAAAGATTATGCAACCTGTTTGTCTCAGGTGCTATGGTGCGTTGTTATTATACTTTTAAGCTTATATTGAGGGCGATCCAAAAGACTTATTTGACCTGCTATAATTCAATTTTGCTGGTGGGCTTGTGAATCGTGTGCCGCTTTATATATATAATTTTAATTTAAAAACGCAAAACCAATGTTTCTGTATTCCATACAAAGATTTATTTTTTAAAAGACACAATGCCACATGTTTTGGGCTATGTGGGGATGTATGTTGCAGCCGAAAATTATTGTATTTTTTTTCGCACACTTTTCTTCGTTGAAAATCACCATAAGTTGAACTTAAGAAAAGGGATGTGAATGTTTGGGGTGGAAGTGGAAGGTCGAAAATCTCCTTTAATCCGATTTTAAGAAAAGGGATGTGAATCGTGTGCCGCTTTATATATATAATTTTAATTTAAAAACGCAAAACCAATGTTTCTGTATTCCATACAAAGATTTATTTTTTAAAAGACACAATGCCACATGTTTTGGGCTATGTGGGGATGTATGTTGCAGCCGAAAATTATTGTATTTTTTTTCGCACACTTTTCTTCGTTGAAAATCACCATAAGTTGAACTTAAGAAAAGGGATGTGAATGTTTGGGGTGGAAGTGGAAGGTCGAAAATCTCCTTTAATCCGATTTTAAGAAAAGGGATGTGAATCGTGGGCCGCTTTATATATATAATTTTAATTTAAAAACGCAAAACCAATGTTTCTGTATTCCATACAAAGATTTATTTTTTAAAAGACACAATGCCACATGTTTTGGGCTATGTGGGGATGTGTGTTGCACTCGGAAATTAAGGGATGCAGCGCCCCACTTTGGTCTAAGTCAGAAATTATACAATTTCCTAAACAGCGCCCTCTGATCTCTCTTAACATGTCTTAGAGGGTGGAGTTTAAAATTAGGGCGTTCGCGGGAAAAAAGAGGACACTCTGGTATCTCCTGTATAGATGTACGGTCGACTTTGTTTTGCTGCTCTTGTCACCGAGGTGTACTGGCTTATTACTTTGAACCCAAACTCAAAGTAATTGGCCCGCGGTAGGACTCCGATAGGCGATTATTTCACCTGGCTTGAGCATCAAATCAACTGCCCTGTTCCACAATTTGGTAATATCAAATAATCATAAGGCTTCACTCAAATATTCTCTCTCTCAATAAATCGCGCGCAACAATTGTACTCCGTATAAAAAATGACATTATTAGATCAAAACAATAATCAGGCAGGACAATATAATAATTTAAGATAAACTTTAAATCAGATAACCATTTCATTAATAATATATCGTGTATCTTTGTTACTATTCTTTTTATCAATAAATTTAATTTTTATATTACAAGGAAAATTCTTTTTATGCTCAAAATCTCAGAAAAGAACCCGCTCGCTTTAAGAACATTTAATCATTCATTTTAATAACAAACAAAACTTTACATTTACTCAAATAGTTTAATATTTTATTTATAATAAATTATAGAATTCAAATAATAACTGATCACTCAATATTGACATCTTTATATTTCTTATATAGAGTCCAAAGAAGTGGATTTTATAGTTCATATTTGAATTAATAAAATAGCAGATTTAATTAATTTAAGAATAAGCATTATTTCAATATAAAAATCAGCTTAATTAAGACAATTAACCCCTCGTCATCCTGAACATTTACAGGCTAAGTTAGCCCGGGGCTAAGTCAAGTTAGCCTGGGCCAGGTTAGGCTTTTGGATCGCCCTCATTATTTTCACGTTAATTTAATAAACTGTTCAATTTTAAAATTAGCATTCTAGAATGGAATACTTTTAAGCGGGGGTATGTTGCTTGTGGTGGGCGCGAGACGGACCAGGTGGAGGTGGTCCAGTCAGTGGTCGCGACCATCCAGCTATAGGGCATCTGGCAGACGACCTTGCTCAGGGCGAGCAGCGCGACCTCGTTGCGGTCGAACGAGATCAGGGCGCGTTGTCCAAATATTCCTGCTCCGTCAGCAGCACCACGCGGATCTTCTCCGCCAGGTTCGACACGGTGTTTACCAAAGGGTCGTCCTGTATCCAGGGTAATATCCGTTTCAAATATGATCAAATTCCATCTTGCCGTTGAAATTGAAATTCTTTCTATTAAAACGATTTCTTAAGAATTGACAGAGTTATTCCAAATTTTCTTCAAAATCTAAGATGGCTGCCGTCCGGAACCCTTTTAAAGCTCTTAACTAAGTTATTTTTAAAGCTCAAAATTAATTTTATGAAAAATTTTGCAATTGACGAAGATAGATCTCTCAAGATTTAGGATAAAAAAGGTGATTTGGCAAAAGTAGCGTGTCACTTTAATTTAAAATTAACTCACGATTCCCTTGACTCCTTTGCTGAGCGTGAGGACGAGGTTGTTGGTGGCGAGGACAATGTTCTCCTTGCTGATGTCATAGGAGAGGTTGAAGATGTACGATTTCAGATGAAAATTTTGGGTGACTTTCTAGGAAATCGGATTTCCGTAAAAACACAAAAATTGGCCTCTAATGATAATGAGAAATAAATGAAATTTGTTAGTGAAGAGAAATTTTTTTATTTTATTTTATCTTTGATCAATGGATACAAGTTAGTTTCATTACAAGTCTCGTATAGTTTAATTCTTATGTATAAAATTGAAAATAATCATGATAGTAAATTTCGTGCCTGATTTGATGGAACAGTGAACAGATAAATATTGATTTTCCAATGTTTTTTATTGAAAAATAAACGAGTTATGGACACGGTTGCGACCCTATTTCTTTTTTAGTGGCAAACACACTGCTCAATACTAGAATGAGAGCTAGCTGAAGCTTCTGAAGACAGATTG